CCTCAAACCTCAAATATTTTTTGTTTTAAAGTTATAAGAACTTTTGTAGGTGTCGACGCAATTTTGAAGGGTCTGACCAAGTCAAAAGTTCGTATAAAAAATATTATTAGTCCAAAGCAAATTAATTTTTTTTCTTAATCTCATCAATTTATGAATTTAAAACCAATATCGCAACGTCATTTTTTTTTTATCACGAATGGGTGAGCCGTTTTTATTCATAACTCTTATCTTGCATCGTGTCATTGAATACTAGATAACAGTTTTTGTTAAATTCCGATTATTTTCAAAACAAGAGGGATTAACTTAAAAACATTTCCTAGAAAAAAAATGGCTTATTGTAAATTTTAATTTTAAAGAAATATTATACATCGGAATATTTGCAAATATATTTGTTTCTAAATCATCTATTTTAATATTAAAACAATAACATTACTAGATTTTCGGCTGCCAAAACTTATTAATAATTCTATTGATGAAGGTTTAAGCTTAGAGAAGAGCGATGAAAGGCAACACGACCGCTTTGTGATTGATCGTCTCCCGCCATTTATTAGGCGCCATTCTCCACACCCCGGGTCTGGTGGGGGAAATTTCGGGGGGCTTTGCCCCCTTGGGGCCCAGATCGGGGGCTCCCAGGCAGCCAAGAAAGAGGAATTGACAATAAAGAGAACACTTATCGTTGTGATTTGGGTTTATTTTACACTCTTCAAATTTTAAGATTTTGTTAAATTAACATCAAATAACATTTATTTGATGTATTTAATTTACTTGATGTATTTATACTAATACAGTTGTAAATATCATAATAAAAGTTTAAAAAAAAAAAAAATCAAATAACGAGTATTTATTTAGTTTACAAATTTTTGTTTAACATTTGTCTGTAATAATTATTTTTACTTACATTCCTTCATTTTCGCGACTGATAAATCATCCTTTGCTAAACGCATTCGTCTATTTCATTCTGTTTAAATGAAATTATTAACATCCGAACAAAATTTTGAAAATTCATCTTATCGTAATCCACAACTTTTTTTATTTACGAGAATATTCGAAAATGGGGCGTTTCCAATTTAGAGGTCGGTAAACTTTGTCAATTTAATGATTTACTATAAACCCACAAACGCCCATTTGCTTTCCACTTGAACCTCAAGATAATTTCAACGAAATATCAAAAAAAATGTGGCAAAGTAAAATATTAATCCGTTTGGCGTGACTCCTACCCCCAACATGTCATAGTAACAATCTTATATTCGCCAAACTTGTTTTTTTCTATTTTGTGATCAAATTATCTTTCACGATTTCTTATACGGATATTAACGATTTGATGAAAAGATGTCTGTGCCGATAATGAGAGATGGTTCAGATCATTCTCAACTGTTGGCAAAGGTGTGTGTGAGAGATGTCAATGAACCCCGAAAACTAACAACGAATGCCGCATTATGTATATGAGCCGATAAGTTGAGTTGACGAAAATTCACGGTCAAAATACACAAAGGGGCCATTGAACTCAGCTACGAAAGGAATTGGCTTCCATTACGTAATGGTTTTTATTTTTCACGTTTTATTATTTTTTTTAAAGCAGGTTTAAAGAAAATTTAAATCTCTAAATAGGGGATTCGATTTAAAGTCATTTAAAACAAAATCTGACGCCTATTTTTTTTTGCTTTCGATTATTACAGAATTCAACTTTTATAATTTAATCTAATCTATACCACTAGGCGAGATTTAGGAAAAGCTTGAGAATTCCGGAAAAAAAAAACAGTTTTGAAAGAACAAGTCCATTATCCATCCAAAATCCTTGGTAATGCATTTTTATAAATAATAATAATTAGTTTATAAAAATAATTTATAATATTTATTTATTTATAAAAATAAGCGTATTCTTGAAAGTATGTTTTCTAAGCAGTCAATAAACATTACAGAGGAAAGGGATTATTTTGTTTGTACTAACATAAGAGATAACCTACCAGAGAATTTTATACATTTATTTTATAAACATGCCATGTTTTGGATACTCTACATTCGGTCCAATTTCACGATTTTTTGGTTTTAATAAGAAAAAAAAACCAAATATTTTATCTTGAAGTTATATACTTCCATTAATATTGTATAAACTAAAACAGTTTAGAAGCTATAAAAAATCGTGACTCATTGTGAAATACTAGTATGGCGAAATTATTCTTGTTATCTTTGTTACAGTTATCAAATGTTCTTAAATTATACAAATACGAATTAGCTTGTTTCTGTTATTTTTTCTAGTTTTCTGACTTGAGCGTTTCTTCAATAGTTATTCAAGCTCGTTACTTCTACGATATAGAATATTACTCTTCAAAAGAAGTCTCTTGTTTTATTTATAATATAGTTTTAGAATTTTTCGGTGCTTAGTACCATATTAATCTATGTTTTTCTCGCCATTTTTGACAGATGTGTGGGTTGTTCTATAGGCACAATCAAACCTATTCTAACACAAGTGAGAAGGTCAAGATTCATTCTGTGGGTCCGTCTCGAAATCAAATTCTTATCAGAAAATTTAACTATGATTTTCTGGCCTCTGAAGGCTAAAAAATCCTTACCACTTCCGTAGTTAAGTAAAGAATCTTACTACTTTCTGTTTCACTATGTATATATATATATATATATATATATATATATATATATATATATATATATATATATATATACACACTTAATGTGTGTATATATTGTGCATGTGATTATACTAGTTTAATTATTGAACCGTATAGGACGAGATAATGAGAGAACCAAATTAGGCGCCGGCGGCCTCCCAAGGAGGTTTTTTGCGGGCGGGAGGAACCTGTTCCGTGGAATCCGTTCTCTCCTCCTCTTCCCCTGTCCTCCCTCCCCTCCCCCCAACTCCTTGATCCTTAGTCCTTAGTCCTTACTGTTATTAGTGCTTCCCTCTCTGCCGCATTTCCATTCTTTTCTAATCTTCGTCTTCGAATTCTGGGGCTGTAAGGATGCAAGTTGAGTCGTATTGGATAGGAACGTCTTATAAAGATTCCACTAACCGCAAAGATTAAAAAAAAAAAGAAAAAAGGATGCAGACCTAGTGGAGTATAAACAATTTCCATACTATAGTATGGCAGAAATTTAAGAATTTGCCGTACCTGATTTTTTAAGGAAATTTGAATGCTTTTATTTTTATAGGGTTTAGGGCACGCTTCAGTTTTCCTTCGTCTTCGACTTCTGGGGCTTTAAGGGGTGTAATTCGAATCGTATTGGATAGGAACGTCTTATAAAAACTCTTCTAAAGGCAAGAATTAAAAAAAAAAAAAAAAAAAAAAAAAAATAAAAAATAAAAAAAGGATGCAGACCTAGTGTTTATATAGTACGGCAGAAATTAAAAAATCTAAGAATCTGCCGTACCTGATTTTTAAAGGAAATTTAAATGCTTTTATTTAAGGGTTTGGGTTAAAAAAATATATATATATTACGCTTCAGTTTTCCTTCGTCTTCGACTTCTGGGGCTTTAAGGGTAAGTCGAATCGTATTGGATAGAAACGTCTTAAAAATCTAAGAATCTGCCGTACCTGATTTTTAAAGGAAATTTAAATGCTTTTATTTAAGGGTTTCGGTTAAAAAAATATATATTACGCTTCTGTTTTCCTTTTTTCCTATTTCTCTATCTTAAAAAAAAATTTAATACATATTTATTAGCTTCTTTTATTAATGTATGTTTACAAAGTTGAGCTCAGAGACACTTCGAACACACTCTCGTATACAATGGATCCCAGTATCCTCCACACCTTCAAGACGCACTAATTTTTAGCTAAACGTGAACCTTTTTTAATTATTTAAAAAGAGTAATCTTGTATACTTGTGTAATTATATTACAGTTCCAATTTACTTTATTAATTTTTCCGAGCAAGTATCCTTTTTTCTCCACTCTTTTCTTGCCTTTTAGGCTATACGTGTTTTTTTCTCGGACCAGAGAAAAGAGTGGAGAATTACTCCATGCTAGTACCCAATATCGCTTTTGCTTTCGATTTCTCTTGACTGAGAGACGTAAATTCTCCCCGGGCTTTCGGTTCCCACAATCGTCAAGCACCTCCCGAGAGCAGACAATGGGCTAACTAACCGCGATCAGATGTGGCCGCCCGAGATAGAGGCCGACTGGAATATTATTCGAGCGCCGCCCTTGCAGATAGTATCTATCCCTCGTGACCAATTTAAACAGGGCCCCCTCTCCTTGAGAATAACGAGCTCTCTTCTCACTTCTGTCCTTTCCTTTAATCTCCTTAAGGAAATATATTGCTCAAATATCCCCTACTGTCATTACATAAAATTAATTATATAATATATTCCTTAAAAATGCTAAAAATAGAAAAACATGCTTTTAAATATTTACTAGGCCATAATGATAGTAGTTCTCTTTCGTTACACCTACACCTAGACTCCTGAAAATACTCGAGTGTGATAATCCTAAATACTTCTAAATACCTTATTCCATTAAGTATTTTTAATAATGTTAAGTTGCTCCTCACGAATCGATTTATTCTACGGTAATAAAACGCACATTTAGACTGGAAAACTAAACAAATGTGCGTTTCTAAAACAAAAGTCGACTAGTTTTGTTTGACGTATTAAGGGGCGTTTATGAATTTTCCAAATATGCAAACTCTAAATGAAAAAAAAATATTAGATACTTACACGTTTGTATTTCAGAGAAACGTTTTGTTCAGAACCCTATTCGATACACTTCCGCATGGTTTGGGTAATGTGTAAACAAGCTTTAAACAAGCCACAGCCCTTACAATCCCATAACCCTTCATGAGGTCACACTTCCGAGACTTCCAGTTCTCACCACCTCTTTGACCCAGTTTCCCTCTTTGATATTCAACTATTCCTTCAGGGCATCTTCCCCTATGGTGATAACGTACAGTAACATCGATTTACATTTACAACTTGTTTATTTAATTCAACGTATTGCTAATTTTTTTATGAATAATTAATGATGTTATTTTTTCTTTCTTTTTTTTCAGAATTCAAATTCTGCATGTACACAGCAAGCATAGTCGCCGGTGCTGCGATTGCAGCGGCACTCAAAGGTCTGCAGTGGTGCAACAGGAGTGGATGGTCGCTGGATAGGCTGACAGACCACTTGACGAAGACCCTTGGAGTGGAGAAGGTAACATCCTTCGATGTTCTAATTGTATTATTAATTAAGTCGCTAACGAAAGTTCGTACGTTTAATATTTATTATTCCATTACCTAATTATTTTTTTACATACTTTTATTGATTTTGGCTGCTTTGATCAATCATCTAATTGATACTTTAACATTCGAATTTTAGTTTTATTAATGTATAATTCATTAATGCGTAGGACATATTTATTAGTGTATCATTTTTGTATCTTGCTGCTATGAACATATCAATGGTTGCTACAATCACTATAACAATTGTAGAATATAAGTGTCTATAGCGTTTATGATATTTATATACCAGTTATTGTTTTTACTATAAATTGTGAGTTTTGATCTATTCATATGAATAATACACAATACATACATGTTTGCACAAACTATAGATTTGAATTATTGTTTAAAAAAAAAAATGTATTATAAATTACAATTCAAAGGATTGACTTCAGTTTCATGTCAAAATCACAGTTTTCATCGTATAGTATTCTCAACGATTATTTTTACACGCTGACAAAACTTGTGATAGTTAAGAAAATGGCGAATCTAGAACAGCTGACTTTATATTACACGGTTAAAAGAACAGCTGATGTCATGATTATTTTAACCAAAGGCAATTTATTTACGAATAGATTTAACAATGAACTCTGTAAAAACATTTGATAAAATCAATTTCAAAATAATATAAACATAACAATAAATGATAAGAAATTTTCCCACACTCTTACCATGACCAATGGAGAGACTTAAGTTGGTTTTCCCACTGGATAGATAGGTAACCTGTCCAATCCTAATTAGAGTACATAATGGTGTCAAACCCTATTTCAACAAAATGTGTTACTTCAATGGTTTTGTTTATCGGTGTCTAGTAATATTATCAGTAGGAATCAACGTAATATATTTAGGCGTTACGATTTGTTGTACCTATCTTTCGGGGGATATTAATGTCCCTTCGTTGCACTTTATACAATGCCTTGAAATCCGCAGACCTATATCTCATAGGGATCCTTGGTTTCAAGGCCTTAAAATGCCTCTCAGCTGATCTGAATTTCCAAGCGTTATCGATTTGCCAACGTTTCGTGTTTACATCGATTTGATCTATGCCCAAATGTATATTATGCTATGGAAATTTCCTTAGCCTTGTTTTAAACACTGCACTTTTATTTAAGATGAAACATTTAAAGGAATAAATTAGCCATTTTCTAGAGTTGCTAACAGTGAGAGTATTGTGGGTTCGGGGTCAAGGTCAAACTTTTAACCGCTGACTGACCACACATGGAGAGCTGTTTCAGTTTCTTCACATCTTGCATATTTTATAGTTGTGATGCGTTGATATTAATCGTTATTATGAAGTGATCCAGTATTAATATTATAGTCTACTCAAAACAAAAGAGATTTGTTTAAGGCTAATTGAGTTAATCATAAAAAATACCGAAAAACTTATTGACGCAACTTTATGAGATCTGGCATATTTGTATATTTAAAAAAGGAAAAAAAAAATGATTTTACTAAGTACGCTAAAATTATAACTTAATTTTTATGTAAATAAATGATTAAGGCTATATTTGGAAAACATTCTCTTTTATCAGACCAGTAATTAATTTTAATTGTTCTGTTTTAACAAGGGTTTTGACTATCAGCAAACGTCAGGCGCATGCGCTAAACAGTTTTTTCGTTCCAAAATGTGCACCCGGCATGCGCGTGGAAGAAAAAACTGGTCTGTACGTATACCTGCTAGTTTGAGTCAAAATTCGTGTTGGAACATACCTATTATATTATGTTGTAAATTACGGTACACCAATAATTCATATAATATTCAGTTTTGAATGAAAATAAATCTACAATGTGTGACTTTACTGCGTCCTATTTTCGATCGTTGTCTTAAAACACTACGAATGATTACATAGTTGTTAAGTTATTTCAATTTAGATAACCTTAACAGTAATTAGTCGCCATTTTGAAAAATGGCGGATGTAATGTAGTTTTGAAGATCATCTTGAGGTTTCAAATCTGAAAACCACTCCTTTTTAAAGTTCGCGGAAGATCGGATAGAATAAAAATTTGCTTTCATGTGTCAATGGTAGTAGATTTTTGTAACATCGATCTAATATGATCCTAGTATAAATTTAATTCAGACCGGAGACATTTTGTTTTCTTTCCATCGGCCATAGTTTCGCTCCTTTAGTCCATCTTGAATAGAGGTATCTTGTAGCGAAGGTGACCACCAGAACAATGATCAGGCAAGCGGTTCTTTTCTTTTTTTATCTTTCTTTCAATCTGGACCCTTTTAGCGCCGCCGAATTTGTGTTCCCAGTGCCTGTGGAATTCTTTCATCAATTTTTTACGCCTACCCTTTCGCCAACGAGTGAGAAGGCCTCCCTCAGGTAATCCTCTCAAAGTTAATTCCTTGTTTTGTTTTTTTGTCGCGCCCTTGAGCGGTTTTTGTTTCGGCTGGGTGTGACGTCAGGATCGTGATTATGTCTTCATCAAAGGGTCTCTGGAGGCGCCCTCACACAGTCGTGGGAATCTGGATCTTGTGAATGGTCGTCCTGACGGAAATGCTCAATAGTATGCTTCACTTGATGGGCACTCTCTTGCAAGGGGATCTAGTTTTCATCCATCAACATGAGGGTACACACCATTGTTTGTTTTTCAACTTGACGTCTTTAAGAAATGAAGATGAGCCTAAAGCAAATGAATCAAACATTCCATTGTTCAGTTTTAGAGGTCTACATCTACTATTTCCAGTTGGATTCAGGAATAAAAAACTAATAAATATCTGGTTTATGGATTAAACAACACTTTTTCAAATAGTATTTTCTTTTTTTTATTGCTTTCAACGTGATACTATAACAACTTCATTAAAATACTATTAACATCAGTAAAATACATTTACTAGAAGATAAAAGTTTCTAGTATCTATTAGTTTCCTCCAGTTTATAGTAAAAGCAAAATGGAATTTAACTTAGATAAATTTAGTGTTTAAGTGATTAAAAAGTGATTGCAAATAGTTAAAAAATGTTATTGGATTTCATTCAGATTATCCTAAGTTGCAATAAGTTTTTAGACAAGTATCACTGTATTTCAGCAACCATTAATATGAACCCACATATATCATGAGCATTCTGTTTTAAAAACATAAAGTCTTTATGATTTAATAACGAAACTTAAAATATTAAGATGTGTGTCAAAACATAATTTAATTTTTTTTTTTCTTTTTGCTTTCCAGGATTATCTCCAAACATGTTTGAGGCAGATGGAAGATATGATTAATGAAACAATTTCTGTCGCCACTGCAATCCAAGAAGAAAATAAAATGAAGTCTGGTACACCAACAGACATTCACGACATCGACTTCTGAGTGAGAAAGTGTCCTACACCCTGATCTATACAATTGATTCTGTTCGATAAAAAACTTTTATTTTGAATATCATAAAATGCCTGCCATATTTATCAATTTTATATTGAAGTGTTGTGTAGATTTTGTGATAACACATCATATGAGTATTTTGTTTTTTATTAGAGTAGTTTGTGCTTTTCCGTTTAAATAAGCCAACCGTTTCGCCTCCAAGATCAGGTTTCGTTTTAATTGTACACTGGGGAAGGCAATAAAATACGCTTTAATTTTATTATTTTTCCGATATATTAGTTTAAGTTCGAAAGGTAACTTGTAGATAAGACGTATTTTGTATGTGAATATTTTTTATTTGGTTTGTGCCTGTTATGTACCCCGGTATCAGGCGCATAACATGAAAAAATTGAAAACTTAGTCATTTTGAGTCATCGTTTTTAGGTTAGGATAAACGAGTAGTGACATACCATATTTTTCTTTCTTTTTAATTTTAAAAATGTAGTTTCTTTATTGTTCCTTTTTTCGCCATCTAGAACTATCGTTTTAAATATTTTCTTTAATTCAATCTGCAACTAATATAAAGTTAACGTGTCAACTCTAAAGGCTGCATATTAAACCTTGTACATCGATTATAAAAAGTATTAAAGAAACGGAAAAGATAATAGTTGTAGTATTGTTCACTGTATTTTTTATCAGGTTCGTTGTGTACCTTTATGTATGAGTCCTTTTATTTTATATTTCAAAAGTATATTTTCAATCATGTTGTAGTTTGTTTGTAAATTAGCTTTTATTTTTATTCTAGTTTCTTTTTTATAAGACATTTATAAGGGCTGTATGGCACTACGATAAATCGCTATTATTTTTTTATATATATTTTTTTTGTCACTTGTGGAGGGCATGTAAAGAGACGGTCAATTCTGTCTTAACGCTGTGAAAGCCGACATGTGACTATTATATAATAGGCTATTAATGTCCTCCTACATGTGAATCTTTATATGATTACCAAGTCTTGATTATTTAAAAGTAATCACTAAAAATTGTTATCCCTTCAGCCCATTTTATTTGTAAAAATCATGGCATATGATTTAAAATTTTCAAAAGCTACTTGAATGTGTATGTTTAAAGAAAAAAAAATGCAAAGATTAAGAATTTTATAAACAAATTTTATAAAAAAAAAATGTTATATAGATATATTATATTACCTACGTGCAAATTCGTTATTGTATATTAACGCTAGTAGTTTGTAGGTTTATTCCTGTTACATATTATATATCATTTATATATGTACAAAAAATTTATTGTTTGAACTACAAAATTAAACTTTGTGCTTCTTTTTTTGTTGATTCCTAATAGGAATTTTTTAAATAATATATAGAGTGTCTGAGGAGCTGTAACTGTTATAAAGTTTATAAAAGGAAGGCTGAAGTACTTAAAGCATTAACTGCAGTTTTTTTCCTTCATTTAATTTTTTTTTTTTTTTGTTTTCCTGTAACACAAAGCTTGTCTAAATGTGACCTCACAGGATAATACAAGTATGAAAGAACTGTTATACCTCCTCAGAACTCTGTACCTCTTTGATTACCTCAAAATCCTTTTCCTCAAAGGACAAGTTTATACGAAGAAACAATAGTCTGATTTTATTAAGAATGACTAGAGGATTTTTTTTCTATATTAAAGTACCTTGATTATTATACTATGTTTTTTTTTTTTTGTAAAAATATAGTGTTTTGCATAAAATATTTTTTGTTAATCAATATTACACCTTAACCTCATCCTATAAGATATATGTACAATGTGAAACCATACAATTTTCAAATCCCATTTTATTCAGGAAAGAGAAAAGAAAGTTAAAAAATTGAATTATCATAATATAGATTTAAAAAAAAAACAATAAAGTACTAACCAGAAATTGTTAAAAAAAAAAAAGATTAATTTTTATGCGATTTTACAATGTGATCAATAATATACTGTAAGTGTTTGAAATACAGTAATAGCTTATTTTGAAGAATATAAAAAAAAAAAAAAAATAATGAAATTATAGTTGCTGACTATAGATCATTAAGATATTAAGCTAAATTTGAGTTTTATACTTCATAATTTCAAGAAATAGTGGGAAAGTAGTAAATAATTAAATTTTTGTTAAATCAATAAGTTATCAATCAATAATGTATTTAAATAATACAGTAAAATATATCTCTTTTCTGGCTCTCAGGAGTCGTGGATTTTGACAAACGAGATCAAGTTCTCAAATGTAAGTGTGTTCTTGAAGAAGTGACTAATCCCAATTTTAAACTTAAATTCATTACATAACTATAAATAAAAGTGCTTTAAAAATCGATACTTCTACCATAGTAAGTTGGCTGATCAGGAAACGTACCAGGTAAAAGAAAAAACTAGAAGATATTACTTTGATGGAAATTTTGGAGCTGGAAAGAAATAGTGTAAGTTAATAAGACATCTAGTGGTATGATTTATGCACTGGCTGGCAGCACTTGACGTAGCCTTATCTCCTCTTTTGGAACATAATTATGTTCCTGCTAATTTTCTTTAACACTGATTATCTTTGCAAATATGTATCAGAAAAATTTCTTTTTACATTTTTATTGTTATAACTTAATCTTCACCGAAGAACACGTGCTCATGCAGGTACTCTATTCTAATAACAATATGTAATACATATTTCCATGTTAGGTGTGTGTTCACTAGTATCAAATGTGGGAAACAAAAGTTATTGAAAAAATTTAATTTTGTGTTTGTTAACAAATTTTGGCTTTTTCAGAAGAAAATTAATTCATTGAGAAATATAAGAGTATGGTTAGGTTTTAAATTTTTTTTTCTGTTGGCATTATAGATCTTGTATATATTTTGCCGCCTTAACAAGCCTGCTCCATTTCTACTTGACTTGGGCTATTTCTTTTCAGTTCTGTATTGCATCTTTGCCTCGTCCATCTTAACATATCATAGAATATGAATCGACCAGTTTCTGTAAGCAGTTCTTTATTGGTATTTTTTCTCCTTGTGTTGGTATTCTGATCCCAGATTGCTTCGGTTATCGTGCGGAAGATTTTTCTAGGGTGCTGGTTAGTGTCCAGGTTTCACTACCATATACACCCTTAATTTGAATTTTTTCAGAATTTCAATACCTTTGAAAGGGAGAAGAAAGCTCTACTTGTGCTAGTTATTCACTGGTCTATTTCTGACCATTGGTCATTCATTTAGGTTATTGTGGAGCCGAGATATTAGAATTTTTCTACACTCAGGAATGATTTTCCTGCTACTGGGGTGGAATTTTCGACTTATCATCATATACTTTCTTTGTCTTCATTTACTTGTAGGTTGATCCACTCAGCCTCTCTTATCAGGCTCTTAGCGAGTTTAATAATATCCTCTTGATTACTTCCTAAGATAGCTATATCATATGCGTATCCAAAGATTTTATGATTCCTTCATTTTCTTGTGATGTTCTTATCACCTTCTCCAGGGCTAAGTTGAACAACATCGGTGATAGTCCATCAACCTGCCTTTGACGTGGATACATTAAAATGTTTTATGAATAATTGGCCACCTTATGGAGAATTTTTACGTAACTTATTCAAGATAGGGTTGCAACAAATTACATACCATCAGTGCATTGTCAGTGGTATTAATAAAAATGTATCAAATACCAAAATTTGGTTTAAAATTATGTTTGGTGATGTAACTTATCCAATTTCTTATATGAACTATATTAAATGTAGTTTGCCTCACTCATACTTCTATTATTATTCAATGCTATCTTAAAAATGAATAAAAGCTAAAAAAACAAAAACTCAAATATGCCAAAATTTTCAGATATGCCAGTTTAGCACTGGACTAACCTTAAGTAATTGAAAATAAAAAAAGTAGAAAAAATCTATAGTTTTGTTTGTATAAATTGATGTTAATAAAATGTAATTTCATTATTTACATAATAAGATTTGTAAGATTTTCCTGGAATATAACCCTGATAGATTTTTGAAGATTAAGATAATGTAAACCATAGAAGCTGAATAGTAAATGTAAAATAATAACAAAAGGTGAAAATATTTAAGACAAAATACAAATCTCACTAAATTTATTTACAAAGTATATGATACATTATTTATAATAGCATTTAAATAAACATAATAAACAAAATTTGTCAACAGACTTATACTTTTAAGTTAAAACTAATCCATAAAGTCAATAAACTGTATAAGATAAAAATAATTTGATAGAAATAGCAATTTCAAAGTTTTCTAGTCAAAATGAAAATTCTAAATGTTCTGAAACTTTGTAAAAATATTGTCACCTATTAATGGGAGACTATGACTGAAAAGTTAACATTTGAATTTATACAAGTATTATTGATTTGACAGAAATCCATATATAATTTATAAATCTCGTAAATATAGAAAAAAATATTTTAATTTGCTTCTCAAATTATTTATACAATTTGGCTAATCGTGAAATAATAATTCATTTTTATCACATTACGTTTATAAAGTGGACATTTGAATAATTAAGAACACGAAATTCTATGCATAAATAAACATTTTGATTGCATATTTTTTTTTCCTTGTCGTAACAACAATTAATAAATAATTAAAATACAAGAAGAATAAAATTTGAATATTAACAAACAATATAACAAAAATAAAAATAGCTTATACACTCGCTAATCCCTTAAAAACAATTCAAATAACAAAATGCACTTTTCAAATCAGTTGGAAAGTAAGATAGTACTTTGGAAATGTTATAAACTCTTAAGACTAGGGCGATCACAATATGCTTAGGGCACACAATATCTTTACAACAGAGACTGTAAATGTGGTAGTAATCAGTCCAGTGTCTCATTCAATATTGTCATCTATCATAAATTTTCGAGCCAAAGTATCGAACTTTGGAATGAAAGGTTACTTCACTGTCACTGCTGTGATGAACCTGACGTTGGAGAACTAGTGAAAAAAAAAAAAAAGTAACTAATAGAAAAATATAGAATCAATATGAAAATATTTGTCCTATGTATGTATTGGTAGTGTTTTGTAAAAAAGGGTGAATCCAACAATTCACTATTTTTACCCGACTATGCGCAGCGAAACAAGGGTTATGTGTTTGGGTCATACGCTAAAAGCTAAGTAACGCTTTTTTGAACGAACCCCGCTGTGGATGGTGTTGCAGGTTTGATGGGTCAAATTATTTGGTGTGAACCATTGAGCATTTTGAAACAATGTGAGCAAAAAATACTGACTCGTTATTAAATAAAATATATTTTATGAATTTGCCAAAAGTTTTGTAACACTATTTTGAGCGAGTGGTTGGATCAATTCTTAGGTTTGATGGCTCAAATTATTCCTTGAGATTCCCTGAGTTTTGAAACAATTTGAGATAAAAATACTGACCTGTTATTAAATAAGATGTGTTTAATCAATTCGCAAAAAGCTTTGTAACGCTGTTTTGAGCGAACAGCTGGATCGATTTTTAAGTTTGATATATTATATTATTTGGCAAGCTTCCGTGAGTGTTTAGAAAGCAAAACGACAAAAGGGTAATGTGTTCGGGGTGTCCGCTAAAAGCTTTGCAACACTGTTTTGAGCGTTATAACTGGATCGATTTTTGTGTTTGATGGTTCAAATTATTCGATGAGATTCCGTGAGTGTTTTGAAATAATTTGAGCTCTAAATTCTTTCAAATTACAGTGTAAATCTATAAAATATTTTTAATCAAACCGCTAAAAGGTAGATTAAGATTTTTTAAGAGGATGACGTGAACTATTTAATTGATATCTACAAATATTTGACTTGTAGTAGTCGGGTTCATATCGCACCTCAAGACTCTTTACAATATTGACATGTTCCGATACATTGGACGACATATATTTGCCTGGAGCAGTAATGTGAAGTGAAAGAAACCCAACCATTACACCATGTTTAAATATTGTAGATTAGATGACAATTTCCCTATCGATCTACTACCAAAATGTTTCAGTAGACATGGAAGTACATTCCCTTAGTGTGAATAGAATTTCCAAATTTCTGTAATTAATTTAGGATTGACTAGACTTTTGTAGAAAATGATGTTATGAGATTTTTGCATGTGAGTATATTCAAGGGAGATGAAGAAATATGAAAATTACAGAGCAGTCATTTTTACCAGAAGCTATTAGGAGTCTAACCAGGTAAAAAAAAAAAAAATTGTTGAATTTACCCTTTTTACATAGCACTCCCAAAGCAAACATTTATTTTTAATAATTATAAATTAATTAATATAAATTATATTACAAGTGACCATCAAGATTTGTCTGCAAATTCTATTCTGTTCGATATATAATTTTGAAGAGATATGTGAACATTTATATAAAGAGTCGGCAATAATTACCTGAAAAACCAGTTGAAAATCCCGTAGTCCACACTTGTATCTTTGTCTAGGCAAAACAAATAAATTATGTAATGAAAAATAAATAAAACATCTACATAAATTAAATAAATTTGAGAGAAAGTGAAAAAGAGGAAATGTTTAATACCTTTAATCTAATATATTATAAAAAAATTGTATACACTTAATAGTTTATATGACTTATCTATAATGAAAAATAAAAATTAACGTTTAATAGGTAGACTGTGAAATTATACTTGAAGTAAGAAAAAACAATACCCTTCTTTTTAACAGTCTCATTTATTTTATCTTTTGATGCTCTGCACCATATTTATCTTTCCAACGCTTGTTCCATCCATTTTTGGATTTCGTTCTTTAAATAAATTTTTGCAATCATTTCACACTATTAAAAATTAAGAAACCAATCTGCAATGATTGAAGACATTTATTTAAAGAATGAAATCCAAAAATGGATGGAACGAGCGTTGGAAAGATGAATATGGTATCGAGCACCGAGAGCTCCAAAAGATAAAATAAATGAGACTATAAAAAGAAGACTTGTTTTTCTTACTTTAAATAATAATCTATATAAAAATCCTATTCCATACCAAACACTTTTGAAATTATCAAACCAACCTTTATTGGCATTAAAATCAGTGTTATTATTTTTCTTAAAAAAATTTTCGGACTTATCTAAACTTATTTGGGTCATCAGGGATTTTGGATTACTAGGAGTTCGGATTATCAGGATTGTCCTGCATATACATGTGTATGCATAAATGTATACAACTTGTAATGTACGAATGCATGTAAACTTATCTTTTCTATAATATTTCAAGGAATAGACCATTTAAATATATAATAAATATTATAGTTACAATACAAAATCATAATAAAGTTATATGATTAAATTATTGCCGCAGATAAAATTAAATTGTATGTTATACTTCATAGGAGTATGTTATATGTTTGAACAGGTAGATAAATTTAGGTATCTAGGTTCAACGATAACTAGAAAAAACGAAATTGAAGAAGAGATTAAGGTTAGACTGAAGGCAGGAAATGCTTGTTATTTTTCTGTGACAAACTTACTTAGTTCGCGCCTCTTGTCCCGGAACTTAAAAATTAGAATCTATAAAACAATTATCTTGCCTACAGTTCTTTATGGATGCGAAACTTGGCCGCTTACATTAAGGGATGAGCAGCGTCTTAAGGTTTTGTAAATTAAATTTTGTGTAGAATATTCGGACCGAAGAAGGATGAGTTAACCGGAGAGTTTAGACGGTTACACAACACCGAATTGCGTGAACTATATCCGGGTAATATAATTGATGTAATTTCATCGCGGCGAATCAAATGGGGTTGTAAAGTTGTTGGGCTTAGTAACGAGAGAATTCCTAAAAGGTTAATATCTGCTGTGCCGAATGGTAAGCGTCCGAGGGGTAGACCGAAGCGAAGGTGGGAAGATTGCATTAAAGCCGATCTGAAGGGACTGGGTTTGGACGGCGAACGATGGAGGGAGGTGTGTAACAAGTGATTGGTGGTGTCGGCATCGAACCTTCGGGTTCGCTAAGCCTTATTATTATTATTATGTTATACTTACAACAACATGCAAAAATATAATTAATGAATATGATTTACTCAATACATCGAGACTAAGTATTTAGTCTCAAATAAATATTTTCTTCTTTCATTTTCAATGGATACTCCTTCATAATCATCATATTCGTTGATCTGATCAGGTTCTATCTATATTTGTTTGATTTTTTAGTTAGTTCTTTTCAGTTTATTACAATTGCGTTCTGCTATTAGTGGGATGTATTTTGAAAAGATTCAGTGCTTATTGTATTGTTATTCATGATTTATTATAATTATAATAATTTCCATAAAAACAACAACAGTATTTGGCTAATTCGTCTACTAGTTTATTTACAATTCTACCTGAATTATTATAGAAAAATAAAAAACGAAGATGGGTAGTTAAATTGGATAGTACTGAATAGCACGAGGGAGAATATAGTGATAAAATTACTTGTCTTGCCTGGATATTTGATAAAATATAAGAGAGAATTATCAAATTCTTCTATCTTTAATAATAAAAAATCAAAACACAATCAATGAAGTTATGTCGCATTTTTCTATTTTATCTGAAGATTAGGAAATAAAGAACGAGTGATGTTAGGAACCAGTTATGAACGCTTACCAGTGTATAAAAATGGCACAGATTTTTTTTTTTAATTTAAAAATAGTACAAACAATAAGGTATCGTAGTAAGTAAATCCATGACAGAGGTCAAATGGTCACTGAGTTTTATCTTTGTGAGTGTATGAATGTAAATATTAACATGTGTATATACATATTTGTGTATTGCTATTTAGAAGAAAGTCGGGAAATCTAAAAAAAGGAATGATTTTGGACATTTACGAAGACCAACAACCCCAAGATATATCTCTACCTTGATGAGGTGAGGAGGCTTAGGTCAAAATTTGACAAACCAAGACAGGTATCTCATGGGATAAGTTGGCAGCAGGACTTGCATCTAAGAAGTGGTGAGGGAAGAGCTCAGATGAGGAACCAATGACAGCCTTCTATATCAGAGTAAGATTATTTGCCACGAAATGACAAGGAGCCCTCTACAGTCCTAACAAAGGCAACTCCTTAACACATTAGCTGCGGTTAAGGTCCTCGGATTCCAATATTCCTCTTGATTTCGGCTAGGATTGTTTCGCATTTTGCCTATTTTACGAAGTCTCTAAAATGGTCATTTTAAAACATATTTGAATGGGAGTTGGATGGATATAAAGATAAATACAAACGTAATTAATCATTGTATCTGATAGACGCCGGGGACCATAACTGCAGCTAAAGTATTAAGCTCAACACCCCGAAATTATTGTGACTCCTCCTTCTGGTGTAGCATGTGGCCAACCATCACTTTAGAAAAGAGTCAATAGTTACGACACCCACAATCATAAGGAGAAAAAAAAAAAAAAAAGTAAAAAGAAGACCAAGTAATTTAATTCATAATTGGTAATTGGTTGACTGTCGTGGATAATGAAGAGAAGAATAGTTGGTCAGTCAAAAAAGAAGGCAAAAATAAATGATAATATTTATTTTTTACATATGCCGACGTTTCGACCTGAAGTTCAGGCCTTCATCAGGGCATGGAATGATCATTCCACACTTTGTAACGGTTATTATTATTTATCTCTTAGTTCTTAGTCATTATTCTAACAATTTCATTTTACTTTATATTTAATTATTTTATTTTTTTTATTTTTTTTTATTATTATTTTTTTTTACTATCACTACTTATATTTCTCATACCTTGTTATCTGGTTATTTTCTTAGCCCTGATGAAGGCCTGAACTTCAGGTTGAAACGTCGGCATATGAAAAAATAAATATTATCATTTATTTTTGCCTTCCTTTTTGACTGACCACCCCAACTATTCTTCTCTTCAAGTAATTTAATTGTATGCTTTACCTTCCTTGGTGTGGAAATAACCACAAAAACAAGGGAGTGATGAGATCGGAATTATAATAAAACATAGCCTACTTTGGCCTGCAAATTTAATGAAATCGAGCCACTTGATCAGGCTAACCAAACTTAAAATTTATTAATCTTTGATAAGGCTAATAGTATGGCATATAATGAAAAACTGGACACTGAAAGCTTCGCACTTGTTAAACCTATGGTCTTTACATTAATAACATATTAAGACATATTTTAAATCAATATATCAATTGAGGCGTATTCTTGAATATATAGATCAAGTAATGAATCAGAGGAAGAAAAACCTCAGAAACAAAATAGCATAATAACACCACTAAATAAAACCTTCACTTTGGGGATGGCCAAGACTGGTCCAAAACATTAGAAAAATGTCTTTCTTTCATGATTCATCTATTCCGTTTTTCTTTATTATCTTCTTTTCACTTTTCTTGGTCTCTTTCTGACTCAAAACTCCATTCCCCACCTTTCTTATTACCCCAACGCCCTCCGAGCACTGAAGATTTTTATTCGTTAGATAATATGATTCTCATGAGTATCCATCCCTTACAGTCTCAATGACTGTCATCATCAAGAATTAGGATTACAATCCAGCAAAAAATAAAACAGGTGTATGGAATTAAATGGATTGCTAAGAAAAGGAAATTGAAATGTTCGAGAGCTATATAAAATCTCCAGAACTCGAATATACCAGCAACAGACATAAAAATATCTGTAACATATAATAGAGCACAATATTATGAAAAAAACTGTGATTAATGACTACAATTTCTGAATTAATGGTATTTGGGGGAACATATCTTCAGTAGATTTCAGATTTAATTCTGGACAGAAATTTTAATTATTGTACAAGGGATAGTAGTTTTATTTTATTATATATATTATAATAATAGAATTTTATAATTATAATAGTGATGGGGTGATAATGAGTATTTTATTTTCATCTTATATAAACCAGTAGGTTGAGTAATGCTGGAAGAGAGGAATCGACTGTAGATGAGGAAGAAACAGTTGGCATCAGGAAGGGACTTAAGGATCAAATTGTATTTAAGCCATTAAATCCAGGACGACATAAGGGGCAGGACCTAGCAAATGAGAGTTAAATATTATTTTTAAATAATGAAATGATTATAGCACCACAAGCAATACAAATATATAATAATATAATACAAAACAAAATAATTTACCATACTGTTAAAGCCTTCTGTGAAACTTTAAAGATAAACACATATTTTATATAAAGAAATATATTTGAACAAAATACTAACTCTCATCTTCTGGAGAGTAAAGGTTCATTTGTTGATTATGGCGACTCTCCATTTCCTGCTGCACGACTGGGTCTCTCTTGTATCCTTTATGCAGTTCTCCAAGCCTAAAACGTAACAGTAATAGATGTAAGAAAGTTCTGATAGGGAGGCTACCAGACAGTTTAAGAAAATTTCCATCAAATTTCTCTATTTAATTATAGTTTTACCTGACCAATATGTCTGGGACACAAATATTAAAAACTTATAATTTATAACTAAATTTATTTATTATACATTAAAGAAAATTGACCTTACAATGATTTGGGGAAAAAAAAAAAAAAATTGTCATTTAAATAACAAATATGTTTTAGAGGAAGCATCAGTACTTGTTAAATAGCCCATCAGGGCCAAACCTCCCTTATTATCTAATCTTATATCACATAACCTCCTTTCTTATCTCATCTAACCTAAGTTATTCCATTGTTTATTTTTTGTTCGTGTAAGCTGTGAGATAGAGTTATTTTCGTAAAATTATGGATGTTGTTTATATTGTTTCTTTTATATGTACATATGTTCTTTATAGTCTTCATAGTGTTTCTTTTATATGTACATGTGTTGTTTAATTGGTTTTTTATTATTTCATTTATGATTGTATATTTTTAGTGTTTGTAATGTTTTCATAATGTTTTTACATTATATATGTATAATGTTTTAGTCTATTTAATATATATCTTGTAAAATAAAGGATTTTTTTTATTAATACATTTGTTTTTGTTAACAATTTCAATAATATGAATATAATAGAATAAATATGAATACAAAGATACAATAATATGAATATCAATAATATGAATATAATACAATAAATATGAATACGAAGATATTATCAGTGCCTTATCAGAATTATCAGTGTTAACATTTGCAGATAGCAGTCGGACCCGACCAGCTATTTAACAAGTACTGAATCATCTTTTAAGCTTGATTAAGATTTTTTATTTTAGAAAACTAAACTTCATTAATTTATTTTTATTGCTTTTATTTTATTTTCATAAACTGAAAGGAGGTAAAAGTTGATGCTTGATATATAAAGCTCTGATTTTCTCTATTATAAAATAAAGTGAGCTATGGGGGATTCTAATACTAATATAGTTTCTCATAAGTAATTTAGTATCTTTATTTCTATAAACAGCATAATAATCATACATATGACACCAATTTTGCAATTTCTGGTTAATAAATGCTCTTTTAAGGAGCACCAACAGTCGAACGAATGAGTGCTTGCCAGCTAGATCTTGACCCAGATGTATATTTAATATATATATATATATATATATATATATATATATATATATATATATATATATATATATTTTTTTTTTTTTTTTTTTTTTTTTCGGTTGGCTCTACAGACCGTGTAGATCTTTGGCCACCTGAACCAGCCTTCTCCACCTCTGCCTATCTTGGGCTACTGCTTTCCAATTTGCGGGATGAAGCTCAACCGTATCTTTATTTATCCTATCTATCCATCTGGTTTTTGGCCTCCCACGTGGTCTCTTGCCTACTACTCTGGCACTCATTGTCATGTAAAGGCGTCCTGATGGATTGCTGCGAGCTACATGCCCTGCCCATCTTAACCTCCTTGCCTTCATGTCATGAGATATTGACTGACCTGTTTCTTTCAGCAGTTCTTTATTGTTCCTTCTCCTCCATGTGTCAAGATTCTAGTCCCATATAGGGTCTGTTATCCTACGTAGAACTTATCTTTTGAATCTCTCAATTCTGGCTTCTAGTATATATATATATATATATATATATATATATTAAAAATTTATATATTATAGTAAATAGTATTGGTATATTTCTCTTTTCAAAAAAGCACTGTTTTAAGTACTTTTTCCTTAAATTGTTTTCATTATCTTTGTTTGGTTTCAATATAACGACCAGTACCATTATTGACAGTGAAAGGTGGATGAATATATGGCGACCATGGTTGTTTATAACGACGAAGTTTATCCCTTCAAGGTCATTTATAAACGGTATCCCCTGTATATTTTTTTTCCAATTTGAAAAAAAATTCTCTGACTTTAACAATTTTTCTTTGACTTCTCCCTCGTTTGAAAATCCCCAGACTTTGTCCATTTTTCAGGTTTTCATTGTGTGAACACCATGGAATAGTATTACATTTGATGTCTTGGTAGCACTCATTGGTTTTGCGTAATAGTTACCAATACCCATTGTGGTGGCTACAGCTATTCCAAAGTTAACTGCCATATATAGAAGCCTAATAGCAAACTTTCGCACCTCATTTAACCTAATCAACTGTAATGCGATTGTGTGGAACAAATTTATCTCATGTAACGTTGTTTTATTTGTTTCTTTACCAATAATTTTCTTTAACAATATCTAATTATCTTTGCAAATATGCAACAGAAAAATTTGGGACTCTTTGAAGTTTTGATGTTATAGCCTAATCTTAGCAACGAATAAAAATTATAAGTTCATGAAAGTACAGGATAGTCTTGATAATTCGAACATGTAGATTGGATCCCCTGTTTGAATTATCAAAGATTAAATTTAAAATGATGGAAAAATTGCACAAGATTACAAAAATATATGTATTATCAGTTAAACATAAACATATTGCAAACTAAAAAGTTATTTCTGAAAATGATCATATGTTATACGTTGAATCTCGCATTTTGTTGCCTGATCTCGCTAATTCCTTAAAAGAACCAGGCTTCGCTAGTCGATGTCGTATCCATTCGCCTGCTCCAAGCAAGTATTAATACCTTTGTCATTTCTATGACTTATCTTTAATGAAAAAAAAATAATGAAATTTTCTAGTAAAATAAAATTTAAAATAATGCTTCTTCACTTATCAAGCCAACCTTTACTGGCATTAATACCTGCTTTGTCATACTTCTTAAAAAAATTATTACAGAAAAACTTTCAGCTAATATATCCCCCAAAATTGGACACTCTCGTGATCTCTGCTGCAGAAACCACATATAAAGAGATTCTACAACTTCTGGATGACCACCTAGTTTTAATGTTTTACGTTTAGAGACAATACAATAACTATTCAACATTACCACTCGAAGCAATTCTAGTAATATATACTGTTAAACAGGGCCATTTTGACTCCATCTCTTGCCAGTCAACTTTAGCTTTTTTTTTTTGTTCGAATTACAAGGTATTTCAGATTACTAGGGGTTCAGATTATCGAGACTGTCCTATACTCAATTTCTACTCTTTTAATATCAATACAAATTATGATGTTAATAATTTAAAGTGATTTTAAAAACAATAATTTTTTACTAGATTCAGTGAGAATTATATAATCTCTCTATTATATAAAAAAGATTTTAGTGTATGTCATATTTTATTTTATATTAGTATTAGGAGAGTAAGAGGTTACATGAGCTCTCCTATTAGCTCTGTAATTAGCAATAATTACACAGCTGTTAATTTAATTACATATGTGTTGAGCTACTGTTACCTAATACTTTCCTAATACAAAGTAAGTAAATTCGGGATGAAGCACTCTCCAAAATTGTAATATATAACCATGTTTTATGAAAAAAAATTATCTCTAAATATATTAATACTCGTCTAATTAACTTTAGACGTCTAATTAACTTTAATAGGACTTAAAGAATCATTTAAACACCATTTCATAGAGGTACTTAGTTTCTTTCTTTCTTCTGAGGTAATTATCGTAATACATATACAAAAAAAAAATCTTTCGGGCTGAAGCACCCCAAAATTAAATTCTGGATCCGTTAGTAATGAGTAGTACCATTAAATGAATAGTTGTATAATTTGTAAAATGGACATTGATCCGCCGGCAGGTGGACAGGGGGTAACACCCTCATAGATTAATAAAATAAAGATTAAGATTGAAATATTTATTGAAAACATTAAGTATTCATACTTATTTTGAAGTTCTGGAGAAGGGGAAGAAGGTTTGTCCATATTGCCTTGCCTCAAAATATCATTTTCCCTTAAGCTTTCTGACAGTCTTAATTGAAGAATGTCTCTTTCTTCAAGAAGCTGAAAATTAAATAAACAGAGAAAAAGTCAATATTTAAAAGAGTATTAAACAGTTTATTTTGAATGTTAGGCTAAAAATGTAAATAATCAGAATTACTTTTTAGAAAACAATAGTTATTAATTAAAACAGATTCCTGTAAAGTAGTTCTTTAGGAAGTTGGAATAATAGGAACATGTTTGATAATTTTGCCAATTGTGAAGATCGGTTGTAGTGGAGGAAATTTAGATTTTTGCAGGACTGTAGTGCCATTGTAGTAATAATAGCACTTACCACAATCATAATGGAAAATATGGGATTATTAGGCTCAAAAGAAAGAAAAATTAATTTATTATAAATGAGTTCATTTTCATAATGAAGAATTGGTACTTTCTGTCTAGCGGGCCGGACTAAAACCTCACTTCTTATCTATCTTATCTAACGTCACGTCACATAACCTCCCTCTTCTTATCCGACCAAACCTTTGAGTTATTGCATTGTTTAGTTTTCAGTTATTTCCTTATTACGTTCACTTATTAAATTCTTTACTTTTGGCCTGTTTGTGTTTATTTTTAGTTGTTGGCCCGTTTGTGTTTATTTTTCATTTTTTTTCCGTTTATTGTCGTCATATTATGGATCTTTATAGAATATGGGATTTGCCGCCTTCGGAAGAACAGGCAATTCAATATTTTCAAAATGTTGGGGTACTTGCCGATGTGAAATTGTGTGAACGAGGTCATCGAATGAAATTAACCAGGAAGGCCAAATGGAGATGTTTTCGTAGGACTTATGATACAAAACTTTCAATAAGGAAAGGAACATGGTTGCAGGGCTCGAGGATTCCGTTTTTAACAGCTTTAAAATTGATTTATGGGTGGTCCCATAGCTTGACAACGATGAAGTGGGGCAAAGAGCAGCTGAAACTATCCTCCGGAGCTATGGTAACGTGGAACAAATGTATAAGAGAGGTTTGTGCCCATGACATGTTATACAGGCCAAGAAAAAAAATTGGAGGACCTGGCAAAGTGGTTGAAGTAGAGGAAAGTCTTTTTTCTAAACGAAAAAATCATCTGGGGAGAGTTTTACCTCAGCAGTGGTATTTGGTGGATGTTGCCGAGAAACAGATGAATGTTTTATCTTTTTATAAAACAGATTTTATGTTTTATATTTTTTCTTTTCTATGTAAATATGTTCTTTTAAATGTGTTTTTTTATTATTTCATTTTGATGTTTTATATGTACATATCTTCTTAAAGTGTTTTTTATTATTTCATTAATATATGTGTCGTCAAATAAAAGTATTTTTTTTGTTATTACATTTGTTTTTGTATCTGTTTACACTTTCAATAATACGAATTTAATACAATAATATGAAGGTATGGAGAAGGCTTATCACTGCGTTATGGGAGTTATCAGTGTTCAGGTTATAAACATTGGCAGATAGCAGTCAGTAGCGGCCCCCTAGATAAAAAGTACCGAAGAATTTTGCAATTAAGCAGAGTGAAAGGGAAATTAAATACAGAGGATTAGAGGATTGATTTGAGGTCGTAATGGCCAAGTGTAGTGATAGACATATGATCCAAAGATGTTATACAAGGGGACCTGTTGCGGAATACTGCACAAAGAGGAGAGAGAGGAAAAGCTCATACAAAGACGAAAAGAGCTTGGAAAAACCAGGCCTAATAGGGGACACTATGCTTGAGTGGGTCGACGAGTTTGTATATCTCGGAACGCAAATGAACTCCGACAATGACATAAAGCCAGAAATCCAAAGGAGAATTTAAGCAGCTAATAGAACACTAATAAGGCCAGTTCTAGTATACAGCTCTGAAAGCTGGACTATTCCAAAGACCCAGGAACAATACCTCCACTCCTTTGAGAGATGAACCCTGAGAAGGATCTTTGGAGCAGTATGCGTCAATGGTGAACGGAGGCAGCGCACTAACATGGAAATCAGAGAGCTTTATGGTGAAGCTAATGTCAAAATTCATCAGGATAGGGCGATTGAGATGGCCTGGACACATTGTCAGGATGGAGCTTGATGAGGTACCCAGAATACGGTGCGCTGATGGTGTGGCAGCCGACGTGTAGATCCCTTTAAACCTCCGCAATTGGAAAGCAGCTGCATAGGACATAGAAGATTAGCAGACTAAGTTGCAGGTGGCCCTGACTCATCGAGAGTTGTAGTGCCATCGAGGAAGGAAGTAATGGCCAAGCGTGTGGAGACAATGCTGGCTTTAAAATTCTCGAACCTAGTGGAATCTCAACGTTCCCACTCTGGTTAGAAAAGGTTTTGTTGTACCATTAGAACAACCCCTCACACCCACCAGTATTCCAGACATGGCAAGGTAGAGAGTAATAAAAAAAAATAAAAGAGCTACAGAGGGCACTCCACGAAAGACAACTGAGATTGATATTATATTGAAAATATTACCTGAAAGGGCAGGAAACGTAATTCTTGATTAATTTGAAATAATATAATACAGAGTTTATGAAAAGTAAGGTTGGTAATTTACATAACTTCTTTAAATGCTCTCTTAATTGAATAGTTAATTTTTATAGTTTCATTTAGTTCTATTATTTCTATTTAATTTTTTTTATATTAATAATCAAGAAAGAGTGATAAGTTGTTTTAAATAACCCATTTCCTATTTTTCATTGGCTATAAGACTTGTTAATGCAAGTCCTATTTTGCTTCTTACATGTAGTCCGTGTTTCAGACTTCTTTTTATCAAATAACTAACATCCGTCTGAAATTTCATAAATAGCTTCTTTTAATCATAACCTACAACTATTTTAATTACAAATATTCTTGAAATTGGAGCGTTTTCAATTCGGAGACCAGCAAACTTTTTTTTAACGAAAAACTCATAAATATCAGTTTGCTTTCCACTTGAATCGTAAGATAATTTGAACACAAGGTGGTCTTCAAAAATATTGAGCAGTTTCGCATGACCTAGACCAACCTACCTAGGCATAGATATGCACTCCCAAAATGTGAAAATAACAAGGTTATATAGCCCAAACCGCAAAATATTTTTTGTAGGCCACCTTTTTTCTCGAATTATCATACTTCCCAGTGGATCCCAGTGGAAAGGAAAGTGGTATTTGCGAGTTTTTAGTACCTAATTAAATAGACAAAGTTTGCCGACCTCCAGATTGAAAACGCTCCAATTCCAAGAGTATTAATAAATAAAATATTTGTAGGTAACAATGAGATCAAGCTATTCATGAAGTTTCAGGCGGATATTAATAATTTGATAAAAAGGGGTCTGTACCATGGACTAATGTTAATTAATTAAAATTAGATCTATAAGTTTTTTTTATTTTTACCGAGCAGGCAACTATTAAATATATAACCATTTTATCAATTAGTTCTAAACTGACCTGCATTATTTCTTGTGTAAGTTCGTCACAACGGACATCTCGAGCATGGAGTGTGTACAGGACTTGATCCAATTTGAATTGTAGCGAGAGAACTTTATCATTTGGCTTAGAGTCTTGCACTTGGACCAACCTCTCTTGAGTGTCGAGAAGAACTTTTGATACCCTTTCGATTTCAAGATCCTTCTGCTTGAGGAGAGTAACATATTTTTCTATTTCGGCATTATTTACAATGGAATAATTGGGTTGCTGATTTTCCTGCTGTTGACTCATGCTGCTTGTAACATTATGTAATTCTTTTTGTTTCTCAGATATTACAGATTCTAGATATTTCTTTTTCTGTTCTAGATCTGAAATACTTGTCTTTAATAAGGTAATTTCTTCGGCTTGACTAGTTAGGACTCTTTGCAATTCACTATTTGACGCTTCCAAAGCCTTGAAGTGGTTACTTAATTCCATCAATTGGGACCTCAGATACTCTTCATTATCGCTCTTTTGGATATTTTGCGACTGGCTCATATACTCCAACCTGGCCATCAGTTCATGAATTTCTTCTTTTTGTTTTTCGATTACGGTGTTTTCATTACTTTTTGATTTATCAAGCTCTCTTTGAAGTTCTTCATTTTCTTTAGTAAGATCTCTCACGCGATTCTCTAAAGAGAATATCTGTTGAGAAATCAATCCATATTGGGTCTGTAAACTATTCAATTCATTAACAGAGTTTGAGAACTGTTGTTCTTTCTCTAATAAACTTTGTCTTAAATTTTTATTTTCTTGTTCCTTATTTAACAAAGTGTTCTGATAATTCTCTTCGATTTCTAGTAACTTTTCTCTCGATCTTTCGTCATTCGTTCTCAAATCTTCTATTTCCTGATTATGCCTTTGAACTAAACGGTTAACATCTTGGTTCAAAGAATTTACTTGTTCTTTCCAATGATTGATTTCTGCCTCAGATCTTTCTAATTTCAATTTCATCTCATCGATCTGTTTTGTATAGTCAGTGTTGATTTTGTTAATATGAGCTTGTAAGCCAGATAACTGATTCGTTAAATCTTTTATTTCACTTTGGTATAAGGTTTTTTCTTCTTCAAGTTTAGAAATCTTATTTTCATAATGTGTTGTATCAGGCCTGCTTTCTAATGTTACGCCTGATTGATGGCTAGTTTTAGTTTCGGCAATAGTATCAAAGGGATCGTTAGTGAAAGAAGAAAATCCCTTAAAGACGGGAAGGGATGCTGCATCAACAGAAGTTTCTTCTTTTTTGGAATATTTGGCTAATTCTTCTTTGAGTGATAAAATTTCTTTTTCTAAATTTTTCTTTTTATCAATTTCAGAGAAAACAACATTGATGACTTCTTTTAATTTTTCAACAATATTATTTGATGGTGTAGTGATCTGCATTTTAGATATTAAATCATCAATACAACTTTCCAAATTACTCATGATTTCTTGAGCAACCTTTAGACCATTTTCTAATTCACTAATCATTTCAAAGCTTTTACGTAATTTATCGACATGCTGAGCGATTTCTGATGCAGCAGACTCATTAATAGCTTTTAATTGCTCTTGTAAGTTATTATTACTACTCTCTAAGAAATCTATCTTGTTCTGAAGCATCGCCAATTCGTTTCTAGTATCGTTTAGCTGACTGTTGAGACCACCTACGTCTTCAGATTCTTTCTGAGAAGTTGTCAGCTGTTTCGAATATGATTCCAATTTTTCTTTTAGCTGAGAATTTTCTATCGCCAGAGCTTGAATTTTTTCTAAAAGTTGTTCTGTTTCATTTTTAAATTCAGTTAATTGAACTTTAACGGTATCATTTTCAATTGACTTCTCATCAATGACCGCTTTAAGTAATCTTATTTCTTCATTAGCAATATTTAATTGGACTTCGAACTCGGATTTCTTCAAAGTGTCACTTTCTTGAGCAGTATTTGTATCAAGCGAAGTTGTCAATTTCTCTTTAAGTTTTTCATTTTCGTCATTTAATATCTGAATTTGAGCAGATAAAGACGAGATTTCCTCCTGCTTCAAACTAATACCTTGCATTGATTTTTTATTTAATTCATGGTTTTCCTTAGTCAAAACATCAATTTGGAGTTCTAAAGCGTCTATTTCTTCATTTGCTTTTTTTGTTTCACTGTCATATGTTTCTTTTTCTTTTATTCTAATTTCTTTTAGTTTCTTCAGTTCCTCTTTCAATGAATTCAATTCTACGGCAGTCTCTGGGCTGCCAATAGGTCGACCATCTTTTAAGTTGCATATGATTCGTTGGAGTTCTTCATTTTCGACAACTAAAGCGTTGAATTTTTCAGATAGTTCATCTTCTCCCTTATTATGAGATGGCATATCAGATTTGAGTTCTTCGATAGTCCACTGAAGACCCTGTAATTCATTTTTCAGTTCAGCACTTCTTTTCTGCCACATCTGTACTTCAATATCTTGTCGCTCTTTCATTTCTATAAGTTGGTCATTTGCATTAGAAAAAACTTCCACTTTCTTTAAAAGATTTTCTTTTTCCGATTTCAACGCATTTATTTCATTTGAAAGTTCCTTGTTTTTCAATTCGAGTTTATCTAATTGTGATCTTAGCTCTTCTTGAAGGGCAAAATCAAGGTCACTGAAACCTACCATTCTCTCATTTTTGGATTGTTCATTTATTGCTTCCATTTCTTTCAGCTTCTTCAAAAGTTTAACACACTTGATCTTAGACGAAGCAAGTTTATCCGTCAGACTCTTCTGCTCTTCTTCTAGCTCCTTAACTCTCTGAGTCAGTGTCTGTATCTGAAGAGCCTCAGAATGTTTGTGATCTTGTTCAAGATGTGCTTCAGCACCAATCCAACCCCAGCCTTCCTCGTCTTCTTTACTGACTTCATGGCTATGCTGTTCCCATGAAAACACTTGAACATCTTGTTCTTTTTTAACAAGGCTGTCCTCAGATGGAGATTTTAAGTCAGAATCGGAAACACTCTTATCAGAAAGGAGTTTGTTTACTTGCTCTTGGAGTAAAGTAATTTCACTATCTTTTTCAGTTAACTTTGAATTATATATGAATTGTAAATTATCGATTTCTTGTTGTGCAGCTTCCAATGACTTTTTCTTTTCTTCCAATTCGGTCATGATCCCATCTCCCTCACCTTTGGATACCGATTGATGACTGTGGTCATCCCAAGAAAACATGGTAACATTTTGTTCTTTTTGTAGTGGAGCCATATCTGTTGCTGTGTTTAATTTACTTTCACTATTATATTTTTCTTCTCCAACTACAGCTTTGAGATTTGATATTTCATTTTGTAATTCGATTATTAAATTTTCCTTCTTAGCTAGTTCATTCTGAAGCCTATTAGTGACTTCTTCTGATTCAGATAATTGGCTTTTCAAATCAGCATAAGACTCTTCTAAATCAGTTAATTTATTAAATAAATCTGCTCTTTCCTCACTAAGTTTTATTAGTTCTTGATTTTTAGCTTCAAATTCATCCATTACTTGTTTCAATTCCTCATTTAACACTTCAATTCTGTCTAATGTTGAATTGTATGAATTCCTTATGTCGTTAAGTGTATTTATTTCGGAAGCCATTTTAGACTTTTCAGTTTCATATTCTTCTTTTTCCTTCATAAGTTCTGAATTTGAATTTTTGAGAATTTCTATTTCATTTTGCAACAAAAGAATGTTAGTCTTGAGGGACTTTTCATTTTCTTCCATGAGCTTGAATTTCTTTTCCATTTCCACCTGATACTTATCATAGGCATGACGTAGTATTTCAGCTTGCTCTAGTTTGGCTGACAGCTGATTTCCTCTTTCTTGTAACATTCTGTGTTTATCCTCGATACCAGATTCTAAATTATACATCTTAGATTTCATTCCAATAATATCTTGCTCGAGAGCTTCAATATAATTTTCCCTTTCCTGTAGATTCCCAAGGCACATGTTGTAGTTCTTGGTAACAGCATCCAATTGTTCAGCTATCATGTCCATTTCCTTACGACTAACCAGCATTTCAGATTCTAGTCCCTCCAAGTTGGTTAAAACATTTTGGTTCTTAACAGATTCTTGTTGGTATAATACCCTTAATCTTTCTAATTCAACTTCACTATTCTTCATATCTTCCCCCAATTTTTTTCTCTCAGTCTCGAGATCCCCAATCATGGTGTTCTTTTCGTTAACAATGGATTGCAACTTTCCAAGTTCATCTTCTAAAAGTAAAACATGACTAGCCATTGAATTGACACTTGTAATGTGTTCTTTCAACAGTTTAGAATCACCTTCCTTCCATTCCTTCAACTCTTCGAAGGCTTTATTCATTTTATCGACATTTATAAGTGCAGCTGACCTCTCTGCTTCTAATGCTTCTAATTTAGGTGTTAAATCTTCAATTATAGCTAAGAGTTTATGATTTTTAGATTGAACTTTTTCTACTTCAAGGCTTAATTCCTGTTCTTTACTTTTTAATGTGTCTATTTCTGATTTTAATTCAGTCCTCTGTTCAGAAAGTTGCAACAGTGCTTTATCTTTTTCTTCTAAAACATTGTTCAAATTTTTCAATTTTTCTTCTAGATCTTGACAGAGTTTTGTACGAATTTTATAATTAGCAGCGAGCTTTTTGAATTTCTGAGTGAGATTAGGATCTTCTTTGGATTCTGTATTTACAGGAACACCTTCACTAGACGGCTTTTCCTTTTTGAGCATACTCTCAGTAGATTTTAACTTTTCATTTTCAACTTGTAAATTTTCTATAATCCTTTTGGTATCGTTCAAAGAAGCAATAGCCTGATCATACTTTGATCTTAATTGATTATTGGTTTCATTTCGATCATTCAATGATTCATTCAGCTGTACCACAGCCTGCTCGTGGCCCGCGCATTTCAACTGCAGCTCCCGAATCTTTTCGACGAGTTCACTGTTATAAGATTCTATTTCCTTTAATCTTGTTTCAGTATCTATTTCAGCAGGGAAGTTATTACCTTTGATATCAGCAATCTCTTGGTCCTTCAGAGACAGTTTGTTATTAAGAGAATCAACAAGTACATTTTGCTCATCAAATTGATTTTTTATGATAGATATTTCACTCAACAGTTGCTCCATTTGTTTACTTGAGCTCATTTGTAATCCTTCCAACTTCTCTTCTACTTCTATAGATCTCATTTCAGCTGAAATTTTTTGTTCTTCGACCTCTTTTAATGTCATTTTTAACTGCTCAATGACACTCATTTGATGATCAGTTGCTTGGTTGGCTTCATCAAGACCTGAAAAAATTGATATTTTAATTATTTCGTAACTACTGTTAAATGGATAAAAAAAAATTGTCAAAATAATTTACATTATTGTTTCAACATTAATCAAATTCTCAGCTAATAAGAATTGAGAAGCAATAATTAAATAAAACAGGAGAGAGATATACACTGAACACAATATTGATCAATCCAGTGATGAACAATGTAAATACAATCGACTCTCAATAACTCAAATTCTTTGGTAACATCATTTTTTTATTTTTGATCCTTGAAAGAAAAAAATCTACAACAGCATAGTAAGGCACAGGGAAGTTGGCAAGAAAACAAAAAGGCACATATACAAGTCGGTATACCTCCCAACCCTCACGTATGGAAGCGAAAGCTGGATTATTCTCGACAAGCAGGTTAGCCGTGTGAAAGCAGCCGAGATGAAGTACGTGCGGAGAGCTGCTGGAAAGACCAAGAGGGACTGCGTCAGGAATGAACATATAAGAGAGGATCTGAAGTTAGTGGAGCTAAGGAAATTACTGGAAAACCGACAGTTGAAGTGATTTGGCCACATTTGTCGAATGGAGGAGGGGAGAGATCCGCGAAAGGTTTTGGAAGCCTGACCCACTGGGAGAAGGTCGAGGGGTCGCCCCAGAATTTCCTATCAGGAGTACAGGAGTACAATCCTCTACCATATCTACAATTACTCACTACAAAACGCTACCTTTCCTACATCCTGGAAAACCGCACTAGTTCGCCCTATGAAAAAGACTTCCAACCCATCAACTCTCAATGATTTCCGTCCAATTTCTCTCCTCTCAAATCTTTCTAAACCTTTAGAGCGACTAGTTCAAACCCAAGTATCAGATTTTTTAGAACAGAATAACCTCCTAAATCCCAACCAGTCCGGTTTCCGGCCTGGCTACTCCACTCAGTCTGCCCTCATCAAAATTTCCCAAGACCTTCATACAGCCATGGACCAGCAGAAACTCACCATCCTTATTCTCCTTGACTTCTCCAAAGCCTTTGACTCAGAAGACCACAAAATTCTCCTAACCAAGCTTAAAAATATTTCCTTCTCAACTAGTACCCTTAATTGGTTCCAATCCTTCCTTTCCGACCGCTCCCAGTATGTTGTAGTCCCCAATAACCCCCCATCAGAACCTTTACCTTTGTCCAGGGGTGTCCCACAAGGCTCCTCATTATCTCACACCCTTTTTTCCATCTAGATCAATGACCTTTCATCCTCTATCCTTCACTGTCAATACCATCTGTACGCCGACGACGTCCAGATTTACCTCTCCTTCAATCCAACCGAATCCTCTGGCGCCATCCAAAAATTACAGGATGATATAAATGCAATATGTGCCTGGGCAAATCACAATAGGATTACTCTAAACGCCAATAAGACGAAAGCCATTCTGATCGGATTTCCCTCACTCCTCAAATCCATCCAGATATCCAATCTTTTCCTGAACAATTCACCTATCTCATTCCATACTTCCGTAAAGAACCTTGGTGTTACATACGATCAAACCCTCTCCTGGAAACCACACATCTCCCAAATTTCCCGTCGTACTGTCTCTACCCTGAAACAGTTTAACCGTCTCTGCTATCTCCTTCCATATAAATCCCGTCAACTCCTGGTTTCCTCCCTTGTGTTCCCCCACTTCGACTATGGCTGTCTGGTGTACGGCGGACACTCGGGAGAATTCGAGGCCAGACTTAAACGCCTAATGAACTGCGCAATACGTTTTTTTTTCGGAATCTCAAGAGATACGCATATAACCCAGTATTACACCAAGTTGAAGTGGCTCTATCCATCCAACCGCCGTTTGTACTTCCTTGCCACTTTTCTATACCAAGTCATCAGAACTCAGCGGCCTTCCTATATTTTTCACAACCTACAATTCAAATATTCCATTCAATCCAGTCTCACTAGATCTCGTACCTCCGACCTGTATCCACCTCCCCACCGAACTGCAGCGTTTGACAAATCCTTTATAATTCAAGCCGTCTCCTTCTGGAATACCATCCCTCCCGATATCCGACATGTACAATCAGTTTCCTCATTTAAATCTTTCCTTTTTAACCACCTACTCCTTTCCCAACCCGATTGATCATGAAATGTAGATAAGAGAACTTTTAAAGTTCCCCCAGAAATTATTTTCTTTACTTATGCTATTTTATTTTATTATATAGTTTGTATTATACATATCAGAATGTTTTTAGTGTAAGAGTTATATTTTTTGTTTTATTATTTTTTCAAAATCTTAATCTTAATCTTAATAATAAATGTAAATAATTAATTTTATGTATGGCCACACAGGCATTTATTCTGTATCTGTAATTTGTCCTAAAGGGACAACAGTCCCAGGATAATAAAAAAATATTTTCATTTCATTTCATTTACATGCAGCGGATTGGAGAGAAGAAAGGCAAAAACCTCTGAGAAATGAGGCGGCTTATTAGGGACCGTGAGGCATGACTGCATTGGATAGAGACTCCTAGATGCTAGTAATGGCATGAAGAGGAAGACAAAGAAGAAGAAAAAAAACATGTTCAGTGAAAATTGAATAACTAAAATAATTTCATGAGAAATTTAACTTCTAAAAGCAAAAGAAATTCATCTCTAAAAATCGGAGAAAGGCAAATTTATTTAAAATACTATCTCTGTTTGCTGTGGATTATTTGAGTTTCCCAGAGTTAAGTTTGAGCGTGATAAGTGGGATAGAATATGTAGTTCGTCTATTGTGTTTTGTTCCCACATTTCATGTTTTTGTCAATGGTCTATCATTATTTTGTCTCGTTTTTCAGAGTTAAACATTTTTCTTTATTATATTATTATTTTTTTTTTTTATTTTAGAGAAAAATTTATACTATAATGACAAAAAAAAAACCTTTACCACTACAACCCATGGACGCTCTTGGAGCGAGATGATACTCAACTGTCAGGTTTTCTCCCATAATTAATTATTTAACTAAGAGCACCCACTTTATAGCGATTGGGTGTGATCCAGGACATACCTCATTTCAGGATCAATCCGGGGCTGATGTAACGGAATAAGTAATTATCTGCCACAGACTGACTCGAACCCTTCTTTGTGCACGGAAACCCAGTGCCTTACTCACAAAGTTATCCCACACATATATGTTGTTATGAGTCAACAGAAATTGAAATCTCTCACTGAACATGATAAACTTAAAATTATTCCAGTTAAAAATGCAGGAAACCAGAAGAAAAAGGATTAGCTACCTCTATAAAAAATAAATAAAACCTCTATGTCTAAAAACAAATCTCTATAACTCGAGCTATTTCTAACTCAAAGAGTTTAAACTGTCTTGAAGTTTGAATTACAAAGAATCAACTGTAATATGGAAAATTTCTAATAACACGAAATAATAGAAAGACAATAAGAAAAGCACATAATCCAATTGTGTGCCAACCATTAGATTTCAGCAAAATATTTCGACAGGGTGATGAATTTGTGAAAATTAAATATACTGATAAAAATAAAATTTAATCTTAATTATGTTATACTCACTGCTTTCACAATCCTGAAATATTAAATAAAGTTAAAATCTAAAGTATAAAGGCCTCGATATTATGAATAAACAAATTAGCTCATTAAGAATGCTGCTATCTTACATTGAGTGTATGTTTGAATGTGGAAAAGATAAAGATAAAGTGGTTCTTTCTGCGAACCATCCAGATGATGAAAAAAAATTAAATAATTACAAATTATTTATTGCTTCCCAATATTTCAACTCCCATTGCAGACTCTTCATTAATGTTTTAATAAACTTAATATGTTGTAAATACCTTTTAAAAGAGCTTCCTTTTCTTCCGTTAGATGTTTCAGACTTTCTTTCAATTTACTCATCTCTTCTTCTAAGGTATCAGACCTTAGAGAAGCAGACTGCAAAGATTCTGAAATAATAAGATCATTTTAAAGCAGGAGGTCATAAAAACCAAGTGCACGATAGAGGATGGAAAAAAAAAAAAAATAATGGATAAGAAAGCTCAGAATCATATAAAGTCTCAGGACGATTGAGTCCACATAATATATAAAAATCGGTAGGGTGGCTGAGAGGGGTAATGCCTGTGCCCAGCACCGTGCGTTGCCCGGCAACCCGGATCAAAGATAATTTGATAAAATGATTACACGAGTCCATATCCAGGTGGCCAAGGAGCGGCTTTTAACTCTGGCATAAATCCCCGCCCTCACTCTCTGGCCCAGGAAAACCCTACATAGCCTAAAAGGCGAGTACCCAAAAAAAAAATATATATATATTGATAACAACTTTATGTTAAAAAGAGTTTATTTCTGGCATACCTATATCATTATAAAATATTGACGCTCAAGTCATTTTAAAAATATTAATGTCATTTTCATAGTAAGATATTAATAGTGTTATTGTAAAATAATGTAATCCTAAAATTTAAAACATTAGATTATTTTAGTAATATCCAACACTGAATTGTAGATATATATTAGGTAAAATTTTGTATGTATGTTGGAGTTCATTAGAATATTAAACAAAAATAAAAAAGATTGGTGTACACCCTTATTAATCATCAACATTTTGTAAGAACAGCCATCTCTGTCATATTTCTATATCACTTAAGTGAAATCTAACCTATACCATAACAACCCATGAAGAGCCTTGTTGTATTCACTTATTACGATTTGGTAAATGGACAATGTCTAACATATAATTATTGTTTTATATGAGCAATAATTGAAGAATTTTGATCTTTTGACTTTACCGATAGGTTATCAGAGATAAATAATAAAATTATAGTACAAGTTGAACTGTTTATGAGCTATGTAATGTTTCTAGCTTGCATTAATGAATTATCAGGTTTTCAGTCTAGATGATGCCTGTAATGGAGAAAAGCTGACTAATTAATTATTAATAGCTGTATGAGAGATTACATATTTTGACTGAAATCTTAAAATAATAACTAATAATTACAAAAAGCGAGGGTAATCTAAGTCTTATCTATAAAAAAGAACTTACTAATCCTGAAAAAGATTAATAAAACTTCTAAATATGAGATGTATTATATTAACAAGGGATGTAGGTTCGCCGATTTAAACAAAACATTTTTTTGTGATACTAGCTTTAGGGAGAAACAAAGTTGATATTGATATTCGTTTTTCATACCATAAAAAACTTTAAAATAAAAATTTTCATTGCAATCTAAACATTACAATTTTTTACATGACATCTTCCTGGGCTGGATCCCCTTTAGCCCCTGGAAATTTTGTCGCCAAGCACAAAAATTGCGGTAACTTCAGAACGACTCCCCCGAATCGATAAGAAATTGTTAGGAACTTAGGGCTCTATAGGCAAGGCAAAATGGTATAAACCTGACATCCCCAAACAAATTAGAATCAAAGATATAAAAATATTAGACAAGTTTTCTAAATTTTTAGCTAAAAATGGATGACATCCAAAATTTATGTGGTTTGGAAGAGCAGTAATTCAGCTTTCCAACTGTTATGAATGCTTTAGTTAAGTGCCGGAAAAACAATCATAGAAACTCAAATACTAAAATTTTCAAATTTCGATATCTGTAAAAATTCTAGATATGAGTCTTAAAAAACACGAAACACAAAAATTTACTTGACCTAATTTACGAAAAGCACCTATTGGTTTTTGCTATTTAAGATACTTTATAATTCAATTAATACTATAATCAATGTTTTTCTTGTTTTGCACAAAATATGCAATTGGTATATAATAACCTACAAATCTGGGCAAAGTAAAAATAAAAATTAATAACATATATTTTGCTTAAAATTATATAATTTTTTTTTCTCGTCTCCTAGGGCGCATTGGCAAGAACTTTTTAACATAAGTCTAATAATTTTCGACCTAGTATCACCAAAAATGTTTCATTGAAATCGGTGATTTCCATAATCTCCCCATATAAGATCTAAAGATCAAGTGATAATGTTTAGTTCTATTGTTTGTTAAATTAAAAAGAGTTAATCATTATTTTAAAATTAATTTACAGTTTCAAAAATATTGAGAATTAATTGAATCCCTTGTTTTTGTTAATAAAAAAATTTAATATTATTTGCTAGTTTTTCGCAAATTAAAGCCATGCAGTTAGATATAAAGCCAAAAGCAATAGCTTCAGTAAGTTTTAATTTAAACCAATTTAAAAAAATGTTTTATGACTAAAGCTGCATTTATTGCCACAAACACATAATATTGAATAGTTACAGTTAGATCATTGCTGGCGAGGTTTTGAGAACATGCATAATAAAATTTCAACTTGAAGACACAGACATCATAACAGAAAATTCTAAGTAAAAAGAATTATTGGTTGAAAATATGTCTGGTGAATAATTATTCTTAGCCATTCACAAAATAAGAGAATAATTATTATTCGAGAAGAGAGAGAGGGAATGAGGGGGTAGAAATGAACCCTTTTAAAGAACCAGAACTGAACATTTGTTTCAAATAAAAAATTGAGTACCGGGTGTGTAAATATGAAACCAGATTTCTGTCACAGATGGATCTAGTTGTTAGTGTAGTTACCGTTAAACTGCTTAATCGGTGTAATTTTTTTTCTTTGACAGCTGGCAAAGATTTTCAAATCACAACAATATAAGTTTTATGTAACAACATTGTTTTAAAACAATATTAATAACATTGAACATGTCAAGATTTATGTTTACAAACTACGATTTGCGGACAGAGTTGATTTCTGATACCATTTAGAGAAAACTGCAGCAGAATTCCACTGAATGTTTATGGTGAACATGCTCTGGGTAAATGGCCCGTGTTTTGAGTTGTTTAATTAATTCAAAAGTGGCTATTTTTAAGTGAGAAATGAATGTACTGTGGGTGCGAACTATTATGAACTGCTTGAACCTGTTAAAACCATTAATACTGGACGCTATCGCAAAAAATGATCAATCTGAATCAAATGATGCAAAATAACACCAAGAGATTTTATTTTATGATAATGCACAATCATACATGGGGCATGCAACACTTCACTTATGAAAATGTACGAAAACGGCTAGATGACTAGTTTGCCGAAAAAGAACAGTAGTTTTTCTAGCATTAAATTACATTACAAGAGAGATGTAAAAATGAATAATTAGTAACGGAAAATACTTCAAATATAAATTTTAATATCATTTTTATTTAATAAAGATGTATTGTCTATACAAAAATTTTGATTTCATATTTACATACCTGGTAATACAGCATTTCCATTACATTTCATCTTTTAAAGTTCTTGAAATGCTTAGGAAAGGATACTGCTTCTCCTCCAAATTCAATCAAAACTGATATTATATTCTATAAAACGAGATATTACCAATAAATAATCCCTATCTATGACTTATTTTTCTTCTTATCAATCAATCCAGTGAATAATAGATTAATAGTTTACTATTATGGTCATAATACTGCATAGGCAGTTCAAGAGGAAAGAATATGATAATGGTTGTGGGTTGATGGTAGACTGTAGTGAATAATTGAAGAGAATAATGGTTGGGGTGATCAGTAAAAATAAAACAGTAAAAACAAATAATTATATCTATTTTTATAATCGCCGATGTTTTGGCCTGAAGTTCAGGCCTTCATTAGGGCTGCTCTGCCAACAAGCAAAGACAGACCTATGCTCCTTATTGGTCTGTCTATGCTTGCTGGGCAACGAAGTGATTTGACCAAAATCGTGTTTTTTTCTCTCAATTAATTATTAATTAAGATAACCTACTTTATAGAGGCTGGCTATGCCCTAGGAAGGTCTCCTAACCTCAGGATTGATTCACAGACACTAAATTAAATAATTAGCTGTAACGACTTGGCTCAAACTCAGGACCTGGAACATAGGAGCACAGTGCCGCCGTACTCACTATAGTAATATGACTGTACTCACTGTAATATCACCCAAGTCCAGTAGTAATACGATATAAATTCTAACTTTTAGTTCTGTTAATGAGAAAAAGGCAATGAAGAGATTGAATAATATTGGAAACAACTTTTATCTTAATAATTAGTAGATTAATACTTATTAATAATTGTATCTCAGATGTAATTTAAACCAGCCCAATCCTCAACAAGCAGAAGGCATAACATATTATCTCATTCTGATCCATATACTTTCACTCCCCTGCATATTAATAATGAAAACATCGAAATAACTAAAAGAAAATAATATAGCAACTGCAAATATAATATTATCTAGATAACATTTCTAGCTCGTCTCATAAATTGAAACAATACTTACATATGTTTATAAAGTACAAAAGTTTTCTTGTTCTTCTGACAAATCTTCTGTAAATCTGTCTTCACAAATCTTTATTAAGTAATTTTTATTTTATATGTATGTTTCGGCCATTCGCTATCTTCAGCATATCTGAAAAACTTTTTATATACTATATGCATTTTGCTTAAATATGTAACTTTTTATATAATCTCTATTCATCTTTAAAATTTTTTAAAAATATAATTCGTAACAATTTAAAGATAAATAGAGATTATGTAAAAAGTTATATATTTAAGCAAAATGTATATATAAAATATAAAAAGTTTTTTTCAGATATTGTGAAGAAGGACTAATAGAATAAAAATTACAAAATAAAGGAGATTTTTTGGGACAGAAGATCGAGAAAACTTTTGTATTTTATTAACATAAGTTATTGATGTCCCATCCATTCTATTCATAAAAAACATTTATATAATATTACCAACTATAAGACTTAATATTCATCATATAATCAGCTAATTTATGGATTTAAAAAACAAATTATTATTGTTTTAACTCAATTAGCGTTTTGTTTAATAATGATTTTAAAGGACTTTTTGTAAATTTAGTTATTTAAATAAAAAAATTATTTTTATCTCAATTTATAAGGAAAAAAATTAAAATTTATATCCATATTTTTTATTTTAGTTATCATAAATTCTTTAGTTCTCATGTATAAGGCCATTTAATCACCAATCGTTTTTAGTTATTTTATAATTTTAAAGACAAAGTTCTAGCCACTAATAGAACCATTATAAAGCATTATTTTATACTTCATAGATATTCATTGTTTGTTTTAGTTAAGAACAAATACGTTTAGACCCAGTAAGACGATGAGAGACTCAACTTTTGTTTTTTTTTAAATAAATAGATGTATTTGTATAAATTACAATATTTTTTGTTTTGATTCAGCTTGATCGAGAATATCAAGATTCTTTTTATTTTAAAGGTTTTTGTAATTTTCTTTTTCTTTTATTCTTATTAATCGCAAAAAAAAAGGCAGAAGAGCCATGTGCTATTCACTAGAACTCATTGTGATGAATGACAAGATAAAGCAAAAAACTAAAACAAATGATTCGCCACTGATTGTTTGAAGTACCTTTTATCAAAAGCTATAGCCACTCGAGTAATCCAGCGGCGTTTCGTCAAAGATTTGGTGAAAGATCTGGTAATGCAGCAATAAGATTTGATATTTTACTAATACTTATATACTTTTTTATTTTGAAAGGTAATTGGTAAATAAATACATATTATTCTAAAAATATAATATACACTGACAGGAAAAAAATTCCACCCACTTGTAAAAAAATTTGTATTTTTTGTATATAAAACATGGTATTTGTAGATAATATTTAGTATTTATGGAATTTTATAATCTTTTTTACCTTTAATAATCAAAATGTGATTGGGTAAGAAAGATTAGAGAAAAAAAAATTGAAAAACGAACCATTATTATTCTAAAAGAAATTAATTACATCATCGTTTAGTAGCGCGTGTTTCCTCCTCATGCCTTCACTAATTCTTGAAGACGCCTCGACATACTTTCCACCAGTTGGGAAATGTCCCTTTGCTGGAGGATAGCCCATTCCTCCCGAAAAGCCCTTTCAAGGTACTGCAGTGTATCAGGAAGTGTTGCACGCGCTCTAATTCGTCTTCCGAGGTTATCCCATAAATGCTCAATGGGGTTCAAATCTGGAGAACGTGCTGGCCAGGCAAAAACCTCAATATTGTGCTGTTGAAGGAACATCTGCACTATGCGGGCGCATGTGGGCATGCATTATCGTGCATTAGAAAAGAACAATCGCCGATTTCGTTGAGGATAGGCAACACATGAGGTTCCAAAATCTCATCTACATAGCGAATGGCCATCAAAGACCCTCCACGAACAACAACCAATTCTGTGCGGCGCTCCATTGAAATCCCAGCCCACACCATTAAGGAACCATGTTGGAAAGGTTGGCTCTGAAAAAAATTACAGGCTGCATATCTTGCATTTCCATCTCACGCCTGTCTGGAGATGGAAGAGCAAATCTTGACTCATCTGTAAAATAGATAAAATAGGTCTGTAAAATGTCCATAGTCCAATGGCTGTGTTCTCGGGCAAAAGCCAGTCGTGTTACTCTGTGAGTTCTGGTCCACTTACTGGACGAAAAGCCATTAATCCATACTCATTTAATCTTCTCCAAGCGGTACATTCAGAAATTTGCACACCTCGAACTTCTTCGAGCTGATGAATCGCTTGAACAACGGTAAGGTACCGGTTTCATAAAATTCTCAAAGTCAAAAACCGGTCATCCCGTGGTTCTGTTACCCTAGGCCGTCCAGAACCGGGCCTTCTATTGTAAGAACCAGTTTCCCGAAAACGCCTGACGGCATCTCGTAAAGTTTCATATGGAACTCCGATGGCATTAGCTGCATAACTAATGGAAAGTCCATCATCAATAAGTGCCACACCTGCCGCGCAACATCCTCAGCACTAAGAGGAATTTTTAAACTTAATATTGAAAAAATTAAGAAATAAGATGACTAAGAAATGTGCTGCAAGAAACGGCACTGAACTAATGATACTGAATAAACATTTTGATTCCATAGAAAGTAAACATTGGAATCTAGAATCATTTCATTGAATTAAGGATTAACGGTTATTGTCCTGTATATTAACATTCCTAATTGAAAACAAACAAAAAGATTACCTACTTATTCGTTAAAAACAATAGACCAATCCAAAGCAGATATATTTTTAGGTGAAACATGAAAAAATCAAGTGGGTGGAATTTTTTGCCTGTCAGTGTATATGTATGTTTTTGATCCATAAATATAAAAATTTTTGGCTATGAATACAAGAAATGGTTTTAATTTTTTAATTAGCAAATACTGAAAACAGCATTTTAATTTATTTAGCAATGCTTTTTACCTATTTCTTTAAAATGGGTTTATTTAAATGAACAAAACATTGTAAAATATTAAACAATAACCGGTCACTAATTTGTTTAATGAATGACATTTTCGAATTTAAGGTATTACGAGGATAGATGAGATGTGTCTAATTAGAATCGTTACAGCGGTTTCGGTGCAATAGACTATAGCGACTCAAATTTTTTGGCCACCATTTCGAAACAAAAGACAGGATGGTAATGAAATGCAAATAAAAACACTCCTGAATTTGAGAGCAACATTGTATCAAAATTTCAAAGCAATTAGTGAAGCTGTTTCAGAGATGTTTTGAACAAACTAACATTTTCATTTTTCATAACACTGAAGCTCGTCAATTGCTACTAAACAAAAAAAATAAAATCAGTTGAGAAATAGAGGAAAAAAAGGGATAGAACTGTTTAGCCTTATTTATACAAAAATGTCTTTTCTATACCAAAATTACGGTTTGATAAGTACACATCTGGCAGTTGTTCATGAGGTAAAATGTCTTCTCTTAAGTGGATGGCAATAAGATTAAAAGTTTGTTGCTGTACTTTACTTATAGCAACTGCAAAAGATACCTCAATGGGAAGCTGGCTAGTATTATGATCGGATAGGTGTTTACAGATAATGCTCCGTTCCTATTGGTCGTAGCCTGATATTATGAAGCCTTACTCAATAAACAACTTAACACAAAAAAAAAAATTTTTTGAATCGGATTGGTAGTTTCTGGAATTAGTGCTTATCGAACAAATACTTTTTTTTTTTTAATGTATTATCAAATATTTCAACAGTCGACATTATTAAATTCTTATCCTATTAAAAGTAAATTAAATGCTGTTTTATTTATTAATTTATAATAACACTGTTCTCCAAAAAATTTTTTTAGTAAAAAATTAGTATCCAATCGATACATCCTTGATCGTCTTAAACTAATAACCTAATTCATATCCACATACACACTTTCTTTTAAAATATTTGAATATTAGAAAAACCCCCTTTTGTTAAAACCCATTACCATACCCAAGGCAAATACAGTCCGACAAATAAAGCAGGGGAGAGAAGTGTGTACCTTTAATATCATCAAAGTCTACCAGTTGCAACTGGAGGTTACCTTTTTCTTCTTCCAAAACAGCTATTTGATTCTTCAACGCTTCCACACCTCCTGAACTCTCTAGGCTCTGTCGAAAATGAACCATTAGTAATTTTACTAAGGTGATAATTAAAAATCGGAAGAAATTCAACTCTGCAAACTAAATTTTACATACCTCTTTAAATTTGTCCCTTTCCTGTTTCACTGCCTTCAACTGAGCTTTAAGTTTTAAATTTATTTTATTCGCAGTCTCCATTTTGTTAGATAATTCTTCATTTTTGTTGGTAGTATTGCTTAAGCTTTGTCTAATCAGAGCCAATTCCATTTGCAATGACTCCACATCAGCAGTATGTGATTCCTTCTCGGCAAGCCTAAAAAAAAAAACCTTATAATTTGACTGGAACAGAGTGCCATCTTTATATATTATTTCTTAAGTGTTTTTTTTTTTTGTCAGTATGCCATATCTCCATCAAATCCAACGATTGAGCTCTCATTTTGAAGATCTTCTCCTTCAGGTGGGAAAAATGGCAACATGCCCCCAAATTTCAGTAAAAAGTTATGAAAGAAAAGAAACTTTATTTACGAATAATTCAAAAAGTATACATTTTTTTGTTCATTATTGAAAGATTACTAGAATCATTTGAATTCCTTGATTATTTGAAAGATTACTAAATTCCCTACAAAAAAAAAAAAAAAATTCATCGAATTAGGACCATAATTAGCTGAGATACAAGCTATTGTGATTCGTAAACATTTAGGTTTAGATATTAAATGGTAACAAACATGAATAATGTTTTATAATAATTTTTTTTTCTGTGGTCTTATCTTATGATCTTATGATACGTCAAATATTTAATTTCCTTATTATGTTGTCATTTGTTCAACAGTCAAACCTTGACGATATTCTTTGCGAATTATTCGCACGAGCAAACTACTTAGACAAATTCTGAACTATTGGAAAAAAAAATTATGATTAATTTTTTTTTCTTTATGATGAAGCTATAATTACAGAAAACAATATATTATAATAATCCATTATTCAGGTAGTTCTGATTAAGAATCTGACTAAATCAAACAATTTATTAATCACAAGCTCGCCCATGTATATAATTCGAATAGTATATTGCTCAGTGAACAAATAGCAATGGAAAATTGCAATAAGGAAATTTAATGTACTATCAGTGACAAGACTTCTTTAATTTGTAGATAACGCGGAAATATTGCTCTGATCAGTAGCAACATCAATAGGTCTTCATGGTTGAGATGCTTCTTACCACGGAAAAAAAAAAAATAACCTGCAGAACATTCTAGGTTGGGCCAAACAATTCCCTTAAATCTCATTTGTGAAACGGAGGCAATTCTCAATCTATGAAGTGATGGTTAGATCTTTCAATTAACTTACACTGATTTATAACTTTTAATATCCAAAATAACTTCAATAGATAATGATTATTTGAGAAGAAGTTGGTCGGGGGATGCAATCGAATAAATATTATATTATTAAAATAGTATTTTATTTGTTACGCCGACGTTTTGACTATTTGTAGGTCTTCATCAGAGCATGGTGTCAGCTACTGCAGGATTATGATTATTATTTTAAAATATTGATTGGGTATCAGAATGAATTTTCAATTTTGTCGATGATGTTTTGGCTATAATAAAAAAAATTAATAATTAAGGTGTGTACTTTATGTCTTAAAGTTTTTGAAAATAAAGTATTGGGCAGAATATTCGGGTCGAAAAAGGACGAGTCAACTGGAGAAATTAGGCGGTTACACAAAACTGAATTGTGTGAACTATATCCGGTTAATATAATTGAGGTGAATAGAATGGGCATGTAAAATCGCTGGGCTTAGTAACGAAAGAATTGTTAAAAAAATAATATGTGCTGTACAGACTGACAAGCGTCCGAGGGATAGACCAAAGCAAAGGTGACTAGATTGCGTTAAGGCTGATTTGGCGGGGTTGGGTTTAGACGGAGCCCAGTGGATGGAAGAATGTGGACCTCGATTGGTGGTATCGGCATCGAACCTTTGGGTTCGCTAAGCCTTATTATTATTATTATAATTATTAAGGTATGTACTTTAGACCACATGATAAAAGCGAAAACATAAAACGAGGATGAAATGCTGAACAATTCACTCACAGTATGCAGGTCCGATTTTTAATTTCTGAGATATTTTAATCCATATCTTTCATAAAACTCGTTATCATTTAATTTTAGATGCTATTCTTTCCATTTCACCCCTTTAACCCGGCGTCGCGTTGAGACACAGTTTTGAATAATAGCCCATTACAGAGAGGATGAAATGCTGAACTTTTTCCTCACTACTATATGCAGGTCCGATTTTTTTAGATATTTTAATTCATATGCAAAAAACATTTCAATTAGTTGACTCCACTGACTTTACCTGAGCGTTACAAATTCGAAATCTGAAGGCCTAATTTAATTAACTTTCCATAAAAATGTGCAAAACATGACATAAACAAGTTTTCACTTCAATAAAAACTCAAGAACTCCCGAATTTTTTAAAGCATATTTGCAAAGATAATCAGCCTTCAAGAAAAGTGATGGGGTCGGAGATATGTTATGAGAGTGAAGATGCGGCTACATCATCACCTACCAGCGCCTAGCTCATACTGTTGATTATCTCATGCTTTTTAGCTTAGAATAGTGATTCTAGCGTCAAAACGTTTACCCTAGACATATCTTTCTGTTTTTTTTTTCTCTCACTGTCATTTCTGAATAAAAACACAATATTTGGTTAACAATTTATTTCAATGGCTATATAACTTATTGCTTGACAGCTGTGTATGTCATGGTACAGTGGATTCAAGCCATACCGTCTAGTTCCCACCCACCATAACTCAGAGACGCACAGACATTTCAAGTTTTCAGGTAAGTATGAATCTTTTTTTATAATTTAATAACTGTAATCTCATGTTATTGTATAACATATAATGTATATATTATTTGTCACTATCGCAGCTAAAATTTACGCATTTTTTTTCCACGCAAGTGCCTAATTATAAATAAATTTCTGCAAAATTACTACAAAACTACTAAAGTTTCCTGTTATTATCGCTTTGTAAAATAGAGAAATTTTATTTCCCCATATAATGTTATTGGATTTATTCGATTCTATTCATATAAATGAACAGAGGATTAGTAAAAAATAAAAAAAAATTTCTTTCCTTATATTTCAATTTGAAAAAAAAGTAAATTGTCAAGTAAAAAGCTAATCTCACCTTTGTTCAAGTTCTTCTTCTCTGCTTTTTAACCTCAGCATTTCTTTCTTCCAATTCTCTTCCCTTTTACCAAAATCTTCTTTTAATGCAGATATTTCCTGTGTGATCGCCATCGCTCGTTCGGCATGTTCCTGAGATCTCTGCATCAATTGATTATGAAGAACAGTCAGGGCTTGAGATTTGCTGGATAGGACTTTATCTTTTTCATAAAGCCTTTCCTATAATAAAAACAAAAACTGGTTCATAAATATTGAAAAGTAATAAAAAAAAAGTTTGTTTCTGAATGTGTGATTTTTAGAACTACGAAAACAGATTTGTAAGAGAAATTGAACAAATAATTAAGTGATAAAAGCTTAGAAAAAATTAATCATGGATACAAGGAATTAGTTATGGTTTGATATCCAAAGGTTTGATGTCAACATCATCAGATCAGTCTTAAAACAATGCTCTCATCTTCACTTCACCCTACCCATCGCTTGGACGCATACCAGTCGGCACAGCACATATTAGCTTTTAGGGATTCTTTCATTTATAAGCTCAACAATTTTATATACCCTTATTTTATACTGGGTACAATTCACACAATTTGGATGCCGAGTAGGACGAGTCTGTTGAGGAACAGCACGCATTAACATTTTCGAGTCTAGCAGCACCAGTTCGAATCCTGCCTGGCCGGGTTAAAATTTATTATGTGGCAGACCCACGGATTGAATCTTGACCTTCCAACTATGGTTAGAATAGGTTTGATCCCTAAAACAAGTCATATCCCTAAAACAACTGTCCCACAATAGGCCAGATATAGGAGGTAGAGTCACCAAAAAAAAGTCATATTTTACGCTATATTTTATTTTAAAAAAACCATATGGTTCTGTTCAATCTTAATGTAATCGACAAGGTTTCACACTCATGAAAAATGGTAGGAAGTATAATAGTTTATTAAATTAAAATTTTTATGTTTTGAAACAGGAGGCACAACTTAAGTAGTTCAGCAACAAAAAAATAACAAGCATTTTTCGTCTTTAACCTAGCCTTAATATTTTTTTAAATTATATTTTTTCTAGTTATCTAAGACACTAAACCTGTACAACAACAACCAATGGAGGTTAATTATTAGGTTCAGCACTTTTTAAAGAAGTAGTCTTTCTTGGTCAACAGTTGAGCAGAGAGGTGACTGGATTGGGATCAAACTCAATTGCCAGGTTTTTTCCCCTTAATCAATTGATGATAGCAACTTTTTAGAGGCTGAGTGTGTCCCAAGAGAGTTTAACATAGAGCCTAAACTTCTCTATTTGTTAAAACATATTCACTTATTATAAATAACTAAAATCATCACTATTTTTGCAGCTATTGATATATATATACACAAGATCTGTAAAAAAAAAATATTTTTCAATAATGCGAAACAAAAATATACAAACCTTCAGAGTTTCCACAGATGTTTCCAAATCAATTATTCGCTGTTTAATAAGAGGTGGTAATTCAGGTGCAGGAGCAGTCTACAAAAAATATAGAAATTGTTAAATCAATATAATGCTTACAACTCATACAAATAGCAAACAACAATTTTTTTTAGAAATTATTTATGGAAAAATTTAGTTTAACAGTAACTGATCAACCACTGAAGCTTTTAATGACTTTAATAAAATAGCAATATACTCCATTATCAAATAAAATAATATTCGATAAATGAGTAAAATAAGGAATTGAGAGAAATATATAACGATACGGTTAGAAATTATGAATATTAATGCTTGATTAAATAACATGAAAACTAATAAATCTTTCAATTATCATATGCAACATTTTAATAGAATAATATGTGAAATAGCATCCAAAATTAATGAACCAGTACCAAATGTGGGGTCACGATGGTCGATCGAGTTAAGGTGCCTGCAAAAATTTTAAGCTACGAGTTTAAATCCCGTAAAAGCAAAAAAAAAAAGAAGATAAAAAATAAAAATAAATTAGTGGTCTCTACTCGATTGCTTAGACCAATACGACGTGTGTTCGATTCCTGGATGGGGACGGTAACGTCTCCAATCAGAGATTCACAAGAAGGTGAGCAACTCCTGTGTCTTCCAACAACATAGCTCTTGATCCTCCAGATTGGGGATTGGGCACAGGACAATTAAATTATACTATACCGTAAAAACAATAGGATGGAAAAGTCTGAAAAAGGGTTGCCAACCATACTACTGAAGAGGGAGTGATTAGTGATCGCGTCCAGTTATTATAAACCATGTGCTCCCTGGATATCTATAAGAGTATAAGAGAACCAAACGATCACAGCTGTCGCCTGGAACAGCTCCGTTGCTGTTAGAGGACTAATGACGGAAGTCAAAGAGACATTGGGAAAAAAAGTTCCAAATGTTTTATTATAACTATAATACATTTTACTCCATACCACTAGATTATTAGTGAGATTTATTAATTTACTAAACAAATGTTGGAGGTAGATATTGATTCAAAGTAGTTTGAAACTAAGTTAAACATCCAATTTTAAAAATTTAATAGTGAATTAAGGATAAATAGGAATGAATACATAAATAAAAATCCAAAACTATAGTAATTCACACACCACTTTAGCAATAGCTTCTTGTAACTGTTTTTCCACTTTTTTTTGTTCTTCTCGATCAATCATTATTTGATCCATAGCTTCTTTAATTTTAGCTTTTTCAGACTGATGTTTACTGAATCGGACCCTAAAATGAGAAGTGTGAGTAAGATATATTAAAAAAAAAAAATTATTATTGAAAAACAGAGCAAATTATTTTTATTTTGAAAAATAGGCAATTTTTACCTGTCCTCCTCAAGTTTTGTAGTAAGAGCTGTTCTCTCGGAATCCTCCGAGACCTTACTTCCCCCAGATGACTGAACTTCATCATCATTTTTTGCAGCAGATCCTCGATTCGCTTTGACTCGAGCACGGATTTTTGCAAGAGTACTGCCCAATTCCTAGGATCAAATTTTAATTAGTATATATCAGTTAAAGTAGCCTTAAACAACATTGTTTAATAAATCCTAAGAATAGGTATAAATAAAGATCTTAATCTGTACTATTGCACATTGATAACAAAAAAAAAACCTTCACTTCAAAACAATTATTTATTTTTTTTATTAATGCTGTGTATAATTTTGAAAGCATGCACAATTAAATATTGTACAACTAGATTGGAAAGAGTGAAACTGAAAAATAGTTAAGTTTTGATAAGAGAGTAATGCTAGATAGTGTATACAAATTTTGGTAATGGAAATTCCTGACTTTTTCAAAAATTGTCTACAAAATCTCTGAATAGAAACATTTTTCCAAGCATGAAAGAATAAACTAAAATAAAATTTTACCAATAGGAATATAGTTTGAATTAAAAATTCTGCAAAATTGTATACATTAGTTTATTAATTACTAATAAATGACCAAAATATATATATATTTTTTTTATTTTTATGATTATTATGTTTTATAATGATTCCAAAACAATTAATATTTTTGCTCTACCTTCACAAATACATGGGTTTATGAAATTGTCAATCCGTAACAATATGAAACAAAATGGTTCTGCTAAAAAATGTTGTGTGTATCATAATGATTCCAATTATATTATAATTCCATAATAATGATTCCAATTATATTATAATGATTCCTAAACAATTAATATTTTTGCTCTATCTTCACAAATACATGGATTTATGAAATTGTCAATCCGTAACAATATGAAACAAAATGGTTCCGGTTTCCAGGTCCCACCTGGAATGACCTTTGATTTCAGTATCAAAAATTTTTAAAAAATCAGCCTAGTAGTCTAAGAGAAAAGGCGAGGATGTTTAATTTTTATTTGAATTTTGTATTTTGAGGATGGTGGTTAATTTTTTTATTTTCTTGGTCAACCAAAATGGATGCACCACTAAAATAAAATTAATAATGAATAAAACTGAAACATGAAAAACAAATTATCAGTAGAGATTAACACTGCCACACTGAAAGTCAAAGCTTTATATATCACTTTCTGCTTCGTCAAACTCTCTTATAAGAAGTAACTTTAATTCTTTTACTGCTTAAATAACCTATACCATAATTGTAATTGAAGGGACATATTACAGTTCAGAACTCAAGATGACTTCCCCAACTTTCACAAAATTAACTGTGATAAATTTTCCTATCAATAAAAAATTCCAGACATGTCCCTGGAATCCACGACTGGTAGACACTTTATATATCTTTATAGAAGATCCAGAGATGTGAAATTATGAAACAAATTTAAAAGTGACAGCAAGGTTTCTTTAAATAGATCATGATTTATAAGATAATAAACACGCAGGAATGATTTTTCTCATCTCTTTAAATACACAACGCCTCATGTAGTATGAACACTAAGTAGAAGTGCTATATGTAAGATGCGCCATTATAGCACAAACAATTAATTTTTTCATAATGTCAATTATTGATAGCTTTTCTAGATGTAAAGACAGAATGGCTGAATGAGTTTTGATAGAGATAGGCTTATAGCGGGACGCTGAAAGTTAAAATTCAAAACGAGAGCTGACAAGTTTTTTAATAAAAAAAATCATTTAAAAGAAGGAAAAGAAACATTACAATAGGCAAAAGGATAGCAATGTGTTTGTATTCCATTTTTTACCTCAACTCGTTCTTATCATAAAAAAGTATAAAAGTGGCTTTCTTATTTTCATTTAAAATAATAATATCACCTAATGAGATACGAAAGGTGGTTAACATAAAATTAATTATAAAAATTATAGTTATTCAGTATTTAGCTGAATTTTTAAAGAATTCCATACTTACATAAACCGTAGTGTTTATAAATGCATTATTTACATAGTTCCAATTCACACATACCGATCTACGGAAGTCAATTTACCATCAGAATTTCACTTATTAGCATCTGCTCTAATCCAATATTCATTCGTATTTGAATGAGATAACTTAATTAGAATGATAAATGAAAAAGGTGTTTGACAAGTAATACTGATTATAGTTTTATTTCATTTGATTATCATATAGTCTTAGATCTGGCATTGAGGAAAGTTAATAAACTACAAGTAAGACAGTTCGATCTAAGATACAAAAACCTTAAACCCACAAAATTCTCCATGTTAGTATTCGTTGATTACCTGACCTTGCTAGCTGCCAATGATCAAAATCTCCAGTACACGTAACATAAAAAAAAAAATTATTGCCATAAAATCAATACAAGTAAGACTAAATTTATGCAAATAGGAAAGGTAACCCAGAGAATAATGAGTATACTTAGGATGAATACTAGAATTTCACATAATTAGCTCATCTCAACGAAAGCAGCTACATTGGTGAGGAAGTAACATGGAGAATTGGAGCAGATGGTAGTGTTACGTTTGTATGGAGGAGTTGCTTAAGTCAAAGAGCAGTGACAAAGAAAATCAAAATAGCTGTCTAGAAACTGAAGTTTTTACCTATCCCACCACAATCTTCCAAATCATGGACTCTCACTTCAAAATAAGGGAGTCGGGTCTAATCAATGTATATGTGCTACCTTCGCAAGGTTGAAGGGAAGGTCTGACAAGATAGAATCCAGGATGCCACCAATTGGGCTAATCTGGAAGTTAATACCATGTTAAAGGAGTACAAGCTAAAGTGGTATAACCACCTTCTTAGGATGGATCATAAGAGAATGTCCAGGAAGACTTACGAGATCTATGTCTAGACTATTTAAATGATAACCTTATTCCAATGATAACTAAACATTCCTCAAGCCTTGGAATTTAGTAGTTACAGTAAATAGATACAGCTATTAATAAATGTAGTTTCAACATCGTTTCGAAAGAATAAAATATCTTAAATAGGTCGAAAATTGGTGATTAAAAATAATGTTTTAAACAGAATATGAAGCGTCTGGCTAGACAATAATGGCTTGGTCACAAAATTTCTGATTTTCTAAAGAAATACAGTTCACTATACTTGAACCATCTGTTTTGTGATTGAGAGGTGTTTTGAGTAGTTTCCACCCTAGAAAGCCCATTTATTTTCTGTCAAGAAAAGATTTTGTGAGCTAAGACAGAATTTGAAACAGATTTGTTTCACATCGTGAGATTAAGATCTAACCATCAAACAAGTATCCTCCCTGATAATGGTTTATAATGATCATAACAAAATTCCTCAGAACTTCAATTTAAATTTAACCATTATTTGATTCAAGCTATCTTCATGAGATTAAGTATTCCTTTATTTCATTAATAATCTTTAAGGATCATGACAAAAACTAGCATTTTATTTAAGTAATGATTAGTTCTACAATATGTTTTTTAACATATATAGCATTAAATAATAATGTAATAAAACTGCTCTGGTTGCAATTATTCTCACATTTAAAATAAAAATATGTAACAATAAAAGTTACAACTTCTATTTAAGTAGTAATAAAAATATTAACTTTGATGGCTTATGCGTAGCAAGTTTATAATACATTCTCTTTACATAGAATAATGATAATATGTTTACTTCAATTAACTTCTGAACGTAAACTATTATAAATAATCAACTTCTTGGGTAGAAGAAATACAGGAATCAGCAAGTTTACAATTGTTGCAATGTCCTTGATCTTTGAAACCAGGTTACCAAAAATTCACATTAATTCAATAATTTAAATACTCGATTTCTAAAATCCAACATAGATAAACCGAATTATAAAAGCTAAATATAATTCATTTTTTAAAAATGTATTTATTAGAAACTGTTGATAAAATAGCGTTTAAAAACTTCGCCAGGATTGTAAATCTTAAATAACTTAGTAGAAAAAATAAAAACACTCCAATCAATTATAAAAATTTATGATAAACAGTATGACAGGAAGAAATATACCTCCACTCTCTTCTTCTTGTATTCCCTATCTGTAGAAGTTACAGTAATTTGTTCACTATCCATTTTGACACTTTATTTTTTTAAATTTTAGTAATGTTAATGAAAGACTTGTGAGTAATGTTTTGTTCATCTATATTGGTGATTAGTCCTTAATTTTTCACAACATATAAAATATATACAGTTAAATCTAGCCATTTAAACTTCAACAACTACATTACTAAACAAAACTGTTTTTTTTTTAATTTCACTACTAACTAATCATGTAAAACTGATAAGGAATAGATGAAGAACTAAGTACTTCATATCGTACTTTACAGTTTACAAACTACTAAAGAGGAACATATGTTAAATTAGGACAGTGGAGTGTTGGAACAAGTGGAACCTGCCCGTAGGTTTCATAACCTTAACCTACTTTTAAAAACATTGGTTGTTGGCATAATCATATCAACTCATTATTTACTTATTAATGATTTACAGTTTACTTAATTTTGAGCGGTATTTATTTTACTGAAATTTAGATTATTTTCTGTTTTTGTAACTAACAGTATTGTCACTGAGGAAGTTGTAGATTTGTCATATTTATTTATAGTTCAACCATGCCTGCCTTATCAAATGGTAATACATGTTGGGGAAATAGAAAATGTTTCAGCATGCATTCAGAGTATATCAGTGATAGTTTTCTTCTGGGGCTTGAGATGAGAGATGTGGTTAGTTTGCCATCATCAGGTACCCCTACAAATTGCGGATACCAAAGAATTCCAGAAAATTCAGTAGTGGAGGATATGGACGTTGATGCATGTAATTCTAAAACTTGTGAACAAATAAACTCAGTATGTAGAAAAAGGTCCATCCCAGCAGAACAAAATATTGTGAAAAGATTACGCCAGCAAGGTACACATACACAAGTTTAGAAACTAAATTGATATGATTGAAATATTAGTTAAAATTTAACAGTTTATTATAGATATTTTTAAAATCAAATTTCAGATCCTAAACAGCAATCTATTTCATCTGAAACAATTTGCAAAAATCAAGTTTATAATTCTGGATTTTGTTTATTTTAATTATCATTGTATTCATATGAGCAAGGGCTATTAATATTACTGTATTGGGTATATGGAGTAGTAATGATTTAGTAGTTTTTTAATCAATCTGCTTATGTTAAGTGATTTTAATCAACTGTTAAGTTGATTATTGTTGAACAAGTTCTAGCATTGTAAAACGATTGTGTGCATTCACTGTATTCATATTATATTATGGCAAACTAGGAGTTATCTTGTAGTTGGCAGTAAACCGGTTAATTTACTACAATTTATATTTTGAGAAAATTAAATAAAAAGAGTGTATCAAGTCAGAATTCCTTATCAAATGTGGTATATATAAGCATTTATTGATATTTTATGATCATCTTCATCATAAATGATGCGTAATTTATCTCTAAGGAATATCTGGAGAAGGGTCATCTCTATATACATTTGGCATTTTATGTATAGTGAGATTGTCATGATCTCGGCCTAACCATTATCTGCGCGCAGCTCCTTTCTGTAGATCTAAAATATAACTACTATCTGTAGTTAAATTTTATGTTCAATAGAGAGCTATGCAACCCATATAATACTTCCGGATGTGAATTTCTATATGATTCGTAGGATCAAAGCCTTTTTGATTTGTCATGTGCATTGAATTATGTTGAATTGGATTCACCAGCATGAATACTTATATTGATCTTCAACATGTTCCCCTCTGTATAAAATTTTTTTTTTCTTTTGCACTAAATACTACACTTTTATCTATGAGTTTCAATTAGCATACAATCTCCCATTTTACTATGTTTTGGTAAAAATTAAATATAAATAATAAAACAAGCTCTTCGTAATAATTAACAAAATGATTATTTTAAAGCAAAATTTCTTCAGATTTCATGGGCAAATATTGATAAAAATGATTTAAAAAGTTTAATTATAGATACTCCTCCAATATTTAAATTTATTTTTCTTGTTATTTTGCCTGATTTTGTTGTAATATGTGTTAGGAAAAATAAAAATGAGCTAAAATCAAGTATGAGTTGATAATAACTAGTGTCAATTTAATATTGGCTTTTTTTTTTTGACAGTACAAAGTTCCATTAAAGTACAAATTTAAAACTTTTAAGATTTGTACTGTTGAGATTTTTCAACTTTATAAGGACTGAAATAATAAATTATGTATACTCTCTAATAAGAAAAATTGTATGAAAGCTACAAACAAGGGTCTAAAATCCTTTTTATATTTATTTTATTGAATGGAAGAGTAATATTTAGGATGTAATAAATCTTTATCTATCACCTTTTTATAGGTGAGATCAGAGTCCTCTGATGGAATTAATTATTTTAGACCTTTGTTTGAAGTTTTGATGTCATTAATGGTATATATATGTATATATGTTTGTGAGTATAGTATTCTTTTGTTGAAACAAATTATGTGGTTTTCTATAAATACTTAAAATTACTTGAATGATCTGTAAAATTGAATCGTTTATTTTAGAAGGTCATACATCCAAAATTTGGAATCTCTCAAGGAGCTGGAAAAAAAATTGAATTTAATCATAAAATATGTTTTGATTTTTGGAATTCTTAACCATTCAAAACACTCATTTACAAATATAGAGGGAAAATATTAAGTATTTTTGTTGGAATCATGTCAATATTTAAAAAAAAAAATAAATAAAAATGATTGTAATCTATTTACAAATTAGCCACTGTATAATAATTTGTAGCTTCCATCATATTTTTATTAATAAAATTTCACTTTGTTTTATTATTGCATGTTGTTAAACATGCTAGTTGACTATTTTTCAAAAATAATTGATAACGGTTGATAATTAGCATGGAATATTATGAAAAATTCTTGAAAAAAATCAGGAATTTCAATTATCAAACAAATACCATGTATACCTTTTTTTAAAACATACGATTCAATTATAACTTATTGCTTTTTGTATTTTTTATATGGTTTTGTATGATTTTTTAAATTAAAATTTATTGTTATGGTAATTAATAATATTGATGGCATTGAAAAAAAAAGAAAGTGTTATGAAAGTTTTAATTTAATAATTTCCTGTGCCTAGTGGTGCTTAGGTAATTTATTCCAACGTTGTTGTTTTTTTTTATAGTTAAGTATTAAATAAAGTTAAAAAACATTATTTTAACAATTTTTGATTTATCAGTATTTAAACTTTCACTGCCATATTTCTCTTTAGAAGTTTGTTGATATTTTGTTTAAATAAATTATTTGTCCAAAATTTTTTAATCTTGTTTTTTTTTTAAAATTAAACCTTTAATTGAATTGTAAAGAAATTTTATTTTATATATGAATTATCTTTATTTTGCATGTAATTGAGAAGTTTCACTTCAAAGGAAATAATTATAATTTTGCATTTATTATCTACAGTTGAATTATTGTAGTATAGTTATATTATAGTAATAAATTTGTGGTATAGGAGAGTATTGCAGTCGTGAATGGAGTTTTCAATGGAAATACATATTTTGAGGTCCCTCTGAGTCAAAATAACGGAGGGTAAGTTTTGTAAAACAGACGTGTGTATATGTGTGAACAGCACAGCTCAAAAATTAAGTCATAATAAACTGCATATGCTTAGGATGTTATAGCAACTTTTTCTCTAAAATCAACTAATCGAAAGTAGCACTCTAAATCATCAAATTTAGTAAGTTTTTCAATTTTCTCATAAACGGCTCCAATGACTTTGATTAAATTCATTATATCAGTATAAAATTAATATTAGGCAGATATTTTCATTGAAATAATCTGATATGGCTTAAATGCCAAAATGTCTTCCCCTAAAGTACCTTTGATTTTGTTTATTTAAAATAATTAATCATTCCACATAATAACCAGTAATAAAAAATGGTTTAATATAAACTACTCAATAGGAATTTCTGAATGTTATGAAACAATTGTTGTTTCTGTACTTATCGATAGTTAATTTCGTAGCCTTTATCTATTCTCTGGCCAAATTAATTTTGATCCAGACAAAATTTATTTTGCATTGAACAAAAAGCTTCATAGCTATATAACTTTATGACTTCCAATACATTTCAGATTTAAATTTCTTGTCCAAAATAATTTATAATCCAGAGTAAAATAAATTTAGTCAGAAAGAAGATGAGCTTTAAGGTTTATCAATTCATTGAAATTTAATTTAATCATGCAAAAAAGGAATCATATACAAAAAAATTAAATTAAATCAACTTTTGACAACTATCAAGTCATTTAATTATATTTATATATAATCATTGATTTCGCAGATACTTTTTTGGGGGGGAGGTTTAATTTTATTCAATAGAAGCTGAATTTACAGATATAAAGACTGATTTAGTGTAAGAATGGAGCTTATTTATGAAATATAAAAAGTAGTCAATGGTTATGATTATAATACGATAGAGTAGCTAAGATACTCTTGTCATATCTTATACCCTTTTCAGGCTCCCTAAAAGATAACCATGGCATAAATGGATGCTTTACTTAGAAAACAGCATTCGTGATTGAACCCTTGGTGTGTGTGCAATCATCATCATTGCTATAATATCACTAACAATCATTGATATCCCTCATTACTTAAATCCAATAGCTTAACTAAAATTTTAATCACTGATAAAAAAAAATATGAGAAAGAAAGTAAATTTTATTCTTAATTTACAAAGTTGTCTAATCTTAATATTAAAATAAAGAAGCATGTGAATAATAAAAAATAAATAATAATAAAAATTCTTAATATTAAAAATAAATACACTGCAGTAAACATATGATCTTGAAGTAGACATATGAATTTAAAGATGATTACATACGGGTGAGTTCAAGTATTTTTACAAATAAGCAATATGACACATACATAGATATCTGCAAAATATCGGTATAGTGTAACTGACATCTCTACAAAATAACTTTATTTTACATATATTCGGAAGATTGATAACTGAGGAGGTGGAAAAATTAATTATGTTTAAATGAGGTCATGGATGAGGGTTTCCGTAAAGAGGCTGGTAGGGAATTCCAAAACAAGGTAGTATGTATGACGAACGATTTTTTAAAGAAAACAGTTCTACGAGAAGGAATAAACAAATTTGAGGATTGGGATCTTGTGTTGAACGAATGAACACAAGAACAAGGAGTAAAGAAATCAAGAATGTAAGGTTTTTTGGTTGTAAAAGGAATACACCTAGGAAATATTGCCATAGGAAAACTGGATAGAGCCACTTCAACTCAGCACAGCAACTGGAGAGATGGGAGCGCCTGGGGACTCCAAGTATAAATCTAATGAAACAATTCATTAGCCTCTTTAATCTGATCTCAAGTCGACCGTATCTCAAGGCAGCCATAATCAAAATGAGGGAAAATGTGGGAGGAAACTAGGAGCTGAGGGATTTTAAGGGGCATAGAGTCACGGAATCTCATGAACTGTTTGGACTTTCAGATAATTTGAGAAATGTGATTATTCCAGGTCAGATGTTGATCAAACATTACCCCAAAGTTTCTTACGGAAGTGTGAAAACGTATGGGTATCTCACTGATGTAGAGTAGAGGATAATAAGGAATAAGGATAATCAGATGCTTGGATCCGATAAGAATGGCTTTGTTTTCTCAACATTCAATTTTAAATTATTGTTCACTACCCAGGTATTAATAATGTCAATATCTTCTTGAAGCCTTCAGATCGCCTCAAGCATCTCCATAAGATGGAAGGAAAGGTAGATTTGGAGATCGTCCGTATATAAATGTGTGCGTGATAAACAGAATCAGAAAGATCATTAATATAAATGGAGAAAAGAGTTGGGGAGAGCGAAGATCCCTGAGGAACACCAGGAGTTAGTAAGAGGGGGGGGGAGGAAGGAGTTTTATTGGGAATGACTGTTTGGGATCTTTGATACAAAAAAGAATGGAACCACTTCAGAGCACTATTTGATATGGAAAGGTTTTGGAGTTTGGTAAGGAGGATTTCATGATTTACGGAATCGAAAGCCTTTGAGAAATTGAAGAGGACTAGGATCGAGATTTTCTGTTTGTCTATAGAGAAATGAAGGTCCTGGGAAATTTTCAGCAAAGCGGATTAGGTGGATAACTGGAATTGGAAACCAGACTGGAAGGGATTGAGGAGAGCTTTTTGCTCAAGGAAGGTATTAAGCTGTATTAATCAAGGTATTATGTATATTAATGTGTAAAGTAAACTAAGAGAAATCCACACACTTCTCGTAACAACCTCATAATTTTTCATGGGACCATTTGTTTGGTAATGTGGAAGTAATTTAAGAACCTTTTTCAGTTCAAACAGTTTTTTTAATAATCAATGAATAGTTACAAGGATGTGAGATGAATTTTTATAAAAATACTGATAAAGACAGTTGTTAATATTTTAAGATGATTTTACATAATAATAAATTTTATTGTACTCCAACATCTTTCAGTTATATACAATGAAAATGTTTTTTTAAAAATTGTTTAGTAGCTACCTCTGAAATTTCTTTAAACTAATTAGATATAAATGATGTTCACATCTTGTGGCAGTGGTTGGTTACAAGACAAATAATCAAAATTAAAAACAACTATACATTTATTTTAAGAGCAACAAACTTCACTTAAATAAGTTTTACTTCTTATCTTTCGATTTTATTTTTAAAAATACATTTTTCACTTTTTGATTGTCTTGAACTTAATTCAGTTAATAAAATAAATTAATGTTATGAGATAATATTATTGCAGGAAGGGAAGTATTTCTAGGATCACACTTCTTAACAGGTTAATGATATTGGTTAATAACCACAACAATAATTTGTCTTAAAAAAAAATGAATTTGAATTAAACAAATAAAATTAATAAACAGTACTAATAAAGATTCTATTATTATCATAATAAAATATATAAAGTTATATTTTAAAGGATAAGTTTTTCAATCAGTTTATCATTACAAATGTTTAATAATTTCTTTAAATTATTGTGTTTATATAATAATTAATATAAATAATTATTCCTATAATTAACCCTTTAAAATATATTTCTTAGGGAATTATGGCAGCCTGGAATCTTCAAAATTTATTTCATACTAATGTATAGCTTATTTGCTATATCTTAAAAAGTTCAAAATTCACTTTCAGAAGATGCATTTGAAGTTTTAAATTATTATAAGTTTTTATGTATTTACTTCAGTCAAATGAAGTGCTACATATGTTTTTTTTTTCACATTTACTTGTACAATTATACACAATACAGTTATTTGTATAAATAAATTAATAAAAACAAACTTTTAGTCAAATTATAATACAAAATAAAAATAAACAACTAAAGAAATCAATAGGTTCACATCCTTGCAATTGTCCATATGGTAATTAATTCGACAATAATGATTGACGATGTAGCAGAATGGTATATATCAACATAAATTATGTTATAATTTAAAATTGTATACAATAATTTCATCAAATAAATAATTTAAATTAACCTGGTTTTATGAACTTAAAATATGACAAATATCACAGTTAAAAATCTTAAAAACTAATAACTTATCAAGTAATTCATATAAGATTGAATATAAAACAATTAGAATTCATAATTAAATGCGCTAAGAAATAAATTATACAATTGGAACAACAAGTTCTAAAAGTGATTAAATTAAAAACAAATGTATTTTACACATTAAATAAAAAAAGGCAAACAAAAAAGAAATTATGATAGTGGATATTGGTTGACTGTAGAAGATGTATTGACAATGTCTAGTATTTTCTAAATATTTATACGTTATCTTATCTTTGCTTAGCGCTATTGAAGGCCTTAAACTTAGGCCGAAATGTCGGCACAAAGGAAATAAAAATAAATAGAATTTATTTATTTTTACTTAGTATTTTGATTGATTTAAAACTTCAAATAACTTCTCTTAAAAAAAAGAAAAATTATATTTAAGTTAACAAATAGAATTTTCATTGAAACGATCCAGAAGTTTAAAAGTAAACAGAAGTATTGGTTTTTGCATAATGGTTTAAAACAGTATTATGAAATTATCAAATTTTGGAAGTAAAGATTTATTGAAGTATATATTTTGATTAATAAACTGATTTTGACAACTCTTAAATCTTACAATTTATTCCGTGGCAGAACCACGGAATGAATCTTGATCTTCCCGCTCGGGTCAGAAAAGATACCTCCAGAAGGTTTTTGACTGAAAAGTTTAAAGTTTTTGTATGGGGGCCGTTCTCGCTGTCCTTATACTTGTGATGCATAGGTTCAAATAAATGTTTTGAATTCAAATATCAGATGAATGTATTTGCTCAGTTTCTGATTTAGATTAAATTTTGAATCTCAGAGAGTCATATTTACGCTGTTATGAGTGATTGCTTTGTGCAGTAGGTGTACTCCCAAGATAGCAGTAGCTACCAACTCTACATACACTGAACAAAACAATCATTCATGACAGCGTAAATGTGACACTACAGTCACTGACGGCAGAAGATATATATTACAGTAAAATATGGTCTTCTGTTATAACAATCAGGTGGAAACATGAAAATGACCCTTTGGAGCATTGCATTACTGGACTGGCATGAACAGAACATCTGGATTATAGAGTTTATGATTTTTCTTTTTTTTATTGCCCTTTAATTTATTTTCAATATTATTAAAAAAATATAATCTTTCATCTAATTATTAATTTGTTGATCTAATAGAAAAAACAATAAGTTTTTTTTCTTTATAATAATAAATATAAAAAAACATAAAAATTTCTTTAAAATAACTATTTAAAATCTTATCCTTCTTCACCGATTTTCCTTTTTCTGCTTTGATTCTTAGGACCAGTATTTAGAGCTAGAAAATAATATAACTATGAGTACAAAGGTAAGAGTCAATTAAAGATAATAATATTATTGAAGGAAGCTCGTAGACTGTTCTACATTCATCGGTGATAAATATTCAGGGACGCAGTCATTATAATTTTTTTTAAATTTGTGCCGACATTTCAACCCAAGCACGACCTGATGATGATCCACATGTTTAGGTTGAAACATCAGCACAAATTAAAAAAAAAATTATAATGACTGCGTCCTGTATATTTATCATCCATGATAATAATATTAGCTTAAGAAAATATTTTGCTTTAAACGAAACCAATGCAAGACATAATCATGCATTTAGCAAAAGATTAAAACTATCTTGAACTAAAAACAATTACAAAACATAATATTAACATAGGATATAGCCATTAAAAATCATAATCAAATGTTGCAAAGTTATATGGTACTACAGGAAAAAAAAAAAAAAAAATTAATATCAAAATTAAGAACATAAATAAAAGAAACATCTCACTGTTAACTCGACAAACTTCCGCTTTAGCTCCAAACTCATCAAGTTTTTCTAGCCACTTAATTTGATTAGGGGAGAGTGTATCACTTGGTCCTTTGACTTCTACGAAAATGCACTGTAACAGATTGCATATTTTGTTAATGTATTTTAGAGTTTATCATTATTATTATTATTACTGTTTAAATACTAATAACTGTATTGATACTTTTTTAGATGATGAATCCCAGAGAGTTAAATCTGGAAGCCCACTCCTTCTTGATCTGTAATCTTCTATAAGGTATCTCGCAATGTTAACGAAAACATCAGTAGTAAGGCATGTTAAGAACTGCTGAGCCTGAAAATGAATGATCAAGTAAAAAATCGAGTTAGATTGAGATGTGCAGCATGAAATAAAACATATAGTAAATGATTTACTGTTCAACGCATGATGATGTTTTAACCTACACGAAGGCCTTCTTTAGGGCTAAAAAAAATGAGATACAAATTATACCCAAAAATAGAGAATAAATGTTGCAGAAATGCATATATAAAGATAGGGAGCAAAAGAAAAATTAATAAACATTTAAATTATAAATGTAGAAAGTTATACAAAGTCGAAATCGTAAATAATTATACATGAAATGATTGGAACTGAGGAGAGAAATGGGGTCAAGATATGAAGAGAAATGGATTCAAGAATGGAAAGAATATTGACAGAAGTGTTACAAGTAATAATTATGTATTTAAGATTCTGCTAAAAAAATATTTGCAAAATTAATTAAAAGGACGTAAGAGTGTTAAAAATTTGTTCAATAAAAAAAGTCTTGATCGAAAAAATAAAAACTTATAGCAGGTGCAAGGAAAATTACTCATTTTGTCATTCCTAGGAAGCTTATCCACCTGGCTAATACCACCATGCATAAGGTCAAGAATATCATCAAGATACAAGAAAAATGCTCAGGCAAGTTTCAGTCTAATAAGATCCTACGACATGGTGATTGGTCAGCATGTCTTCTGTTTCAGTCTTGAAGGTGGTAAAACTTAAGGCTACAAACATCATCTATTATTAACTGAAGTTTCAACTCTTAAGGTACAATTCGCTGGTGCGGCCCGCGACTGCTTGCGGTTGACCACTGCTTTAGTGGAATAGAGAGGAACCTATTTCGCTGGCGCTGCTCGGCAGTCTAGGAATGACATCATATCTAAGCTGCTCCTATCTGATTGCTCTCGAAGCAGTGGAGCTGTTGGGTGTTCGGCGGTTGTAGGTTATGTTATCATGTCAGAGCATTGTTTTGACGATAACAGTCACGTTGATACGTTTTATTTCCTATGTTTCTTTCAAGTCTAGCAAAATTATAAGAAATATTGTTTAAAACTTAAACAATGCAATAGTGAATTATTTTTTTAAGGTTGAGGTAACAAGATTATTTATTTCACCAACAATATTTTACAGCGAAATTCAAACATACCTATACCCAAACGATATTAAATAAATTAAAGAATCCAACAAATTTTAACGTCAGGTAAATACTAAAATCCACTCATTGAAAAATCGATTTTTATTTTTTAATTAAAGTGAGGATTTACTGATTACTATTGAGAAAATGATAAAACATCGCCTGCTGTGATTTAATTACAAATATATGATATTTATTACTAATCAATTATGTAATAATTACTATTACTTTTCAAACTAATAATATCTAATATCTGAGGGACTATTGTTGTTAGTAAGGCGTTTTCCGACTATTTGTTTTTTTTTGGTTGTTCCTCAATTTTTGGTTGTTCATCTAGACAATAGCAAACAATGTCCAAGAAGGGATTTGATGATTTGGATGATGAGCATCTCATTGAAATACTGATATTCCTTCTCCTTATGAACAACATTTCCACTTCTTCTTCTTCCTCCTCAAATAAAAAAGCAGTAGTTAGAGAAAGGATGTCCATTTTTTTATCTTCAAAGATAAAGCGAAATGTTCGAATGTTATAACAATCCCAGTGAGCAGTTTCAGCGAAATAGCTATGCCAACAGCAGTTGGCAGCGTGGAATAGCGGTTGCTGTCGTGGGCCACACCAGCGAAATAGAACCTTTAGGCTTTTGGAAGATGTTGGCATCATTGCAAGATCCACGATTGAATTGAGCAATGCCTTTCAGGCGATCCAACAGACAGAATTAAAACTGAGCCTCGTGATAAATGAAATTAAAACTAAATATATGGTAATTAAGGCAGAAATCATTTTGCAAAAAATGATTCTCAAATGTCATGAGTAATTTATATAGAAAACCTTTAAAACAGCTAGTAATACAATAATTTTTATCTAGTTCCTTGTAACGTTTTTTTTATTTTTTTTTTATAAATGTTAATAAGTTGATACTTCTTTTTATGTGATAAGCAATATATTAATATTTAATTATAGCTATTAAAAATCTAATACTTTAATGTTGACCGCCTTCCTCTTCTCTTAAAAATCAAAAACATCAAAGCACAAAATGCCGATATTTTTTATTGATATTTCAATCTTTACATCCTTAAGATTAAAAACATTGAAGTCTGATATATTATAATATTTAAATATTATAACCTCTTCAAGACGTCCAGGTTCTAGATAACTCCAATCCACAGGACCAACAATCCCAGCATATTTGTTTCCCACTTTTCCCAAGTATACTTCTGCACTTTCTTCTACAATTTCATTTAATGTTGTCTAAACACACACAAAAAAAAATTAAAATAGTGTAAATTGGAAGTGATAGTTAACGGTAATGGTAATGCAAGATGATGGAATTAACCAGGGTCAATATGTAATAAAACATTTAATATTATTAAAATCAAATGTATAGGCCATGCTTTATTCACTATTTCAGAGTTAGGAGGAGGCGGGGTGGCCTAACGAGCTAATGAGGGCGAACAGCACTGCTGTTGCCCGGAAACCTGATCAATTTGATAAAATAAGTACGAGTTAGGGGGATTTTAACTCTGGCATAAACCTCCTGGCCTAGGATAACTCCCGTATAGCTTAAAAGGGGAGGAAGGGGAGAATGGAAAAAAGCCCCTACAAGTTCCTCTACCAGTTTCTAGGAGGAATTTACTTTGGTCAAGAAACTTAAACATGTAAAAGGTTTTTGTGAGGTATACATACTATTCTTCAAAACATACTGTGCATCCTGGCACCTTTTTATTGTGTTATAGCCAATCTAACTTAAAGTTTAATTGTACAGAACAGTCTCGATAATCTGAACTCCTAGTGATCCAAACAAGAAAAATAAAAAATTTAAAGTTGACTGACAAGATTTAAAGACTGAATGGAAATGGCTCTGTTTCTCAGTACATATTACTGGAATTGCTTCGTGTGAAAGTATCAAAATTGTATTTTGGCATCTCTAAACGGAATCAATTAAATCTAAGCAGTCATCCAAAAGTTGAAATCTCTTTCTATAAGTGGTTTTTGCAGCAGAGATCACGAGGGTGTAAACTTTCCGGGGATATATTAAATAAAAAGTCAAAGTTTTCTTTAACTAATTTTTTTTAAGGATGATAAATCAGATTTTAATGCTAGGAAAGTTGGCTTGATAATTTCAAAAGCAGGTATGAAACATGTTTCTTATATTAATTTTTAATTCACAGAAAAATTTTTTTTATTTTATATTATATACAAGTCATAAAAATGCCATAAAAGCATTTAATACTTGCTTGGAGTGGGCGAATGGATACAATACAGACTACTGAATCCCGGTACTTTTAAGGAAATTGCGAGAAAGAAGGAATGTGTTTATAATCAACTGATAATACATTTTTTTTCTTACCTTGAGCAAATTTTCCATAATTTAAAATTTAGCATTTGATAATTTAAACAGGACATGCAATCTAAGCGTTCAGATTATCAAGACCGTCCTATATATTTTTTTATAGTATTGATTGAAATGATAAAGGGCAGACTGTTTCTGTATGATATTACATTGCTTATGTAAACTTTTGTATTGCTCTTGAGGTTTATTATCACTTTAAATATTTCCCATTACATATGGAACACTCTATATATGGTGTTCAATTTCATTCTTCAATTACACTACTCTACAAAAAAATTTTTTTTGCGTGTATCTTCGATGAAACTGTTTCTCTGGGCTAATTTTGATGTGAGCTAATTGATTGAACTCGAATTTTCTTCCAGAATTCTTATATTAGCTACCGTTCTGCAGATACGTATACCAAGAATCTAATACAAAATTAAGTAATTGGAAGTAACAAGATCATTTTTTAGGCTTTAAAAGTGCTTTATTATTTGTGAAATATTTTTAAAACCCACAAAACATTAAATTACAAATTCTCTCGGCAAGAACGTTTCTTCTTTGCTTGACGATTATACTGATGTTCGGGCGATCTGAAAATTTCTGTACATTATAATCTTTACACCAGGTTGTAAAAAGTTCTTATTGAACCCAAAAGTTCTGCTTTCTCTTTGGGCAGATCCAGGTCCCGAATCAAGTCACTGAGTTCAGCTTGAGTAAGCAAATGGAGTTTTCATTCTTCTTGTTCGAAAGAAAAATCAGCATCCTCCTAGGGAGTTTTCTCTTTGTTATCCTTGTCCTCATTTAAGTCATAGTGTTCAGGAGACCTTGAAACAGGCAATTACTTCACTTCAGATTTCTTTTTTAGAGACATTTCACGATGAAGAGGAGGGGTCATGCAAAAGTAGCAATTGTCAGTGTGATTTAGGCTCCCTCCACACCTTGGAAACAGCAAAATTCATTGAACGACCTATCTTATTTAACCATGCTCTTAAGGTTACGCTATATGTGATGCAGCAGATGTGAAGTGTAAAAGGGTTTTTGGAATAGCTGAAGATGGCTAATGTGTAACAAGTACTCCAGGCTAACTTGATGGCTAAAAAATAGCTTACTATCTCAGCTGGATAATTCCAACATCAGTTCATTAGTGAAAAAACATGCTTCATGTCGAAAATAGGAAGATTATTTGTGTCCTCTCATTCAAAATTCTCAATAACCCAAATCAGTAAATATAATTTTAATGAAAACAAGAGCAAAGAAATAAAATTAATTCTAAAGTGAAAATTTCATCATAGTGCTCCACCTATTCTAATCTCTTTCCTGCTGAAAACAGTTACATAAATCAGAATGTTATTGTATAAATTTAATAATTAAGCTTTGATAAAACTAGTTTTAAGCACTATTACAGTATGGTAACAACCAAATATGTAAATCATAATTGTAAATAAACAATACATATAACAAAAATACTTCTATTATTTCTCGACGACGCTTATAAAAACCAGAAGAACCCCAATCAAGAGGAGCTGTTTGTAATTCAGAATGAAATACACCTTCTACATCGTAGAAAATAACTTCCCATAAGCAAGCCAGAGCACATGTAACTAATAGTTTTCCTTCATCATGAATACCTGAAATAGAATATAAAGAATATGATGTGATCATAAATCTTAAGTATTTTATGGAGATTTTCTAAATAGATTGCCATGTTATTATTCAATGTCCTTCTTATAAGTGAATAAAGACACTTTTAGTTTTCTTAAATAAAAATAGAGAAATAAACAAAAATGTTAAAGACAGCATAAACTTTTTTATTTATTTAAAAATAACACCTTGCCTTCTTTTCCTGGCCACCTGAAATTTTTGGACTCAGAGGCTTTGAATGTAGAGATGTTTTTAAAAACTGCGCATAGAAAATTTGACCTGATTAAAATAATTTCCGTGCCAAGTATCAAGTGGTAGGAAAATAAAAAATTAATGAATAAATAAGAAAGGAAATAATAAATCATTTCAATGGTTTTAAACAAAAAAAATAAATAAATAAAGCTACCTAATAGCGGTTTTCTTGACTGGAAGAAACCATTACTAATAAATATATATCCATTAGAAAAAAATCGAAGCAAAATAAAAATAAAACTTCAGGCCATCTTTCAGTTTAAATTTAACATTTTTACCGATACTATCAATAGATCATAGTCAAAGAGGTGTCTTAATGCAGGCATTTGTTTACCATGTTTACATTAGATCTATTGAGCAGGAACTAGCTAGGTGGAATAAGCAGAACTAATGGCAAAGTAAAACTTCCAATAAAAGTAAGAAAATTATTTATTTTGTTACAACCATATTTTCAGGAATATATAATATATCGCTCATTATGAAATGATTCTTAAATTGTGATACAAAAAAAAAATTCTAAATTAGTTAATATTAATATAAAGATGAAATAGGTCGTACCTGTTTTTGTCTAAAGATACTCATAGCCTAAATATTAATTAACACCTATAATTCAAGTAATATATGAAATAATATTACTAATAATAAATAATTAATATGTAATAATTACCAGAACCAAAATCAAAATGAGACATGTAATGCTGGCGAGCGACTTCTTCAACAGAGGAGTACTCTTTTCCTTTTTCTGTATTCTTTACAAATATTTGTTTTTTGCTAGTTGTAACACTGAAAAAAATATCAATGATATAATGAAGTGTTGATTTGAATTTAATAATTACTACTTTATGGTTAGATATCCTTAAATAGATGGACAATATCTTCGTTTTGAAAACAGACCAAATACAAAGAATTGATGGATTATAATGAAATAAAAATTTTATAAAAGTTTTACTAAGCCTCTTGACTTATATGACTCCCGCTATTAGTCTTCTATGAGCTATGGGGCTGTTCAAGGAGACAGCTGTGATTGTTTGGTTCTCTTATATAGATATTCAGAGAGAACGTGGATTATAACCAGATAACCAGACGCGATCACAAATCACTTCGTCTTCATCAGGATGGTTGCCCACCTTTAGCAGACATCTCCATCCAGTTGTTTTTTACGGGATAGTATTAATGGTCCTGTGTCTAACCCCCAATCTGAATGACCAGGAGCTATATTTTAAGATACAGGAGTCGCTCACCTTTCGTGGGTTGCTCATGGGGAAACCAAGCCTGTGCCGTATTGGTCTAAGCAATAGAGTAGGGACTGCACTTATTTATTTTAATTTATCATTAATTATTTTTATTTTTTATCTTTTTTTTTTAAATCCTGCGAACAGGATTTAAACTCGTAGCATAAAATTTTAGCGTTTTGCGCCTTAACTCGCTCGACAACCTTGTCCCTAAGTAAAAAAAAAGTGCTTAAAAGAAATAATTTTTTAATTAAAAATAAATCTTAAAAATGTGAATACTATTAAAAACATGAATTAATTTTAGATTAAAAAAGAAGTTGTATTATGCACACACCATTTTTCTTTTCAAAATGCTATTATTAAAGACCCAATCTTCATGAACTAAAAACCCAAAATATTTAAAAACATGTAATTAACACGTAAAAACATATGAAAATCATCTATTTTGTTAAATTTATTATATTAATACATTGAAATCTGATCAAGCTTTTGAATTAAAATAATGAGAAAAAAGATAAAAATGCAACATTAAATTGAAATTCCTAAGAATATTTAGGAAACTTTAGAAATACACTATAATATTTGTGATTTCCAAGCATTTAATTTATAAGTGTTGGTTGATGTTGTTTTTTTTAATCATTAAACGTTCATTTAATCATTAATTTTTGGGACTTGGGGGAAGATCTTTCTTAAAAAGAAACATTTATTCCTGTAATAGAAAATTTGTTTGTTAACAGGTCTACAATGAGCGTCTATCTGTGATTTCCTATCATGTATCAGCATACAGAAAATAACTTCTCCATTAAATTTCAACTCCAATAATTTGGTATCCAAATTTTAATTTTTAACGAAGGACTGGGTCCTACTTTCGCTGTTATCCTTTTTTTATTTTTTTTTTTAATAATAATGAAATTATTACAATTTATTTATAGCCGGAAGGGATACCAAAAGGCTGAAGAATGAATGAGAATTCAAGTCAGAACAATAACAATAAATGTCTTTCTAACAAAACAGCTTGTTCCAGGAAGGAATTTTTTATTACTATACAATATTTTAGGTAAATTATATTCTCAGAATATTTCTTACTTAATAAGAAGATATAATAATACAAGATAGTAAAATAAAAAGATAAAAATTTACACACATGCACGCATATATTTATATCTATAAATCATCTTGCAAAAATGTGCAATTTGGTGCAACAAAAATCAAAATGAACAAGGCCAAAAACAGCAAATCATGCAATATTAAATTTCAATATGTTTTTAAGTTTCAATTTGAGGTTTTTACACTCAAGAGAATAAAATGTGCAATAACATGGATATCCAGTCTTCAACTATTATATTATAGCAACAGAATTTTCAAAGGAATTTCATTAATTAAATTATTAAAATAACCAACCTGGGTGCAGAAGTTGCTTCTATAGTAATTGTTTGAGGCGAGTAATTTATTACAGGGATTGATTCTAACAAACGCTTCTTCAACGTTGTCTGCAAAGATTTCCTCTTGCCCAATGATTCAGCCTTCATGATCAAAGCTATTATTGAATAATTTAAAAGTATTTTTGGATCTAGAAGACCTTCCACGAGGACATCGACCATCTAAAAACAATATACAAGTAATCTTTATGGAGTGCACTAACTGATTATGATTTTTATTTAGATAATTCATAACTTTTTTTTGTTTGTTTATTTAATGAAATTTACAACTGTATACAAATACAACTAGTAAATATGCGCAAATTATAAATAATGACATGTACAGGCTTGAAGAGATACTACCCAGTGATAGCACTCCCTAAATAATTTTAAGTAAGAAGATCACGAGGCCATCTCCTTTTCAGATGTCTAGGAGGATTATCAGGGATCGAGGAAGAAGCAAGAGTGGAAACAAGTGGATTTGGATGGGACTGAAGTTTATCATGAAAGGATAGATATCTGGCTCGAGCTAAATTAAGGTCTTTATGAATGGTTTTATTTGTGACAAAGTATGGAGCAGTAAGGATTTTACGGAGGATTTTGGATTGTAAGGATTGGATACGATAGGAATTCGATGGTTTGGTGGAGCCCCAAAGCTCAATTCATAACTTAATATTAGAACAAGTCCTACTATTTTATGTTGTTTTTTTTAAACTTAGCTGAAATGAATTGTATTTAATTATTCGATTTCACTATATTTTATTTTAAAATCATTAATTTAATGGCCAGAGGTATTAAGAGTTTATAAGTAGCCCAAATGAACTTATAAATAATGAAAAAATCAGTTTCATGGGGATTTATTTTAGGATGAGATAAAAGCCTAAAATTCACTCAGCCTTCTAAAGATAAATGAGAGGCTAATTGAAGAAGCATAGTTTTTAAGTTTAAATTCATTCCATGGGGCTGTTACAACACAAATTTCAACCTGCCCAGGTCAGGTTTGAAAAGAAGCCACTAGAGACGAGGTTGCTTAGGTTATGACATCTTAACACTCTCCTCTATCATAGCCGAGAGCATGGGCAGATAGCTATTCAGTTGCACACAGCTCTAAATATCTGATAATGAGATTACATATCTTATATTAACTAGGCAGTTAGAGCACAGTGCCTCTCAATGACATCTTCATATCTGGAATCTGAAACTATACGCAGGGAATAACCCTCACACATTAGTTTTATTCTAGTAGAATAGGGTACTGATAGGGTTTAATTAAGGGATGTACCTAAGTTAAAACCTACAGTGGTATGCATAGTCGTCCCTTATACTCCACTATTCCCTTATCATCCCTAAAAGGCTGGTGGTCAGAGTCCATCCTTTCAACTTCTCTTCTATTATAGAAAATATTTAGGGGACATAGAGCACGGGCGGATCTACGTGGGGGGGGGGACTTTCGGGCTGAAGCCCCCCCCCCCAAAATGATAAAATATAACCATGTTTTATCGAAAAAAATATTAAAAAAGTATCTCTTAAAGTATTATTATTCGTGTAATTACATTTAAAAGGGCTCTAGGAATAACTTAACTACCATTTCATACAGGTAGTTAGTTTCTTTCTTTTTTTCCAAAGTAATTATCGTTATTTTTATGAAAAAAAAACCTTTCGGGCTGAAGCCCCCCCCCCAAAAATAAATTCTGGATCCGCTAGTGACATAGAGGGCCCTTCATTATTCCCAAAACGTTCCTTTACTCTCCCACTCCACTCACTACAACTTATATTTAACTGATAGAAGATGTAATTATGTAAGGCCACACCCTCTGGCCCGGGAAAACTCCGTATAGCCTTCAAGGTGAGGAAGGGGAGGACGCGAAAAAGAAAAAAAAAAAATTATCGTGTTATTATTATTATTTTTGCTATCATTATACTTCTAAAAGGGACGACTATGCATACCACCACAGGTCACCACAAAACTTATATGAATAAAATGTGTCATCAAGGAACAATGGATGCAGACCATCTAGATGCATGTCCTGCCTTGAGGGACATAAGAGAAAAAATATTTTCAAATATACATATCAGAAAGTCTAAATTATTCTGGGCAGCAAGATGTCGGATGGCCAAATGACATGAAAAATATATAAGTTAATTTAAAAAATAATGTATTTTGTATAAGTACTAAAGCATCTTGCATTAAGTTTATTTTTACATCTTTAAAAAGATGTTCAATGAAAACCATATTAAATAAACACTTTTTCATTTAAAACTCATCTCTAATATATGCAAATGAGATGACCAAATAATTCAAGAAAGAAATTTTAAAGTAAAAAATCATAGATATTAAATGTTTGAATAATTTCATTAAAATATAAATCTAGATTAAATATTAAAGAACTTACTTTTTCATGGTTCTGCTGCTTTTCGTAAACAAGTGCCATTTCTCTATACCAATTCCCTCTTGCTCCACTATATCAAAAATTACAAAAACCAATAAAGAAATCAATTATATTCAATCAAATTAATATTATTAGATAAACTTATATGAACTTGTAACTTATTTAAAAAATGCAATCAAAACTTTATATAAAATATTGTTTTTTAATTATGATAACTAGTTTGGATATTTTAGACACAGGGTTTCATTGAAGTTTTAATGAAAGTATATAAAATAATTTATTTTATAAGTTTACCCCAGAAAATATTTTTGTCCTAAAAGAAGTTGAAGTATTTCTATAGCCTCATCCCAAGTATCTTCACTTTTCTTTAGAACCTCAATGCCTGAAGAAAGTATGTACGCATAATTCCGTCCAGGAGTGAACTTCATCAAGTAATCCATATCTTTCGACCTCCATTCATCTAAAAACTTTCTGGGAAAAAAAAAGTTATTCAATGAGAATAAGGCTGTAATTTTCTTTTTTCTAAGCAAATAACTCAATCTACAGCACATTTTTGTTATGGTTGTGAAGGCCTAAATAAAAAATATTCATTCATTAGTACGTTAGCTTTTTGGCTTGTGAAAATAGCAAATGACAGTATAAAAGAAATTGAAATTGTATTTGAAGTTACATTGCCAGAATCTGTCTATTACAAAATAGCTCTTTGAATGTACTATTATTAATTTCCTATCATTATTAGTTAAGGAGTATTGTGATCTAGTCAAATTTTTAATGTGCAGTTTTCAAAATACCTTTTTCTTTCACAGCCCTCTGAGTACGAAAAACATTTTGGTCTGTCTGTGCCATAATTATCTCTTGAATGGGTGGATAGATTTTGTTGCTTATTTTTTGGTTTGTATGGTTTCATTCAGATACTGATGCCGATGAATAAAAAAAAAAAACCCATCAAAGTCAAAAAAATATCAAATATTTGTACAGGTTTCCAAGGAAACCCATATAATGATTTTTTTGGTCTGTTAAAACCAAAAACAAATCTAATGTTTTTTGAAATTTCAAACCATGTACATCTAATAAGTAGATGCAAACGGAAAACAATTAAGTATTTTTCATGAGACTACCTACAATTTAAAAAAAGTATTTTTTTTTTTTTTTAGTAGCTTTGTAAAATATACAAAATAGGCTTTGAGACTGGTTTTGCAACTGAATGTCTCAAATATCTTATAGAACATTTTTTTCATTATATTTAAGTTAAATTAAAGTTAGAATTTTTCTTTTATATAATTTGGAATAAATGGTGATTTCTCAGTCCCAACTAGGATAGAAAAATGGTAATCTGCTATATTCCTAACTGAATTTAAATAAAATGTACAATTTGTTTAAATGAACTTACATATTCAAATCATTATCAATATAAAGTTTAAAATCGAGCTTGCACTTGTTGATTATAACGCATGCTTTCTTCCAATCTTTTTGTACTTTGGTATCCATAAATTCCTCTAAAATTTCCAATGATTTTTCATACCTAAAAATATAATAAATTAGTAACCGAAGAATAAAAGGAAATTATAAATAAACATAAGAAAGTTTTCTAATAATAAATAATGCAACTAAACAGAAGGCAAGTTTCTAAACTCAGCAATGAGCTGATGGCTGGCATCATAAATCTACCAAACTAACTATAAACCCATCAACAATATTATACATCCATCGTGGAATGTCATTTTTGGCAAATTGACAATTAAATATGAGGGAAACTATACCAATTCTAATTGATTCTAATTACAAAAATGTAAAGTATATTTCTAAAACAACTTAGCCACAAACAGATATGAAAAGGTGAAAGAAATTCATTTAGAATAAATTTAAAAAAAAAAGTATGACTTTGGATTAATAATATATATCCACAACCACACTGTAAATAAAATTTTAATAGAAAGAGTAATTTGAGCTTGTCTGATCAATATTTGCCTCGCTACTACTTCTACTACTCCTCAGTGCTTCAGACCGATGTGGTCTTTGGCCTCCTCGACAAGTCTTCGCCAGGTGATCCGATTTTGTGCTGCCGCTCACCAGTTGGAGATGTTGAGTAGGTTGCGGGCATCTCTGCCAACAGTGTCCTCCCATCTGAGACGAGGTCTTCATCTTCCACTTGTCTGGTGGAGCCTTCCTTCCAGCAGTTTCCTGGACATTTCTTCTTCTAGCATGCGTGCAACGTGGCCAGCCAATTGCATTTTTAACAATAAGCTTCATTATGTCAGTTTCGCCATAAATTGGTAAATTTCCTTGTTTGTCCTCTATCTCCAGTCCTCTCCAACCTTTACTGGTTCAAATATTCATTGGAGAATATTTCTTTCCAATATAAGAATTTCTCACTCTTCATATTTATATATATTTGCCTCACACATATTTAAAAATACAAATAAAAAATGTTACATCTCAGAAGCTAAAATAAAATAAATATTTAGAAAAAAATCTACTACACAAAATAAAAAATTGAGCTAAAAAAAAAAAAAAAATACTACACAAATTGGAAAATTCTATCCACCCTAAGAGAATAGATTTCTTGGTAGATTGATAGGAAAGTTGACATCTATGAATATTTAAACTTGGTTTAATAGTCTATCACTACATATTACAGCTAGCTCCTAGAAAACAGATTTTGTTCCTTGTCTCCATCCGAAAGAGTTTTGAGTTTCAATTGAAAAGTAACAGGAACCCGACTACTACACCAAGTTTAAATATTCATAGATATCGATTTCCCAATCAATCTACCAAGATGTTTAAGTAAATAAGGTACTACATTCCCTTAGGGAGATGGAATTTCAAATATTTTTTATTTTCACATTTTTAGTTTTTGAAATATTAACAATTCTTTTTCATAACATATGATCTCATGATATCATTTTAAATCAATTTATAATCGAGATACTATAACCATTTTTTTCCTCTAGTATTTTGAGCTCAAATTGTTTCGAAACATTCACTGGATTTAACTGAGTAATTACAACCATCAAAGTTAAAAAATCAATCATGCCATCCACACAAAAAAATTGTGAGGAACTTAGTAGCTTCAAATGGACGACCCACCCTAGCACATAACCCTGGTTTCGCTTCAATTAGTTGGTTAATAAGAAATACAGTTTATTTCAATAATTTTAGTTTTTGCAGTACGACGATGATGCAGTATTGCAGTCAATATATTACTGAATAATTAATATTACTCTTGGTTTTCTTTATAATAAAAATATGAATTTTATACAAAATTACTATCAATTTCAGATTAATTTTAAAATTTTCACATTTTTTTTTCCTCCTCCCCTTCCTCGCCTTTTAGTCTATACGGGGGTTTTTCCCGGGCCAGGGGATTAATACCAGAGTTAAATGTTTCCCCGGGCAATGGGACATGAGATCATAATTATTTTTATCTATTCTTCGATCTGGATTCCCAGGCAATGCACGGTGTTACTCAAGGAGTTAACTTGCTTGATTATTAAATAAAATATAGGTAAACTTAAATTATCAATACATACTCCTTAAATTTGGCAATGTTTCCAAACACATCAGTAGGTCGCAGGTTGTACTTATGATAAATAACAGTTCCTTTGTTTTTCTCAGAAAGACTTTTGGCAAGATCTGAGACTCGTTTTGACTCTTCCCCACGATAATGAGGATATGTATTCAGCAAGACTAACATTTTAAAAATCTCTCTGGCTTCAGAACATAATTTTACGCAGTTCAAAATTTTCTTTATGCTGAAAAGATAGATTAAAATAAATTATCTAAGGTATAAATCAGAATTTTAAATGATTAAATGGTACCACAGTAGTAGATATTTTGGAATATTAAACTTTTCTTGATCTGATTTATATAAAAATAAAGCTTGATTAAGCCATTTACTTTACACATACATTCAGAAATATATTTGTTTTATAGATTCATTGGTATTAGTTTAAATGTCAAGTCTAATCGATAAGTGGGTCAATTTTATCATGCTGTCAAATAAAATGTTATAATATGGAATGTTTACTTACATCCATCATGACGTAAGTGAAACTCCGAAAGTAACTGAATTTTGAAAAATATGTTAAAAATTCGCTACTCTTTCTCAAGGGATAAACAAACTCACAAGAGTGCTTTATCAATAGAAGGGTCTTATCACATAGGGCTAACCAATCAGGACTGTGTGTCAATAAAGATGTATTATTTTCAAATAATGAATTCGTCATCTAATATCTTCCCTTATTTATTTTCAAGGAGCCTCTGTCTACTTTAGACTACACCCAACTACTTTCAGCTTTCTATGTGCAGTGTGATTAAAGTGATCATGACTCCTTGTTGCCTCATCCCCGTGAATCAAAAATATTTCTGAAACCGTAGCAATTCTTAAAAAAATGTTATTATCGTACGAGTATTGCTCCACACTGACGGATGAGCAGAAGATGTCATGATCATACAATAAATGGAATTTCAAGAATAGTAATACACAAACAGTAAAGGAAAATATGGTATAAAAAGGCATGTATATGATATAAAAAGGCATGTATATGATATAAAAAGGCATGTATATGATATAAAAAGGCATGCATATGATATAAAAAGGCATGTATATGGTATAAAAAGGCATGTATATGATTTTATCATACCTTTTCATCATTATTGCTTGAGGTGACATTACAGGGCCAAACCCCAGTGTCCTTTGTGTTAGACATTTATGTTTTAATCTTTTAATCATTTCACATTTATTTCCCTTGATATCAAGCCTATGCTCCTTACATAGAGCTTTAACCTCATCTTTCTCCAAAATTTCAAGAATATCTTCAATAGGTTCACTAGAATAATCTATAGTAACAACATAAAATTACGTAGGTAAACCCTAATGATTAAAATTGAGTAAAAAAATCAAAACTAAATCTGTTTACCAGTTGTTACGAATCCTTTATCCTCGAGATGTTGTATCGATGATGGTAAATCTTTTACAAATAAATATGAAATTCTCTTGTATTTTATCCAAGCGAACTGTCTTGCAAACAACCGAGCATATAGCCTTTGATCAATAGCATCAAGCTCTTGAAAGGATGTAGCTATTGACTGGACATCTTTGACATTTTTTAACCATGGCAAATTTGATACAGGAGTTGAAAGTAAAAAATTGATTAGACCTTCAGTAAAAAAATTTTCATATTTATCAGTATTGATTTTTAGATCTTTAGCATGTTCTTTTGAGGACATGTTTAACTTTTAACATAATTGATAAACGAGCGTTAAAACTATAAGATATAAATTAAGATAACAGATAAAATTTTACTTAAAAACAGAACTTTTGCCGCCATACACAGTAAACTGACAAGAAGTAAACCAAAACTAAGAGGTAGTGTGAGTCAAAGGATGACTCACTATGACACTCATGATTCTCTTAACTTCTGACAAAGTTATATGAAATACCCTGATAAAGATCTAAACGTAGGTCGAAACGTTGGCGCAAACACAATAAAATACTATTATAATATATAGTATTATATATTGACCGCACACCCAAACAACTTTTTCCAAATGAAATGTATACTTTGCCAACGTAGGAATATTAAGTATTTTGAGAAATAAATTCAAATAAAGCATCTGATTTTAATAAATATCGTCCACAGGACTATAACAATAACTATAATTCTATAGAGCTAACTCCAATTTATTGAAATATTAAGTAGACGATTCAGTTGTCGTATTTTTTTAACACGGACACGTTCATTCCTGGCTGTCTCAAGGTACGTTTAGATGTTTTACTAACTATGTGAAACACAATTATCTGACTTAACTAACAGCGACATTATTGTAAACCAAACTATTTGTTTTATTTCTCTTGATACCGCCCCCAGATGGGAACTTTCAGAAACAAGAAACAAAAATACAAGCATAGTGAAATAATTCTTTGTTCCATAGTTTGTGATATGTTTAAATGCATCTTCAAGAAGACGTGAATATGATTTGTGATGGGCGAGAGCTAACAAGTTTGAAGTTGAATGTGGCAAAGATGAAGGCAATCTTAAAAGGCTCCGATCACCTCCTTAAATCTGTTCCTAATATTCCAATTCTGTGCCTACACGATAATCCCATCAAATTTTATTTTTCCATCAAAAACCTTGGAATAACTTTTGATCAAACACTTTCCTGGAAAAAATAGGTATCCAATATCTCCCACCGTACCGTTTTCACCTTAAAACGTCTAAATTACTCTCGTCACCTATTTTCCCTTGAAAACCGTAGGCTCCTAATCACTTCCTCAATTTTTCCCCACTTTGACTATTGCTGTACGGTGTATGGGGGTGTCTCTGGGGATCTCAAGGCGAAACTAAAACGTTTATTAAATTACTCCTCTGTTTCTTGTTTTTATGCAGAGTTGAAGTGGCTTTATCCTTCCTACCGTCATATGTATTTCCTGGCATCCTTCTTCTTTCATCAAATCCCACCGTCCTTCATATACCTCCGAGCTCCTTCAATTCAAATCCTCTGTTCGTTCCCGCAATACTTGTTCCCGTTCTTCTAATTTATATATAAGGGCCCACCGAACCGCTGATTTCGACAGGTCGTTCATTATCCGATCCTCATCCCAATGGAACTCCCTCTATTCCCACATCCGTCAATTCGATACCATTCCTACTTTTAAATCCCGCCTGTTCAATCATCTCTTTTTCATCCAGTCCCCATAAAATTGTAAATAGATACTACTGTAAATATGTATATAAATTATTAGATCATTCTTCATTATTTTTACTTCATGTTGTTTTTCTATTTTTTATTATCAACTGATTAAATGAAAATATATTTTATTATTCTGGGACTATTGTCCCTTTATTTGGAGTTTACATTACGCAGTACACATATTTGGAGGGGTCGAGGAAACACCACAGAATTGGAGGAGGAGAACGAATTTAGATATAAAGACATTATTTAATGACCTGGATGTGAGCCAATTAATCGTACTGGCAAGACTACGCTGGGCAGGACATGTCGCGCGTATGGATATGAATGCACCCCCAAAGAGAGCTATGAATGAGCCTGTGTTTGAAAACAGACGAGTGGGAAGACCATGTTTGCGCTGGCAAGACTGTGTGGCTGCTGATGCATGTAGACTACTTGGTGTCAGAAATTGGAAGGCTGCAGCAACTAACCGGGAGAACTGGAAATCCATGCTGTAGCAGGCCAAGTCTAGAATAATTGGGATGTTGTGCCATTTAATAATAATAATAATAATAATTTTAAAACTTTTATCGAGTATTAATGCAGTCTGCCATACTGAAGGGCTATAGTATTCATTCACACAATATATTAATAATAATTGATCGGTCTCTTAGATCTCAGACAAGCTTCAACAACAACGCAATTGCTTACGACCTGGTATAATATACAAGATGTTTTTACGACATCGATAGAATATATGTGACCAGAAGGAAAAACTTACCCCAAATCACATTATTGCATTGCTTAGGTAAGGAGTTACTCAGACAGCCAACCTGGAGAAGTAGCAAAGAAAAAGAAAGAAAGAAAGAAAGTGAATTTTATTCTGGGACATTTAGTCCCCTCAGAATAACTATAATGAACAACGAAACGACAATTGTCCGGCATAAGAATACAATTAAAAATAAATAAATTTACAAAGTTGTCTAACCCTAATATTAAAAAAAGAAAGATAATATAGTAGATATCTGGTCCTGAAGCAGACATATGAGTTTAAAGATTAATACATACGAGTGAGTTCACGTATTTGTACAAATATGCAATATGGCACATACATAGATATCAGTAAAATGTGGCAGACATCTCTAAAGTACAAAATAATTTTATTGCTACATTTATTCGGAATGGTGATTACTGAGGATATGGCAAAATAAATGGTGTTTAAATGAGGTCAAGGATAAGGATTTCCGTATAAAGATTGATAAGGAATTATTAAACGAGGTAGCTCATATGACGAAGCATTTTTTTAGAGGAAACAGTTCTATGAGAATGAATAAACAGATTTGAGGGTTGGGATCTCGTATTGAACGAATGAACAGAGGAACAAGGAGTAAAGAAATCAAGAAGATAAGAAGGTTTTTGGTTTTCGGAAAAGGAATGCACCCAGCAAATATTGGTGTCGGAAAACTGGATAGAGCCACTTCAACTCGGCATAGCAACTGGAGACGTGGGAGCGCTTGGAGACTCCAAGGATAAATCTAATGAAACTATTCATTAGTCCCTTTAATCTGATCTCAAGCCCACTAGACAGTCCACCATATAAGGCAGTCATAATCGAAGTGAGGGAAAATGAGAGAGGAAACTAGCAGCTGACGTATTTTAAGGGGCATAGAATGATGGAATCTCCGAAACTGTTTGGGAGTAGCAATGGACTTTCGGATAATTTGGAAATAATGTGATTATCCAGAACAGATGTTGATCAAACATTTTCTACGATCGCCATCAGATACATAGTCAAATGCCTGGACGGACACCAGATTTTGATACTATCGACGCGATAATGCTTTAAAATACTATCACCTACAAAGAAAATAGGAGCCTTGTGGTCTTCAACAATTGTCTTGATAGTAAATATTTATACTTTTTTGAATGATGGAAAATCGCCGGTTGACTACTCTACAAGGATAGAGCCTAGGTCAAATAACTTGCCAAAGCACAGCAATGACTGTTTTTGTTCTCCATGTTATCAGTAAGCTATTGGAGAACCTGGTGATCAATAGCTTTTGATCAGTCTGATTAAGATTAAGCCATCCACATTAATATGGATCCACTGCCATAGGCATTGAGATTGCACTAGGACGTTGAGAAATGTTGGGAGGGATGTTATGATTCTCTTGTTTGATATATTTCCAAGTATGAAACCCTCAGCAACTTATATGGCTTGGTGATTGAAGATAGGAGGTGGCCTCTGTGAAGTAAAAGACTGTGGAGAGGGATTTTCCACAGGACTCTATTGATTACGTTCTGCGGAAACTAGACTTTGATCTGTGTAGAGGAAACTGGAAGAAGAGCAGTTTCCTAACGTAGCCTCTGAGAACTACTTTAGTCAACAAAGATTCAGAAAGATATAAGCGAATGAAGAGAGGATGAATGTAGTTGAAGAATGGATCCGGTGATGGATTATCATTCCAAATACTTTTAGGAAGTACTTTCCTAATTAGGTCACAGTTAATTGGAAGATGAGTCCTCCTGGACATATTAACTCCTTAGAAGAAATGAGAGTTTTTGAGTGAAGCTTGTTGAACATGGATAGGATATTGATATTCTATGTCTCAGCTGCAACATCCTGGATAAGATGCAGGAAGAGAAGAAAAAGGAAACCTGTAGGATGTGCACAGCCCTCCATTCACATATTTACAACACAGTCTCATTTCCCTCTGTATTGCTCACGTAATTATAAATGTATAATAAGAATCATATAAAAAATATAGAATTTTATTGGCAAAAGTGTCATAGGCATTACACTCTGCATGGTAGCCCACACCTGTCAGAACCAGTGACTATATATAAGGCAAGATAAGGTGGGAAAAGAGGGAGAAAAGTAAGAAAAGTGACTTGAAATTGAATTTATTTGTTTCAATTCACCAGGAAGACGAATAATGATTGTATTGGAAAGAACATAGAGGCATTGTAATGAGTTCATGACTAGTGGTCTCTTAGATAAATCAAATGCACAAGACTAATGAATAAAGAAGGGGGGAGGGTCCCTGAAAAGGGGCAATAAGTGAACACATGTGATCAAAGCAAGCAATACAAATAATTATAGAAAATATTAAATAAAAATGTTACTAAGTTAAAAAAAAGAAAAATATGAATTTTGTATTTATATATTCTAGTAAATTTATTTCTAATTTATTAATAATGAAACAAGACAGATCTAATTTGCAAATTTGTTTATTGAATTAATTCATTAGATAATAATAATCACAGTGAATGATTATAAATGAAGAATAAAACAAGAAACAACATTAAGTCATGTAAACTACATTAAAACATTAAATTATAAATAATTTTAAAAGAAATTTCATCAGATTTGTCTTCATCAACTGGGCACCTCCTTTTTTGCCTTTATCTTCTCATTCTTCTATCACATCTTTTTTTTTTTTTTGTAGTTAAGGAAATTAGGAGACACCATCAAGAAGGTTATATCCCAGTTTTCATTACAATCTTGTACTAACTTCCTAATGGTATTTGTGAATCAATGATATCAGTGCATACTTCGCATGCTTTCTTCAGTTTCATTTGAAGTTCATCACGAACTTTTTCAGTCATTTGCGCTGATTTCCAAACTTCTTCATTCAGCTCTTGAACCTAAAATATTGAATACTGATTAGATAAATAAGTCTATTCATTTTGTAAATTCAGTAAAAAAAAAAAAAAAAATATGTTTAGGTAGTTTTAACAAAAAAAAAAAAAAAAAAAAAAAAATAGGTGTATTACAGGTGGATAGTTTAATTACATTTGCCATTGGAGAAATCTTATAATTTCACTTTCACATCACTTATATTTCTAACCTGACTATTCATTCCGGATTCGAAAGGGAACATTATAACTACCAAGTTTAATTATTACAATTGAATTTAATGTAAAACTCCCTAGATGATTGTTTGATTATTAAAATTTTTATTAATGGCATAAGGAGGAAGCAATCCTATAGGAGGATGTTGTATCTTGTAATAAAAAACAGTTATAGTGAAAACGGATAAGGTTTTTTGTTATATTGCTTTTTTGATAACACTTTTTTTGAAGAATGACAATGTAGTTGGTTTAGTATTTCTCAAAACTTTCTAAACATGTCTAAATCTCAAATCAGTCCTTTGATTTCGATAACAGTTCCATCTTAGCCACGGCTCTCATACATGAAAAATCACTGTCTGAATTCACTTATAGCCAATGGAACCTGATCCAATTAATCATAAAATAGACAAAAAATATATTTTCCTGTCATATTTCTAGTTAGTAGTGTATTAAAAAAACGAATGACTCCCAAATCTTTCTTTGTTATTTGTCACAAATAAGGCTAAGATTTATAAATTAAAAAAAAAATAAATACCTCTCTAACCCCAAGATCAATCAATGTATACCATCTAGATCAACGAAACTAATTTTCTTTAAATTTTTATTCAAAACAATTGTTTGTAATCATTAAAGTGGTGATAAAGATGTAAATAAACAAACAAAAAATATTTTTAAAATTTATAATAAATTTTTATATTGTTTATTATGTGTGTGTATATATATTTATATATATAGGGCTGAGGTAGCCATGCTGGCTAAGGTGCTTGTAATAAGTTATCAAAGTTAAGCAACGCAGAGCGTTGTTAGCACTTGGATGGGTGACTGCCCGATTTGGTTGACCTAGGTTGGTTGGTCTAGGAGACCACATCTCGTGGTTAAAGATCTTAATGGTCTGTAGCACCAAACAAAAAAAAAAAAATAATAATATATATATATATATATATATATATATATATATATATATATATATATATATACATTTATAACATTTTATTAATATTGTAATAATAAAATTTATATTTAAATTATTATATATTTCATGTGAAGAATAACCTGCTGTTTAGCTATGACAAGTTGATAATTCTTTTCTTTTAATGCTGAGTTAAGAATTCCTTGAATTTTTTTCTGACCAATCAGTTTACTTTCATAATCATTTACTGCTTTGACAAGCTTTTCGGTTGCAAATCTGGAAATTAAAAAAATTCTTCATGATAATATTTGAACAGAATTTGTAATTTTATTAAATTACATAAGTAATTTAGATCTTTATCCTAATAATACCTAGCTGTTTGAATAGCCTTTTCCTTTTCTTGGCATAGTTGATCAATATGTTGCTTCCATTCCATGTGCTTTTGACGCACCTGGCAAGTTTATAAAGAAAAAAAAAAGTTGTAGAAACAGGAAATCAAAAAGATTGAAAACAATAATAAAAAAGATTAAATTATTGGTCAGACATATTGAGGAAGATAATATAAAGAAAATAATATCTTTTCATTCCTCTAAGTTATTTATAAATATATATATTAAAAAAAAAATTAGAAATATGTATAAGTATACAATATGTAGTCAATATATGAGGAGCAGTTTGTTTTATAGTAACCTTTCCAGACCTTAACTACTTTCTTTTTTTTTTATTCGATTACCCCATACCCACCAGTTCTGGAATATGGGAGAGACGAGGAGAGGTTGTTCTAGGCCAAGTTCCATTCCGTGGGTTCGCTATAATAATAGAAGTCAATTCTTCCCATGCGGAATTCGAACCGGCATCGCTAGGCACCATAATGTTATTACGGGAAATGCTCCAACACTATTATCAATCTATACATTGATACTGCTTTTCCTCAAAGATGGATTTAAGTTAATTCAAAATTGTTTATTATATCTGTAATTTTATAACTCCAATTGAAGTGATACTAGTCCAATCGGAAAGGAATATTAAAAAAAAATATATAACTGAAAATACAAAGATGAAATAAAAATAATGGTAATTTTTTTTATTTCTTTAACCTGCAGTCTTAATTTAAAATAACAAAAAAAACAAAAAAAAACATGTAAAATACAAGGATACACCATTCAGAAATACTATGAAATAAATTAGAAAAATTAAGTGGTATATTGCAGCCAGTAGAACATATCAAATTGAAGGCCATATAAAAGAAGTCATACTTGGTCACTTTTGAATTGAGCAATGTGGTTTGAGCCCAGATATAAAATAAGAAAGCAACGCATATTTTTGTAAATTGTGTTCTTCAAGATACATTGATCATTTTTTTAAAAGAATTTTCATATTACAAAAAAAAAAACCTATGTTTTGTCCATATCGAATTGTGGGAAATGAGGAAGATGGTGCCTTGGTTTTTTGTAGGGAAATAAAAATTATCGATATAGTTTATAAAAAATAATTTTGCAAAATATAACTGTTGGACCATTAGTTTGGTTTAATTATAACACTTATATTTACAGAAAATATTTGAGGCCCCAAAAAGCATCAACAGCAGAACTACAAGGGAATTTATGAGAAGAATCTATTGATGGCTCTCAGCACTCCAAGATAAAGAAAATATGGAAGTATAAGTTGAGTTATATAAAAAAAAAATGAAGTGCTAAGGACTGAAATATATATATATATATATATATATATATATATATATATATATATATATATATATATATATATATAGAGAGAGAGAGAGAGAGAGAGAGAGAGAGAGAGAGAGAGAGAGAGAGAGAGAGAGAGTTACCAATCACATAAAGAGCATCATATGGTGCGAAAACCCATCAATGGGTTTAGCTGTCTTAAAAAGCCTCTGCCTTTAAAATTTGGTACAGTTCTGTTATGCAGCTGTCCGTTTTTAGAGTTAAAGGAGGTCTCTTAAGTCCACAGACACTACATCCAGCCACCTTGGCCTAGATCTTTCTACTCTCATTATTCTGTGCCATTCCTCCGACATTAGTAGTTTGGGAATTCCGAAACCATCCATTTGAGAAACACGGCCAGCCCAGCACAGAGATGGGCTAATGCTACTCAAATTGAATCACTATTGAGAATTCAATCACTACTTCAGATAATCATTTGACATCAAGTGAAGTAGCAATTAAATTTTTCGTACTCCATACAGGTCAATATTTGAGTAAAATACTTGGTACTCAGTATTCTAAGTAGCATTTACCCATCTCTGGCCTGGCATAATCTTCCAATCTTAACGAACTTGACCATACCCATCTCATTGTAGAGCTCTTGAAGTTCTTGGTTTTTCACCTATGCTAAACATTAGTCTCTTTAACTGGTCCAAAGATTTTCCAGTTGAATCCTCTGTTAAAGCGTAAGAAGTTTTCCTTAATCTGTCTTGGTGATAGCCCAAGTATTTGAGCCATAGGTTAATACAAAGCTTATTGGTGTCTTATATAGATGTGTTTTTGTTTTATTGCCCAGAGATCTACTTTATAGATATATTGATTAGCTGAAGAAGCCCTTCTAACACAAAGGAGGTTCGGTACCTATCAGTAAATGATCAATTTGATTAGTTCTTCAAAGTGCTTAATAAATACTTCCAATGATGAGATCATATGAAGTAGTGGAACTGAACATTGTCAGTGCTACGCTTTTGAAGATTATGGGGACCAGTATTAGGTTAGTAACACACTTCTCTATCAAAGTCATCATAAATTTGTTCATTTTCTTCGTCTTCAGCTTCTTCTGTTAGTGCATAGAAATTTAAGAAAAAAAAGTTAAACAATCTACCTTTAGTCTAATTTTGTAAAGTTGGTGGCTAATAGGACAGAAGTAAATCATTAGCTGATGGACCTATCCTCTAACCATAAATCTTGTCCCCATGGAATGTAGCTTATTGCAACAAATAGAGGATATGGTATTCCTTTTCAATTGACCCACTCTCGATCTATCGAACTTCCTGTACCATTGCAAAGTCAACCACATATATTGATCTTGACCTTTGCTTATTTGATTCTATAAACCATTCTTGGCTATATGTGTATGTATTCCAGTGATCTGACCAAAATCTCTCTTAATTGTTTTAAAAAAAATATTATCTGTTGATTGATGACTATGCTTTGTGGTTAAGCAACTCAGCACAGTTGAGCAGCCCTGTCATATTATTGTAGTTCTCTCTGGTCCAATTGTATAAAGAGTGCTCAAAGCACTCCAAGTATATGTAGTAATAATAAATTCCAGTATGCAATGCATAAATCATTATGGCGGTTCAAGAGTCATTTCCATTGAAATAATCTGACTGATACACCTTTTAGAGGTTTCATGATTATGATATTTAAGAGAAGTGGGTTAATCAATCGCCCCCAAGTCAGATAAAGGGCTGCCATCTGACATACTCCTCCATCTGGTGCGGTTACCTAGAGAAGGTGAATCTACTGAGAAGGTGTGTACTGTATGTCCTTTGTCTGTGACTATGGGGTGTATATAATGTGTGCTGTATTTAGTGTACTGTTTTATTGTCAGAGTTTTTGTTCCCAAACGTGGAGGGCAAGTAACTGATTGGAATCTATTGAACGGATGGGATTGCCACTTTCCTACCTCCATCATAATGTTTATAAATACATAAATGTATTTGAGGTAAATGATAATGACTTATAGCTACTAAGATATCTCTGAAGAAGTTCCACACAAAATGTTATCCTGTGAAGCAAAATTTCAGAAAAATAACTGTTATCTCTAATTTCTAAAACTGTTTATCTTATATGTAATGAAAAATATAATGAACTGTTAAAAATATATTGAAAAAATAAAAACTGTTTACCTTATATTCTAGTTGCTTTAAAAATATATTGTCTTGAGTCTTTTGTTCTTCACATTCTTTCATTTTTTTTTGCATGGTTTCTATTGTAGATTGAAATTTTTCTTTTGAGTTTTTTGAAATCTAGCGTGAAGATAAAAAAAAAAATTAAAAGGTAACCTATAAGTTAGAAAAATACAAAAATGTTGGAATAGTTATGGTAAATATTCATACAGTCAGATCATCCATTAGTTGGTGTTTTATGATTCTCTCTTCATCCAGAGACTTCTTAGTATTATCTGCTACTATTCTCAAACATTTTATTGTATCTGCCTGATCATTAAGCATTTTATCTTTTATTTTTACAGAGTCTTTTTCCTTCTCTAATTCCGCCCTGTTAATACGTTAAATCATATTTAATTGTAAGAAATTTTAATATTTTTTCTTATTTATATTTGATACTTGAGCTAATTTAATAAAATTATCTTAAATAAATGCATTGTGCCACAAATTAACAATTTCATAATAATAAATAAACTTTTGATATTTACATTATAGTACCTAAATTCTTTTAGATTGCCATTTCTGACATAACTTTACATGAAACTCCCTATTTATGATAATTATTCAATTGTGGATTAATCAAGATGAATTGTAAAAAAAAAAAGTATTTTGATAACAAGCACAATAGCTAAGATTTAAAGGTTGGAATAAGCCACTTAAAAAAATAAAGACACAATGAAGGAAAGTATAAAGTTAATAACAAATTTGGGATAGAGTTCATTAACATGAACCTTATTCAAATCAATATAGGTTTTATAATAATAAATAAAATTTAATAGGTAGGTAGCATCAGTACAGTTGACTGTGTTAATCAGTTTGATTAAGTTTTATTAATTTATTTTATTTTTTAAACATTTCTTTATTGAATAATATTAAAGTTTGTCAAATCTAGGACACTAGTAATAGTGATGCAGGAGTTCATTCACACTATACATATAAATAAAAATAAAACAAAAGCAAAATAATAATACTAAAAATAAATAAATAAATATATATATATATATATATATATATATATATATATATATATATATTAAAAGAAACCTGTCTAGATCCATGGATTAAGGGACCTATCTTTCTTTCTCCGAAACAAACCGTCCATTGACCATACCACAAGGGAGGCTACAAACATCCTGGTAAACCACATCCCAATTCCCGATTTAAGTACACGGGGTAGAGTCATTAGTCCTACACCCGGTTAGTGTGAATTGCCCAGTAGGCTGACGGGCCTAACATACCCGGGTGGGGGAGGGGAATTCCCGGGCAGCATGGCTTTCCCTGTTGGATAGTCACCCATCCAAGTACTAACCATGCTCAACGTTGCTTAACTTTGATTAACTATTGCAAGCTCCTTAGCCCATAAGCTAACCAGATTGGCCCCCAAAGGGATCGGCTATGGAGCTATGGATGGCCTATCATGGTGGAACCATGGAGACCATGGTTCGTAGCAACATGAGGTTGGGTGACCCTCTCCAGGCTATCTGTGCTTCTGAAGCAATATACGTCAAGCAATAAAACTTTTTAATCCACATGTGGAAAGAAAAGCAGGACTCCTAGGAGATCCCAGCACTTCACTCAGGCTGTGTCACCGGTATTAATGACCAGTGGAAGTTGAACAGAGGTGCTAAATATTATTTTAAAGAAAAAGTAAGTGAGTGCTCATACAAAGAACATCAGCCCGTTTAGTTACAACTAATGAGTCTATAGTCCATGGCTCTCCAAGCTATGGGTCATGGGCCAGATCTGGTTCCCAAGTGTCTCAAATCCAGTCCACGAAAGTTTCTTTGATTATATTAAAAAAATTTAAAACTATTTTAAAAATATAGAATTTAGTAAATCACTCTAACACACGGTTACTACAACATTTATTGCATGAGTTGTTCCTTTTAGAAAGCTCATTTCACAACTAAAGTGTCATTTATAGAAGAAGATTTTTTTTTTTATGACTAGCGATAGCCCCCGGGAGTAAGTGGAAGTCCCAATGCAGGTCATGGAACTTATTAGGGCCTCAATGTGGCCCGCAGAACGAAAAGTTTGGAGACCCATGGTCTAGTTGATACTGAAATTCAATCAAGCCGAAGACTAGAATAAATAGGTAAATAGATATAATAATTTAATATAATGTAAATATATATCTTTTAGTAATAATGTTTAGTATGCATTTGATACAATTGTTCTATGCTAATGTTTTTAGAAGAACCATCAGATGCCACATTTCATTCAAGGGATTCAACATACTTATGATAAAAAATTTACCCTATCCCTACTGGAATATTCATTAAATTGATCAAAATATTATAAAATTATTTTAATTATGAAACTACCTTCTTACCTTAAATTCTCTATGACTTTATCTTGCTCTATTATTGAATTATGTAATTTACTATATTGTGCTTCAAGAGAGGCATATTGTTCTTTTGAATATTCCTTTTCTTTTTTAGTTTTTTCAAATTGGTCATCCTAAAATAAATAATTTTGTCAGTTTAAGACTTTTTGTTATATTATTTGGTTATTGTTGTAATAAAGTCTTATTTTGCTTTGAACTTCTATTGACAATCCACCTGTCAATTTTAACTTAATTAGTTTTAGTAAAAAACGGAATTGTCAAGCTGCGTCTTTTATCTTCTTCTTAGGGTTACATGGAGAGATTGATGATAAGAAACTGAGAGATATAACAATTTTATTCTTTACTAAAACAAATGAAGTAAAAATTCACATGTGGATTGTCAATGGAAGTACAAAATAACATTTGTGCTGAGAGAAATGTTGACTTAAAAAATTACAAAATAAGTAAAATCTATGGTGATCAAATGACCTTGTGTACAGAAAAAAAAAAGGATTTATAATAAAAATGAGTTTAAAAAAAAATTATTTAAATATTGATATGATTCATGAAATACAATTTTTATCTCCTAATTTTATTTTTCTTATAATTCTTTTCTTTCAGTTTATTCATTACAAATATCTATCTACAGCAGACAAAATTTGATTCCAGGTTGGTGTTTCCTATAGAGAAATTTTACTGTATTTAAAATTTGAATGTTATCTAGTAATGAATAAACAAAATATCATTTAGAAATTTTATTTTATTTTTTTTTGCTTATTTTCCTTCGAAATAATAGACATTTACACTTAAGCGGAAGGCAAGGTTGTGTTTTTTTCCATTTTAGAACCTATAGAATACGATTATGCAATTTTTAGAGATGTCAGTTATATATATATATTTTTCTCACTACATTTCAGCTTTTCCAGCAGCCCTTTATTTTGCCAATTGCCTTTGCATGAAATTGCCTTTTTTTTCCTATGTGGTATGAAAAGTCGTTTGTGATAAGCTACACATATTAAATTTATAACTTTTTAAAAAATAATTAACCATTGAATAATAATTTAATAACAATGTAATCTCTATTTAATAAAAATGTAACAATTTCATATATATATAAAAAAAGAAAAAAAAAAAGAAGAGAAAAATAGAACTCCTCAGTAACGGTGCTCTCCTGCTCACATTTTTTAAATATATAAATATTCTTTCAAGTTCAATAAATTAATGTTAAAAAAATAATTATAACAATAATAAATTAATCTTGTTAAGGATACTTAAATTTACTTAACTTATTGATTCATTAATATCTTCACACTTGTTAATTATTAGTTTTTTTTAGTGATACGGAACTAGCAAACTTTAACTAGTAAATAGAATAGAAACATTTATAACCTGAAACTAAAGAAAAAATTACATTGCGTTTAACTGCATCTTTTAATGACTTAATGTGTTCTTGTTGTTCTTTGTTTTTTTTAGCTGCTTCCTCTAATCTAAATAATTAAAAAAAAATAAATTATCAAAATTAACAATTTTTAAGTTTGAGAGACAAACGTTTAAGATTATTCTTACTCAATTTTTAGGTCTTTTAGTTCATCCTCCAATTCTATTTTCTTTTTTTCAACTTTTTCAATTATTGATTCCTTTCTCTTTAAATCTATAAGCGCTTGATTATATATCTCACTAATTTCTCTATACCTGTTGTAAACATTTTTAGAGAAAACAACAAATTAATGTGCATATGTGATGTTTTACCCACAGAATAATAATCAAATCTTCATTTAGACTTAGTTAAATTATCCATTGTTAAAATTAAAAAAATTTCTGGAAGAAAATTGTTAGTTTTCAAAGAAACTTAATGTTAAAAACTACTTTCTTTGAATAATAATAAGGAATTTCAAGTATATATCCGTACTGCATAAACTCTAATACAAATTCTATTTAATTCACTCACTGCTTTATATTTATAATATCTGAGATTAATTTAATAAATAGATTCTATGTCAAATTAGTCATAAAATTATGTAATTAAATAATAGAAAGAAATTTTTAAAAATACACTTTTCTGAAAACACTAATTAAGCTTATACCTAATTTTTCAGGCCAATTCCATTACCAATAAATTAAATTATTTATTTAAGACTATTGCAGATAGATTCCAATTACTTGTACCATGAAAAGTAACCCATGAAGGGCCTTGGATTCAATTCTTTATATGGAAGTACTGTTTCAAGGCCAACAGTTGTGTAGGGAAGTGATCGGGCTGAGATCATGCTCAACGGCCAAGTTTTCTCTCTTAATTAATTATTTAATTAAGAATGTCCAGTTTATATAGGCTGAGTGTGCCTCAGGAGGGTCTCCTGATCCTAGGGTCAAACTACCTGCCATCAGCCGGCCATCATTCGAACCCAGGACCTTGAGCTTAGATAGTCAGTGCCTTACCCACTGAGCTACTTTGCTCCCTGATTCCAATCACTCACTAACAGTAATTTTTGTATTTATTTAAAAAAATGATCACTAATTAATTAATATTTTTCCAACATTTAATTCATAACAAAAGGTAACAGATGTAGAGTTATTTATTAAAAAAAATATTCCATATAGGATTTGAACTGGACTAGGCTGACTGATCATTTTGTGATATAAAAGCTATCATATGGTTGTTGAATCTTTTTCTTTTTATTGTTATTTTTCTTTTTAATTAATGTTAATAATAATAATGATTTTTATTTTTTAATCTATATTTATCAAATATACTCAATAAAAAGAGAATATACCTCTTGTCAGCATTGTTAGTAGCAGCCTCTATTTCTTTGAGGAGTCCATTGCAACGATTCCTTAATTCCATTTCTTTCTTTTTCTTTTCATGTTGAAGCTCTGCATAAGCTCTTTTGTGCTTTTCTATTAATTTCACAACTTCAGGATCATTTAATGAACTCCTGCCCATGATCAAATGTACATAATTCTTTAATGAAAATGTTATATTTTTATGATAACTTTTAGTCCTAAGTAATAAGGATTCAGGAGTAAATATGCTATGCAGCCATGTGTCTTTAAGTATTCTAACATAAAAGTTATGAATATGACCAAACAGATTAAAAGAGAACTGCCCCTGAAAAAATTGTTAATTTTATGGGCTCTAAGTTGACACTTTTTTCTTCTTCAAGGGGCTTTCGAAATCCTTACCGTTTAAAGTACCTACTTTAGGATTCAATAAAACTATCAAATAATATCAATAAAATTAAAAATCAAAAGGTCAGTTCTGCATTTCAAACTGACTGGATGTATTCCAGACATAAAATAACATCAATGATTTACATAATCGAAAATATTTATCTTAAAATTTATCATCTTTAGCTGAGTCTGGAAATGTAGGGTATAGTACACCTTACTAACTAATCTCTCTCCTGAATTTCATCTATTGAAAAAATATTTTTAAAAACTTTTGTTACTGTTTGGGTGCCAAATATTATAATACCTTATCCAATAATGATTAAGCACTATACTGAACTCTAAGCACATCTTAATAAAGAAGCCTCTGAAAAAAAAAGAAATTTAAATCTTAAACCTTAAAAAGAAATAAGAATATCATAATTGTGGGTTGATGGTTGACTGTTGTGAATAATGAAGAGACAGATGGTTAGGGTGGTCAGTCAGAAATAAAAAGGCAAAAATAAATAATAATGATAAATAATGGCAATGAAATTAAAATAATAATAGCAAATGTTAAAATAAATATTATTATTTATTTTTGCCTTTTTATTTCTGACTGATCACCCCAACTATCCTTCTCTTCAAATAAAATTATCATTTGGCTTAGAATCTTAGATTTCAAGGGGGCATTAGTTGGACATGCTGGATAATATTCTCAAGAGAGGTAATGTAACCTCAGATCACATAAACAAGTAATGCTCAGTATATCTGAAACCTAAAATTTCAGTTAAATACCTTAAAGGATTAAAGAGGAAAATAATTTTTAATGAGACACATAAATCCTGAAAAAAGTAAAGAATAAAGGAAAGAAAGGAAAGAAGAAAAGAAAGACAAAACCTCTTCTTGACTGCTTTGTTTGTGATAAATTGGCCAAAGACGTGGCTAACATGATGCAACAAATAATATCTTAAAAGCAAGCAAAGTGATTAAGCATACACAGAAAATAAATCTCTCTATTTTATAAAAAAATGTTTTTAGTGACCATGTAATTTTTTATTTTACATGTAAAAAAAAATGGGACGGACAGTAATAAAGACACCACTTCTCATTCAAAGAATTATTTCTCCATTATTATGATTATAAATTGGCAATAAGAGTAATTATAATTATATACAATTGATTAGATAAAAATTGATAATAAGGCGTATGGTATAATATAGATTTTTAAAGAAATTAAAAATTTGAATTCAATAAAAAATATCTCATCCTGTATAATTTTTTTCTTTCTGCGCAACTGGTTTTGGTCTTTGATCAAACCTTCATCAGGCTAACTTATGGTGATCCTCCTCTCCTACTTGTCAAATGAGAATCACCATAAATTAGCCTGATCAAAAAGACCGAATCCAGTTGCGCAGAAATAAAAAAAAATATACAGGAAGACAACGTATATTTATTAAATTTAAATTTCAAAACTGTCATATCAAGCCTCAATTTAGAATCCTAACTATTTCGTTCCGTTTATATTATGTTGATAAAAAATAATACAATCTGAACTACAGAATACATTTAAATTACAGTTATACAATTTGGACAATGAGTAGCACGATTAAATGAACAGTTGAATTAATAAACATACAAATGTCGTTAGTTCATTCTTATGTATATCTCGACACTTCCATTCATACTCTATCCCCACTACTACGCTCTCATTCAGTCGACGTTCAGTTAATGGCCATGATATCCGGTGCAGAAGTCGCACGATTGTTCAGTATTGCTGGTACTGTATAGCCTAACCCTTATCTGAAACTTGAAATGTAGCCACGAGTTTCTTAAGTAGGATTAAACGCTCGATTCTCATGTAAATTACATTTATACAATTTGAGCAACGAGTAATCAAATTAAATGAACAGTTGTATAATTTGTAAAATGGGGGTTGGTCCGCCATTAGGTGGACAGGAAGCACCTATAATTTGAATAAAAATAAACTTTGATTTTAAATAATTATTCTAAAATAAAAACAAACTATACAATTAATTATGCAACTTACTAATAGTTAAAATAATGCTTACTTGGCTATGAAATCATTACATTGCCTCATTTTTTCTATCAGCTCCTTTTCAGCCCGTTCTGCACGATCCACCAAAGTTTTGACTAAGTCGGATGAAACTTCCTTCGATTCTTTAGTACACTTTAGTTCCATCTCAAGAGCTACTTTTTCAGCTTTTAATTTTTTTATTTCCTAAAATAAAATCAAGTGATATTCAGTCTCATACTAATAATGGAATTTTTTGAAGATCGGGATTTTAACCAATGATAGTCTCTCTGTAACTTATACTATTTTATTTTACATTTTATCCTATTCTGATCTTTTATGTATTTTAAATAGGAAAAGTAATGAAAAAAAGGACAGCATGATTTGATAATTATTGCATGGCAACTAGAAAGTATGTGACATATATGAATTGTAAATATTATCGGTTTATGATGTGTTGTAATTATAGAGACCTTGTGTAGAAATTTTAAAGAAATTAAACAGGCTAATATCCCCGCATATATTATTACAGTATGGCTCGAAATCGGTTTTGTACCAAATATAAGCTCCTGCCATGCTCCACTTCTGTTTTTCTTTCTAAAATAAATAAAGTCGATACAAACATTTTGCTAGGCTTCAAAACAGGAACGGTGGTAGGTTTTCATCCATACATAAGGTTCGCATCCATACAACCTTACGTTAATTGTAGTACTGTCATTGGATACATGTCTCATTTCGTCGACTTGAGGCCTCTATGATCGAGAGAGAAGGAGTTTATATTATTTATCGAAGATGTTTTTGATCGGCAAGGCATATCATCGTTAATTTTTCACCAAATCTCAAGATTGAGCCACCAATTTCGAAGCAACGTTGGTTCCAAACATTAATGAATTAATTTTAAATTAATTTTTGTTTCCTTTCTCGATTATATTTATCGTTTTTTTTTATTTTATTTTATTGAATAATAATACAATCAGCCACTGTTGGAGGGCTATAAGTATTGATAAAGTAACAATTGATTTCTTTATGTTTAGATACGTTGCATTATTTTATTTTTTTCTTAATTTGGCTTTTGAAAACAATATTATGCTGTGCGAATTGTTCGCACGGGCCTACTAGTTATCAAATAAATATGTAATATTAGAGACCGGAAAGTAATGTCGTTTCTGAGCATGATACTATTTGCTTGTCATTTGGCAGTTCATTGTGTACATCTATGTCATGGCAAACACATTATAAGGTTACAATGACATCTTTAGTAGCAAATAATTAAATTCATTTTTTTTTTTTGTAATTTTGTGTGAAATGCCAGCCGAATACCAAGAGAAATACATATCCGACATTGCTTGCTTTTGAGTTTCACATGGCTAATAACGCTACAGTTGCTACCAAAAACATTTGAGATGTTTATCCAAATGTATTAGCCTTTCGTAAATGCCAAAGATGGTTTTTCAAGTTCAAATACGGTAATTTTGATCTTTTCAACATGTATCGATTAGGAAGATCAACAACGTTGGACAATGACGTGTTAAGGACGAAAGTCGAAGCAAATCCCTATCAGACAATCCAGAGGAATTGTCAAACGGTATTAACCAACCTTGGTCGACTATCCAAGAACATTTGCAGCAGATTAGGAAGCTACTATATGCAACTTATTGCTTCAACGACACAATCCATAAGCGTTTTTTGATCGCTTCATCACCGGAGATGATAAATGGATCCTGAATGATAATCCAAAACTCAAAAGGCAGTGGCTCTCTCCAAAAGAATCGCAACGAAGTATTGCTAAGCCACGTTTACCCCTTAAAAAGGCCCTTTTGTGTGTTTCGTGCATTATTCTCGGAGTAGCTCAATTTGAAGTGATGAACCCTAAACAAACAGTGAATGCAGACCTTTATTGAGCCAATTGGATTGTGTAAATCAATCTTTGATTGAAAAGTGGCCAGCGATAGTCAACAGGAAAGGCATTATTCCGCAACATGAAAATGCAAGATCACACTGCTTAAGATGAACTGTGTAAAAAATTAATGAATTGGGTTGTGAGGTTCTGCCTCATCCGCCATACTCGCTCGATGTTGCACTATCAGATTTTCATTTGTTCGAATCGTTTCAACACTATCTAAGTGGCAAAAGATTTGAAAATTTGAATGATATCCAAAGTGGCATCTCTAGATATTCTGCTCAAAAACCAATTGATTTTTATCGATTCTGAATTGAAAATTTGCACGCCACGTGATAAAAGGTTATACGAGTAGATAATGAAAGTGATTCCATCAATAATTAAAAATAAAAACTCGTGTGAAATTTATGTTTTTGAATTCAATTCAAGAAAACGACATTACTTTCCAGACCTGCTAATATATATGAAAATTTTCTAAAATATTTAAAAAAAAGCTTACTTGAGAATCATTGTTTGTCGCTTTTTCCCGAAATTGGTCTGCCATAGCTACTGCCAATTTCCTCCCTTCTTCCAACTTCGTAACAATTTTCTGACTTTCTTCTAGATTCTTTTTTAGTTCTGAGACCATTTTTTCAGCTTCTAATCTTTTGGCACGTTCTTCATTCAGTTCCTTAAAACCATTAAATTAAAATTATTATTGAATTTGATATAATTCCAAGTTTGGATTGTATATTTAAATTACAAACAGAAAATATCATGTCAATGCTTCATTTATTATAATGCTTAGCTTGGTTGTATTAAATGAAAGTAATCTGAAGTTCTAGTGACTTAAAGAGAACTAAGAGCACAAATAAAGAATTAATAAATATTTTTTTATCGACAAAAGACATTTTAGAAAATAACTGATTTCTATTTACATATTTATAAATTGGGACAAATGTATTTGAAGGATGGGATATCTCTTTACTTTAACCCCTATGGATTTTTTATGGTAAAAAAAAGTAAAAATGTAATCATAAAAACAAAATTGTAAATATGCTTACTTTTTCCAATGAAGCTAAAGTCTTTCCTGTTTCCTCGCCAACATTATTATCACCTTTATGGTTTGTGTTGTGTCCATCTTTAATTTGCTACTAGTCAAACATCATTCAAATCAGTTTTAATGGTTTATATGTATAGTAATGATTTTATTTGGACTTGAAAAAAAAATGTTACAATTTATTACCTTTTGTATTGAAATTATAAAATCTGAAAATGGAATTTCTGGTTGCATTTGTAGATTTTCCTGTAATTACCAAGAACAAATATAAAACACAAACTTAAATACACCTAACACATTGTTACTGCTGACTTATTTCAATTAAAGAGTCAATAAAGGGGATAAATAAAATTATTGAATTCTTAGAAAACTGAATTAAAATTATTTGTGTCTACTATAAGGCTGATGTTTATTGTCAATGGGTACCTCTATCAATCACACTATAGATTAAATATTGAATCTGTATGAATGGAAAGAAGAATTTATTTGTCCTCCCATTCCTCGTCTTTACAATATACAGAATTTTTGACAGACTAGAGGAGATGATGAGGATTTAACGCAAGAGTTAAAAGTCCCCACTGCACTAAGACACGAACTCATAATTATTTAATCATGTAAACTACAGTTGTAAATATCATGATTAAATAAATAAATAAAAAATCATATACATTTTTTTAACAGGTTTGCCTAGAAACGGTTGTCTTTCACAGGATTTAGCTCGCTCCCACCATCAAAGAAGAAATATTAATAATATAAACTTTACCCTTTTGTTATTAGAAATATTTAAATTTTTTCTAAAAATGCATTTATTACCTGTATTCAATCAAACCTCGAATTTATTCATAAGTTTTCTCTTATTTTAATTATTAAATATAAAATTAATAAAATACTTTTCTTAATTACTAAAGTAGAAAGAAAACCAATTTGTATATTAAATTGATACATTAAAAATGTTAATAAACTCAGATATATTACAGCAGTATAGTTAGTGATAAAGACACTGAAGGATTTTAGTTCTCATTGTAATTTCAGATACAAGATTTCATATTACCATTTATTTTAGTCAAGAGTTTTGGATGGATCAAAATAAAATAACTAATTAATCAATTTCTTAAAACAAAAAAGTTATTTCAATCTAATATTTATTTAAAAGATTAGTGGTGTTGGTGTATATGAATATAAAATGGTAAAACTATATAGTAAACAAAAGGCATTACACAAACATGTATGGGGGTGCACATTTCCTCCAAGATCTTTATACAATTAACACCCCTTTTCAAGAAATTATATTGCTCTCCTCGTCTTAAAAACAGTGCAAGCAAAATGAAAATTACAAAAATCATTGATCATATACAATTATACTTGGTGTTTGATCCATATTTTTTACCTTGCTCCCTGTCAAGAAATTTTTCACTCTGAAAATTCATAATCCCGTCGAAATGTTCCCCCCTCAGAAATTCAAAATTCCATTAAAATGTACCCCACAAAAATTTTGATAGCGCAATTTGTGCAATGAAACTCCCTTCTGAGCACTCCTAAACATGTAATATAGTGAAATATGTAATGCATCATTATGCTTAATCTACATATTGGTGACACATTTATTTCAAATCATAGAAATATTTATTAAGACTGCAATGGCTAGTCCACATCTACAGACTAATTAAAAGGAAATATTAAAACTTATTGAATCTAATATTTAAATTAATTTTTAAAAATACTTTGTGTTTAGCAACAATGGAAAAATTATTGAAATAAAATAGTTATCAGTTTAAGAATATTTACTTGTCCTTCAGTTTTTCCAGCTTTTCCTTCTAATATAGCCAATCTTTTACGATATCCAGAAATAGTTCGCTCTGCTATTTCTCTCTGAGCCCTTTCATCTCTTAATTTCTAAACATCAAAATAATTTTACTTCGAATTAAATGGAAAAACAAAAATTAAATTAGATCAAGTACGCACATAAATAAAACACTAATTTCAATCATTATATCAGTTTTGGACATTATTGAATACATTTTTATTCCATTAATTTGGACAAATAAAGTATTTTAAAATACAAAATACATTGAAATATATTTATATTTTTTTTCTAAAACACGAAATACATAAAATGTATTTTAAATACATAAAATATATTATCAAATTGAGAAGGCGCCTTTAAGTTATGTTGTAAGGGTAATTGTTCGTACTAGACCTCACCTATGAAAGTTGGGCTTGAAATTTTTTTAAAGTCGATGGTTCTAAATTTTCAATACAATTATTTTTGACAATAAAACTGGTAAATATTTAGAAATTATGAAAGGTACTGGTATTTTTTCATCAGTAGAATGAAAGAGTATATTATCGATAGATATATTGTTGGGAATAACAAATGTATCTTTATTTATATGATTTTATAGAATTTCCTACTACAGAACAAAAAAGAAATGCTCGAATTAAGCAGAATATTACATTTGTATTACAGTTAAGTTGAAAACTACAATAAAATACTCAAGAGATTAAAAAAAAATCAAAGTGATAAAAATAAAATTTTCAAGTAAAGTTTCGTAAATTAAAATTGCAATTAACCTAAGAAGTTATTAAAAATATTTTTTTTATTACAAATTATAATTTATATTTTATACTAACGATTTTTCTCTATAACTTTTACGATTTTTTAATATAATGAGAGAAGAGAAATTGTGAAATATATTTGTTGTTGAAAAACTTGAGCCTGAACCTGCAATGACTAAACCTAGTTTAGATAAATAATTCAAAAACCTCTTTTATATACAAATACCATTCTCGCTTAGTTTAAATTGAATTGGGCTTAAATCGAAAGTCTAAGATTTCTCCAAGATCTACGAAAAAAAAATAAAAATCCTGGATGATGACCCTGTGATAAAAATTATTTTTATAAAATATAAAACTCCACTGCCCAAATCATGACCGATTGAACGATTATTTTGGTTTTCTAATTTGTTGAATATACCCAGATTGAAATTGTAAAATGATTAATTCTTTGAGGAACCAATATTATTAAAAGCTAATCGCAAAAAAGTTCAATTGGGAATTAATACCTACTTAGTCTATTTATCTGTTGGTCAATTATAACTTTTTTAACAACTTGTTCTTTAAAAAAATATTGGTTGAATTAATTTTTTTTTCTCAATTAATTGTTTTAAAACTATTCCAACTACATATTTCTCTTTTCATAATTGATTTCCTTACAAAAACAAATTACAATAAATAAAATATTTTAATTTATAAAAAAAAAATCATAATTTGTTTATAGCAGACAGTTCCAATATTGTCATCACCACCTATGCCGATGACACGTATATCCTATCAGTTAATAACGATCTATCTATTACATCCCAAACTTCTCAATCACACAACCCAAGTCATGAAGAATGGTGTCAAAACTGGAAGATTAAAATAAATTCCAATAAATCTCATCAAATTACATTTACTCTTCGTCGTAAACCTATGACTTCCTATCCTACAGTATCCTTCAACAGTAGCCCACTTATCCCTGTTGATCAAATCCGATACCTAGGACTCCACCTGGACAAACTACTCACTTGGAACCCCCATACCAGACTGAAACGACTAGAAACCACCCGACGTTTTCGACTACTGCAGTACTTACTAGACAAACGCTCTAAACTTCCAACTATTTACTAAAGAGTCATATATATTACTATAATAAGGCCTATTTGGAATTACGGGAATTACTCCACTAAACCATCAAAGTCCTCTCGTATCCAATCGCTACAATCCAAAATCCTTCGTAAAATCCTCAATGCTTCTTACTTTGTCACAAATAAAGTCATCCATAACGACCTTAATGTACCATATGTTTCCGATTTAGCTCAATCCAGATACCTATCCTTCCATAATAAATTTCTGAACCACCCGAACCCTCTTGTTTCCAACCTTACTTCCTCTTCTATTCCTGATAACCCTCCGAGGCGTCTGAAAAGAAGATGGCTTCGGGACCTTCTAATATAATTTGAGTGCTACCAACGGGTAGTTTCTCTTTATGTTGTTCATGTCATGTAAGTTGTTTCATATTTACTTGTTGTATTTATCATTTAATACAGTTGTAAATTTCAATAATAAAAAAAGCAAACAGTTTTTAAAGTGCAAGCACTCGGTAATTTAGGCGTGAGTATTTTTTCTTTTTTCGATTTAAAATACTTTTTATGTATTTTAAATACATTGTATTTAAAATACATTGTATTTTCAAACAAAAAACACACGGTAATTTAAATAATGTATTTTAAATTAATAATTAAAATACTTTTTGCTCAGGTCTGCTATATAGTTAAGACTATATAGCAAGCTTTAGGTAAAGGGGCAGGCTATACAGTACCCGCAATACGCTACAATCGTGCGGGTTTACTGACTTCTACTCCGGATTTCACGGCCATTAACTGAAGGTCTCCCTGAACGAGAGTATGGTGGGGATAGAGTATGAATGAAAGTGTCGAGATATACATAAGAACGAACTCGTGACATTTTTTTGTTTATTTATTTACAAGGGAGGACTCCCTGTCCATCAAATGGCTGACCAAATCCCATTTTTCAAATTATACAACTGTTTAATCGTACTACTCGTTGCCCAAATTAAATGGTATATATATGAAATATATAGTATTAAATCATATAGTATATATTTAATTTATGTGTATTAATTCAGATTGTATTGTTTTTTATCAACATAAAATAAACTTACAGAAACCACAATTTAGACAAATTTTGATTTTTTTTTTTTAAATATATTATACATCGCGCCTTATTGCCAATTTTAACATTATATAATTATAATTATTCTTATAGCCAATTAGTAAATATAATATATATTAAGCTTCATTTAAACCCAACAATAATTTAAGCATTTGTTTCTTATATTTTCATTGCAAGTTATATTGTGCTTCCTTTTCAATTTCATAATAATTATAATTATATCACAATACAATATAAACAATATTATAAATAATATAATAATTAATGTATTGTAGTCAAGGGGAAATATCTAGATAAAAATATAACTGTTGTCACCTAGTTAAATCAAACTTCCACCTCCAGGTGAATAAATATCATTTCTCGTACAAATTTTTAGGCCAACATCTTTATTTTTTATTAGGAAAGTATAGAGAAACAGGAGCTGAAAACATATGTAATTAAATGAACAGCTGCGTAATTAGTGCTAATTATAGAGCTTATAGGAGAGCTCCTGTAATCTTCTATGCTCCTAATACTAAAATAAAATAAAACATGACATACACTAAAAACTTTTTTATATAATTATAGAGATTATATAATTCCCACTGAATCTAATAAAATATTATTTTTCTTTTCTTCTTTTTGCTGGGAATCTGTATAATTTTCTCTATTTTCGGCAATGAAAACTGTTGAGTTATAATAATCGCTATGAAAATATAGGATTTTAACTTTTGAAAATGGAAATCATTTTCCCGAAACGTTAACTTAACATGTACATCAATAAATAAAGCAATTGTTTTATATCTGGAAGTTTTCAGTGCCGAAAATAGAAAAAATTATTGTTTTTAAAATCATTGTAAATTATCAACATCTATATATATAATATTATTGTTGGGTAATCTCAAAAAAAAAAAAAAAGGAACTTTTTTCCACTTCCTATATTATATTATTCACTATATTAATAATTATTAAAAAAATAGATACCTTTTTAACACTTTCAATTCGTTCTTTAAGCAGCTTCAGATCTAGCATATGATCCTCTGTTTCTTCCTCTACAGATAAACTTTTGGGAGTTGCTTTCTTCTAAAATTATCAAACCACATAAAAGCGATTAAAATGCTAAATTGATGTTACATAGACCAATAGAGAGAATATTTTAAATTTACAAAAAAATAAAAATGAAAATAATTGTACCTTCTGTAAGTTTTTCTGAGTCAAAATATCATACAGAGTCTATTCATTGTACAGTAATTACAAATTTCTACAATACTTAAACGATGTATTATCATTGTGACCATGATCCTCATATTTGTCAAAAATGGAAAGGCTACACCAGCGGTAACTGTTCGTATATTATAGGAATTAATAAATGTGATAGTTCTCTTTCGTAATTTTAAATCATGTTACAATATTTTAATTGAATGAGTTTGACTGATTCATTTCTAATAAAATGAAATTCGTAGAACTATTTTTTTTTTGTGCTCTTTTACCATCGAGTAGCACTGTTGTAGACGATGCCTTCTTATAACAACTTATTTCAGCATTCTAAGGACATAAAATGGTCAAATAATACAGGAATGACTGAAGAATGCGTAATGGACGGAACTATTTTTGATGTAAATTAGGAAAATATAAAAATAAAAAATAAAATATTGCTTAAATAACAAATATATTACTGTAAATAACAAAAATAAGGCATTACTGTACAGTAACAATACCTGTAATATTATATGGTATGGAAACAGTCAGTCTTCCGAGCCTAGAGAAAATCCTGAAGATTGAGAGGAAGATTCGCAGGAGGATTCAAGGGACCTAAGGTAACGCAAGAGGGATACAGGATAAAATCCAATAAAGAAATATATTGGAAGATTTCGAAACAGTCGTCAGGACCAGAAAGAAGACTGAGATTCTACGGGCACATGGACAGGATGAATAGTGAATGACTGAACAAGAAAATTTTTGACAAAGTTGACAGCTATAAAAGTATAGGGAGATATGTAAAACAAATAAAAGAGGAACTAGACAGGCTAGAAATCACAGATAAAGATTGCTTGGATAGAGAGCTTTATAGGGAAAAACTGAAAGGGGTTGGGGTTCTTGTAGGTTGGAGGGAGAGACGAGGGAGAAAATGGACCAAAGAAGAGTGAGAAGAACAGTCCAGGAGGAAATGATATTCGCGTGATCCTTGCTGGCTGGTTCGTGTACAAAAAAAAAAAATATATATATATAATATATATATATATAAATAAATATATATTATATATATAAATATATATATATATTATATATATATATATATATATATATATATTATATATATATATATATATATATATATATATATATATATATTAAAAAAAAACTTATAAATATTGTAAACACTGTTACGGAATAATGTTTTTAATACATTATAGGTTATCACTCATTATCTACTATTATCATTAAAAAATAAATAAATATTTTCTATTTGATGATGGAAGTAGATAAATACATATAGGGGTTATGAAAAATTGTATATTCTAAATGACAATCACTGTATATATATACTTCATTTTATTTTCTCTTCTCCTAATCTTTACGCATAATCACTTAAATATCTTAGGGAACATATGCATATCATTATTTGTTTTTTTATATATTTTTTTGTTTTAGTTTTTACAATTTCTTTCCCTACATATTAACAGTTATTATTATTTTTTTTAATTTTTATATTCCATCACTACAATGCTTTACCTATAAAATAGATTTTACTTTCCTTTCTAATTTCATTCAGTGATTATTATGCAATTATTTTAGCTCCAATATTGTAGTACTGAATCCCTATTACCCAACTGTCCTCGTTAATTTATCCTAAGAGCTTAATTAATACTTAATGTATTACATGTATTTTGTCATTATTCATTGTAATAAGTCTTGACCAGATTTGAAGTTAATATATATGAACAATACTGTTATTCTGAAGGGACCTAGTCCCAGAATAAAGATGATTTTTCTATTTCTATTTCTATTTCTATCTCTACTTCTCGTGAATTAAATTTAGATTTCTGGAAATCTATCAGTACAGTCTATTAATTCTTCAATCTTTGCCTTAAACGGATGAATCAGAACTTCAATCATCACTCGAAATGTCATTCCGATTTACCATGATGGGTCTTCTTGCCATTGATGGTGCGTTAGTTTGCTTCTGAAGAATCCTTACTAACTTTTACGAAGTCGTACAAATAAGCTTTTGAAGGAGTTACGATTTAGTGTAATTACTATTAGATAAATATATGAAGTGTACGGAAACTAAAAGAATTAGATTATTTAATTAAAGAATACAAAAAGAACTAATCCATTTCTAGCGTAAAATAATGTTATCCAGAGAGTTGAAACTCTGGAACTTGTTTGGTGAGTGAACGGAACAACAAAACAGTTCAGTCCCTTATTCTCTTCTATTTCTCAATCGATTTTCTTTTTTCTTTTTTTTTTTTTGTTTAGTAGCTATTGACGAGTTTTAGTGTCAGAAATATAAAAACAAAAACAAAAAAACAGTTTATATAAACAAAAATGTAAATGATATTACGATTATACCTATAATATTTGAAAGCTTTCTGAATACTCTACAAAATGAAAAAAAAAAAAAAAACTAAGGTGTGTGATTTAGACCATACGATAACATAAACAAGGGGAGATTAATAATATGAAATACAAATAGTAAATAATAACCCATTATAAAGAGGATGTTGAACGTTTCTCTGGCCTACAGTATGCAGGTCCGATTTTTAGTTTCTGAGATATTTTAATCCATTTCTTCCATAAAACTGATTATCATTTGGTTTTCGACAATATCTTTTCTTTCTCGCCTCTCTAACATGGCGTCGCGTTAAAGTACAATTTTGAATAATAGCTCATTACAATGAGTATGGAATGATGAACATTTTTTAGTTTTTGAGATATTTTAATCTACATGCAAAAACACTTGAATTAGTCTACTCCAGCCGACTTTACCAGAGCGTTACACGTCGGAGATATGACGGCTCAATCTAGTTGACTCTACACAAAAAAAAGTGCAATACTCGCCTAAAGAAGTTATCACTTAAAAAAAAAAATACTCGACATTAAAATGAATCATGTCCGATAAGATATTTTTATTTACATTTTTAAAAACATTTTTTGGGTTTATATTATTTATAATAGTTATATTATGACTAATTTATATTTAGCATATTGCTATATTGTATGCTTACACTACAAATTGATATAAAACAGTTAATGCCGAACGAAATGGGTTCAAATATTTTTTTAAGGAGAAACCAAACTGAGATTGGTATTTTGCATCTGAAAATTCCACAAATATGTATTTTCATTGCAATAAAAAAATAATGAAGAAGGAGAATATAACAAGAAATAATATTAGTTTACTCACAACTTATTCTTATAACTGCATGTTTAAACATTACTTACAGTTACGTACAGTAATGAAGGATTGTATGCTGCTTCTGAACTTTCTCCTCTTACTAGTTTTTGTGGCTGAAAATTAAAATTAAATCATTACTTTTTGTTGATAATTTCTTTGTTCTTAATTTAACCATAAAAATAATCGATAATTGAGTAAGTTCTCCTGATTGGCTTCTGGAAATTTATTTATATTATTTATAATTATATTTTTACTTTGAAATTCTTAGTTCATTTCATTACAATAATTAATTTTTTTGGATACATTCTAAAAGATTTATAATGAAATGAGTAATAAAATAAATAAACAATTGAAAATTTTTCTTAACATGCAAATATATTTATAAAGGAATGTCTAATTCGGAGGAAAAACAGGTAACAAATACCTAGTACTGTTTGAACAGAGTAGTAGAAAAAAAGCAACATTTTGAAAGAAAAATTTGTTTTTTTATTTCTAAGATTGTAACTACCCAAATTTAATTTGGTATGTTTTTCTTTTTTTAATTACTTGTTTATTGATAAATATCTCAATCTATCTCAATTAAGGATACTTATAATAGAGTTCACAGAGCACATTCAATTCACAGAATCATAAATAATTAAGGTAATAACAAAATAATATACAGCGAAATAAGAACAAAAGAAAATATCATAGCGAGGGAAGAAAATAATATTAATAAAATAAAAATAAATAAATACAATGTTCTTACAAAATAAAAATAAACATCTTAGACGCAGACATACCTATAAACACTATTTACAATCGGCCAGAGGAACTCCAAACCATACTTGTTCCCCTCCCCTCTTGTGGAGGGAAAAGCGAGACTTCTGGAGAATTTGTTAATATTACATTAAAAAGGTACCGGTATAGAAAACATAAATAAAATAAAAAAAATCTGAAGTTATAAATGGAAGATTTTGACCAAATTAATTAGTTTTCCAGCCGATGTACAGGTTTTTACAGATGTAATTTTCACATATTCTTAATTTATATTTGTGTTTATATTCTTAATATAATAATAGAGTCCTCAATATATGACAAATTACTAATATTTTTATGATGATAATTCAACCAACACTTGCGCAGAAAACTCACATCTGGAATAATATTTTGTAATTACGTTGCTTACTTTCATTTTAAGGAGGCTACTAATCGTTCTGTTGATGTGTCCATTCTCTTCATTTCTTTTGAATGAGAATTTCTGAAAAATATACGAGCTAAATTAAAAGTATTGAACAACAAAAATATATACATTAGATTGTTTACGTCTCAGTCAACTAGTAAGTAAAAATATATAATGTAAAAAAGATATCTCACAGATTTCTTCTTGGGTAAAATTTGGTCTGCCGATTGCAAGCCTTGAAGATTGTGATAAATATCATTCTGTTGATAAAAACTGAACATTAAAATTGGAGATAAATTTGCAGAGTTACGGCCTACAAGATGGTGGCTTGCCTCAAGCTCACATGATCACAGTGTACATTTCGTAAATTTACGTGTGTTGACGTACGAAAGCATATTTAAAAGAGTTGCCATCATGGCGTTAAAGATTTAAAATAATCACAAAAAGCAGATCTTGTTACACGCACAACTTAGTCTTAAAATTGAATGGGCAATGGTTTTTATAAATTTCAAGTTAATTGGGTATTATTAGTGGTGGTAATTGAAATAATTACTTTTTAAATTATATCAAGACTGTTGGACTCGCTATGTTTGTTCAACAGATAAATGTAATCTCGTTATTTGTTTTGTTTATTATATTCAATAATCAACTATTGTAATCGACCAAGAAATAATAAGTTAACCTCTCTCCCTCAAAATTTGAGGTTTTACGTTTTAACCCTTGAAACTATTCAATTCAATTCAATTAAAGGTTTTATAGAACTTTTATTTTTAAAAACGTTTATTTAAGAGTACTGCCGAGATAGCTAAAGAGACGATCTAAAAAAATGACTTTTATTCATAGCTACTCAAACAAACGACAGATTAGAATCATGCGAAATACATTTAAAACAAACCATAACTCAAATCTATCTCCAAAACTGTTTATTTTTCATTTAACGGAATTTTTATTTTAAACTTGATATAAATATAAATCTGGAGCTTTATTACAAAAATGTTTCTTAGAATATTTATTTTAAGAACATTTTTTTTTTAAAAGTTACACAAAAATTTCAACTCCTGCTATCTACTGTCTGATCATGTGAGCTCATGGACAGCCGTCATGTTGTCGGCAGTGTTGTAAGCAAGTATAAAAATATATTTTAGGAATAAAAACTATAAAGAAGGAAAGGTTTTTATTCACAAAATAAAAACTATAATCACTTAATTATTTCAGAAATACCTACAAATACAAGCTAAAAACTTAAGAAAGAACTTTGTATGCGGCGTATCATACGGTGGCAGATAATGATAAATGAAGTGAAGGTGATATTATCTTTTCAAATAGCCATCATTTTGTTTAAAAAATTTTGATTTGTTACTTTCACTTACTTATATTTTTTTGGGGGGTCCTCCCCTTCCTCGCCTTTAAGGCTATACGGGGTTTTCCCGAGCCAGAGGGTGTGGGCGGGGATTTAAAAGACTCCTACTATGGCGCTGGGATGCGAACTCGTGACTATTTTTTATCACTTTATCTTATATCAGGTTGCCGGGCAACGGTGGTGCAGTGCACACGCGTTAGGCCATTCGGCCACCCCGCCCACATCACTTACCTATATTTGAAATATACACTAAAAGAAAGTATTGAGATTGTGAAAATTTTCAAATCTCATTTTTCAATGGAAATACACGTTTTGAGGATCCCCGAGTCCAAATAACCAAATCCCGCAAAACGATCTGTGTATGTGTGTGTGTGTTAACAGTCTAGCTCAAAAACGAAAAGTCATACGAAAGTGAAATTGCATATTTAAGGTTTTTATATGCTTAGGATGTTACAGCAACTTTTCCGTCAAAATCGGCTAAAGGGAAGTGGAACTTTATATTATCGATTTAACACATTCTTACGATTTTCTCAAAAAACGGTCTAAGGATTTTGATTAGATTTATCAGTGCAAAATTAAGCAAATTTTAATATAATGTAGGTTTTATTCTCATTTTTGTTGTTTAATAGGGCTTAAATTGATAATTTTCAATATTTGCTTTCCCTAAAGTACCTTTAGTTTTTTTTATTTGAAACAACGAACCATTTTATATTGATCTCTGATATAAAAAATAGTTAAATATAAAATATGAAAAAGATTGATATTTAACTAAAGAAGAAATAAGAGATTGTAACGGAGAATAGTGGTAATGGAGGAACCAAAGGAACATGAGCGCGAAAGAGTAGAAAAAGTTTCCATACGAACATGAGCTTAATATAATACAGATTCCGACAATATTATGATCATATACATATGAGGTTTTCATAAATGCCATCGTTGGTATTATTTAATATGTAATTGTATAGATTACAGGGATTTTAATATTAAAATTTGTATATTAAACAAACAAAAATATCCAAAATGAAATATAAATAAATATAGCGTTTATAATTTTTAATTTCACTTCCCCTTTGTCTGAAAATATTTATTTCGGTTAAGAAGAGGGTGGTAAGTGAATGTTGTGTGATGCACAAGCCGCACGTGATGTTTTTATATTATAACCGTAACGAGCGCTATTCCATTTGAATTCTATTCCAATCATTAATATATATATATATTTCTCCAAAGCTTTTGACACACTTGACCACAACATTCTCCTTACTAAACTACAACATCTTTCTTTATCCAACAGTGTCCTGCGATGGTTCAAATCCCTCCTTTCAAATAGATCCCAGTATGTCGTCGTCCAAGGTCAACCTCCCTCTAAGACATTTTCCCTCTCCTGCGGCGTCCCTCAGGGTTCCTCCCTATCTCCTACTCTGTTTGCTATTTACACCAATGACCTTCCTCTCCTGATCCATCAATACCATATCTATACAAATGATTTCCAAATATACCTGTCCTTCCCTCCTTTTGACCTATTAGCAGTCACAAAAAAACTTCAAGAGGATTTAAATAGAATCTGTGACTGTGCGGATGCGAACAAGTTGAAGTTGAATGCCGAGAAGACCAAGGCAATTTCGATAGGCTCCAGTCACATCCTTAAAACTCTTCCTAACATACCAACTCTGTTCCTACACGATAATTCCATCAAATTCTATCCCACCATTCAGAACCTTGGAATAATCTTTGATCAAACCCTTTTCTGGAAAAACCATGTATCCGATATTTTCCGCCGTGCCTGTTCCATTTTAAAACGACTAAATTGCCTCCGCCACTTATTCCCATTGAAACCCGTAAACTCCTTATTACTTCCGTAATATTTCCTCACTTCGACTATTGCTGAACGGTATATGGGGGCGTCTCCGAGGATGAAGACCTCTCGAGGTGAAACTAAAATGTTTGATAAATTGCTTTGTACGATTCATCTTCGGGATCGCAAGATCTATTTGTCGTTATTATGAAGAGCTGAAATGACTTTATCCTTGCTACCGAAGTAAGTATATCCTAGTATCCTTCCTCTTCCAAGGCATCCAATTCCGTCGTCCTTCATACATCTCCGAGCTCCTTCAATTCAAATCCTCTGTCCATTACCGCAAAACCCGTTCTTGGTCCTCCGATTTGTTTACAATATCTCACCGAACCGCTGCTTTCGACAGATCTTTCATTATTCGATCCACATCCCTATGGATTTCTACCCCATGCGCCTCAGACAATAGGTTGGCCTCTACTCAGAGGACGGGAACGGTGCCCCTCTGCGTGAAGAAATTACCAAGTATCTTTAGTGATATAGATATAATATAGATATATATTATATATAATATAGATATAGTATCTATTAGTGATATAGATATAATGGCTAGGACGATCCATCGTTGATGGACTCTTACATAATCTTGATATCGGTACAGTTGTGGTCAAGTGTGTCAAAAGCTTTGGAGAAATATATATATATATATATATATATATATATATATATATATATATATATATATATATATATATATATATTAATGATGGGAATAGCATTCAAGTGGAATAGCGCTCGTTACTCCACGTGTTGGACGTCTACCTCCCCCCCTCCCATTTCATCAGCTCCAGGCTCAGTTCACTTCACCTAGCACCAGCCTAGCGCCATTTTCTGATGACAGCTGTTCGGCACATCGGCAGTCATCGATCGAAATCGATATACATATCGATTCCCCCACCATCGACTGATTTTGTCATTAGCTGTACAAGGTAACCTCGTTGGAAACAGAACCTCCAACTTGGCTTGTTTTTTTATTCTCTTCCGTCACGAAAGACATTTAAACATTAAATTATTTTTTGTTTCTCACAATAAATTAGTTTTATTCTTTTGAACAGTTATGGTTTTCTCTTGTTTTATTTATAATTTTAGAATTGATTTTATTTCTAATGTTTGATTTGTTACAAAGACAATCCGACTGTATGATTTGGCGACTTGCTCATATCTGTAACCCCCTTGTAGAGCACTCTCAAATCTGCAATCTCCCACTTTCACGGAAAGTACCAGCTATCTAAACAGTCATTAAAGATGTTCAATAGCTTTTCCTGCATGTAGAGGGCACTGTTATTCAAGATTGCACCACCAATACCGTCTAGTCCTGGAGAGCAACTGATTCTCTGCCTATCCACGGCACATCGGAGATCATGAATGTCCCATGGTAGGTACAAGTCTGTTCGAGGTGGAGATACCGTAGCGCGCCTTATGAACGTTCATCTTCATTGTCGTGAGATGGGTGGTATCAATAAATATGTTCCCAGCCTCTTCCGGAGTGTTTGCTTGGTAATCTCCACGTTTTAAAGCTGCAATAGTCTGCCCCGAAGTAATTTTTTCTATAGCCACTGTATGGAATACCACAGGGATTCTTGGCTTTTTCTTGAACGATGAAATCATCCCAGGACTTCTGTTTTTGGCTGCGCATTTCGTTTCAGTATATCCTGGCTTTTTCCTTGTACTCATTTCGAAGTGCAGTGCGTCCCTCGTCGCTACTACTCCTCTGATGCGACCGCCTGGCCTTGTAGAGGTCTCTTTTCAGGGTAGTTAGGCCGGCGTCCACCATGGAGCTGGTCCAGCTCTCATTTTCCTGCGATGAAGGGAATTTTTTGCGGCATCGCAAATGGCATCGATGTTCCTGGACAACCTGTAGTCCAGCTTATCCCTCCAGTCTGTCTCAGTTTTTTACCATTCTTCATCAATTAGCTTCCCCTCCAGCATAGAGCAGAAGATACTGCAGTCTTTAATGCGGATTTCGTAACCCTTATCAATGCCGAAGGAACAGGCTGCGTTCTTCGGTCTTCGTTAGCGGAGGTTGAAATGATCACCCCCACAAATTCCTTCCACTTTGCCACGAATGCTTCATAGTACGGGTAGTTATCCTCACTTACTGCTGGGCGCTGCGGTCCTACGAGGACCTGGGCCTCCTCAAGGACTCCAAGCCAGTCATTCCTCCCTCTGGCTCGCGTCCTCCATCTTCTTATTCCGAGCAACTTGATATCCTCTTCAACGTTCTTCAATAGGCCAAATGCTAGAAGATTGCGATCGGAAATCGTCTCTGGTCTCTGACCTAATCGACAATTAGGTTTACTAGCGTCGATGAAACAAGCTTTACATCTAACCAACTTTGGCCCAAAGGCCCTGAGAACGTTGGTATGTCAAAGGAATTATTAATTACCACTAACTGATTCCTCGCAATAAATTCACCAATTTTGACACCTCTTTTATTAGTCCATCTAGGAGTTGGTAGACCGTGTACCAGGAGTTGGTATCGGAGCACACGATCACATCCCTAGCATTTCCTGTGATCACTTCCATATGCCGTCTTTGACATTATTCCCATCAGATAGATTGATCGAGATTAGCGTAAAAGCAATGGTACCCCCCGTGATATGGCATGCAGCACAATCCGCTGTGGTGTGTTGTCTCAGATCCATCAAGTCAAGGTTTGGGTTGTTTATCACAATAGTTGCCCTCGGCCTCCTCTCTCCACTGCGCAGAGCGATTACCCTTGATGTGAGACCAAACCCTGAAAACATGTTCCGACTCGAGTCGTGAAGGCTCGGCTCTAGAGCCTTTAAACCTCGAACCTCCAAGGCTCGAGTTGAAGGCTCATAGGGTTGTAGTCTTGATGAACATATCTTACAAAAAAAAAAAATTAAATTATCGTTCATTTTGGCAAATACATACAGTTGAGCACAGGCAGATCTACGGGGAGGGCTTTCGGGCTGAAGCCCCTCCTCCCCCAAAATGGTAAAATATAACCATGTTTTACAGAAAAAAATATTTAAAACTATCTCTTAAAGTATTCTTGTTCGTTTAATTATATTTAATAGGACTTCAAGAACCACTTAAAAACCATTTCATATAAGTAATTAATTTCTTTATTTTTTTTTCAAATTTACTATCGTTATATGTATAAAAAAAAAATCTTTCGGGCTGAAGCCCACCCCAAAATTAAATCCTGGATCCGCTAGTGCTGTTGGGGCCAGGGGAATTTCAAAATTAAAATACAAACCTTTCCCCAGTGAGTTTCATCAAAGGTGGGGAAAATTCGAGCAAAATTAAATGGTGGAAAAGAAAGAGGAAAAAGTGAAAATGAGATCTGTAAAATATAATATAATATCCAGATAAAATAAAAAGAAATTAAACATTAGAAATAAAATATAAATAAAATCAACTTCTAAAATTATAAATAAAACAAGAGAAAACCATAACTGTTCAAAAGAATATAACTAATTTATTGTGAGAAACAAAAATTAATTTAATGTTTAAATGTCTTTCGTGACGGAGGAGAATAAAAAAAATAAAAAAACGAGCCAAGTTTGAAGTTCTGTTTCCAACGAGGTTACCTTGTACAGCTAATGACAAAAGCAGTCGATGGTGGGGGAATCGATATGTATATCGATTTCGATCGATGACTGCCGATGCGCCGAACAGCTGTCATCAGAAAATGGCGCTAGGCTGGTGCCAGGTGAGGTGATTTGAGCCTGGAGCTGGTGAAATGGTGGGGGTAGACGTCCAACACGTGGATCAAAAACAAACGAAAGCTCGCTCCAGAATGACCATCCGGCAGTCTATTCGCAGTATTTTGGTGTCATAATCCCTAAGACTGTGTATTACTGCCGGGCTGGAGCGTATACCCAAACGCGATAACACATCGCAAACGAAGCCAAATAGATAAACAATATACATTTCCGGAGCAATTGTCCCTTGGCCTATTACAAAAAAAAAAAAAAATATACATTTATTCCATTTACATTCAAAAAGGGTAAAAATTATGAGACAAAATAACAATAAAAAAAAATAAAGATATGAGTGTATGCGGCGTTAACATATATATTTTTCTGTTTGTTGTTACTATGTTAATATATTTCCGAAATAGAAGGTGAATATACTATTTTTCTGTTGATATTAACAATATGGATAGATTTTTTGAAATATAATGTAAATAAATAGATAGGAAAAAAAGAAGTAAGGTTTCATCCTTTTACTACCGATCTCTTAAGATTCGAGCCTTAAGGGCCTCTTACACGGTCAATATTATTGAGTCAATATCTAGTTTCTTCGGCAATATGTTACGAGTAGATGGGTTTAACCCTCTCCCTCCCCTCCGATTTGTTTAAAAAGATGAAATGGCATTATATTTGGGTTGGTGGGGGATTCGTTTTTTAGATTTAATATGTTTGGGTAGGTAGATATTGCCCTTTTGTATAAATTGTAAAATAGTTTAAAAAGTCTATTAATAAACATATGGTAAAAAAAAAGTAAGTTCGAGCCGACTCGAGTGAACTGCTGAGCTCTTAGGACTCGAGCCTCGGCCAAGTCGAGAAAGCTCGAGCCTTTTCGGCTCAAACTTTATTGCCTTCTCATCGAGCTTCTTTACAACACTATAATCAGGAAAGCGATTTCCTTAGTGGATTAGAAACGATAAGACGATTTCATATCATGAACTTAAAACCAATAATTTCTACTTAACGATTCTATATAATTATGGTTCTGTTTCGAGTTCAACTCTGAGCAAGTTCCTAAAATCAGCGCTGAATTCATTGATGAGTATCGGCAATCAATCAAGCCGTTCATAAACTCATAGATGGATCTACAAATGGATTTTTGTTTCTATTTCGAGATTAAAAAATTCAATAGGTGCATACATATTTTCTTATATATTTTTATTTTTCCAGCAATTTGTTTCAGATGTTTTGTAACCTTCAAAGTGTTAACCATTCTACTATAATTCAATAAGTCATTCCTATATTTATCATAAATTACAACTCAACAGTGCTGGATTCAATAGCTTAATGAATTCCATCGATAGAATTAGCGTAGAGTTTAGGGACTAGCCTCTTCTATAAATGGTATTGTTAGAAAAAAATAATAACAAAATCTAATTGAAATGTATTAATCTTTCAAGGTTAAATGAATTTGTAAGTGAACGACTATCAGCACTTTTCAGCTTTATTGATCTATATAGACGATTTAAAGGGCATCTTACACTATCAAGAATATTGAGTCAATATCGAGTTTCGTCAGTATATTGACCGTGTAAGAGCTACATCGGCATAAATTATGTTGACGTCAATCAAACTAGTTGACAAAAATTTTTTTTAATTTTTATTGAGGATCCTTCAATATTGTTGAAACAGTGTCAATATAATTGCACGTGTAAGGGATATTTTGAGCAATATTATACCAATTATACGGATCTTGAGAAGCTCTGGGCGTTACCAAATTTCTGGTGACTTTCTTGACAATATGTTTGAATAGGGGGGGGGGGTGATACTTTGTTTTAATTTTTTTGGGAGAAGAGAGGAGGAAGTAACCCACCTCGGATTTTTTAAAAAAAGATAAGATATAGGTTTAGGTAGGTAGCTGATACTTTTTTTTACTTTTATAATGTTTTTTGTTTTTTATAATGTTGTTTGGAAGGGTGTTGTTTTACTCCCCTCCGATTTTTTTTAAAGATAAAATGGCAATATTTTTGGAAAGGTGGGTAAGACAAGAACATAACCAATTTAAAACAAGAAACGTTTTAATGTCTAGGAACCAAATAAGCAGAACACATTTTTTTTTAAATTAAAGTAATAGGAAATCATTATTATTCATTTCCACAAAGAAAAAGATGACCTCTTTGCAAACCTCTTTCTTTAGTGGAAGCAAGATCTTAACTGATATAATATTGACCCATGTAAGGCACTCCTGTAATATATTGCATTTCATTATATTACTTCAATAATATTACCTTCAATTACATTGCTTCAATAATATTGATCGCGCAAGGAACACTTAAGATACATACTTTATGTAAAATTTCCAATTGGAGGTCAAAGGTAAATACTTACGTTTGCGATTGAACGAAACACTTTATCCAAACCAGAAGACAAGCTAGTAATATCTGTCAAACTTGTCGTGGTGCAAAATACATCTTTTTCTTTGAACAAAAATGGTTACTTAATATTTTTCTAATTTATCTGTATCTTTTAATATATAATAAAACTGAAACGTGTTATATTACCATGCGTACGAATTTTATTGACAGAATCAACTGCATTCAAATGTTCTGGACTATGATTCACAGTATTTTTTTCGGCCAAAACTAGAGCTCGTTTCTTTTGAACCTAACAAGCATTTACTAGCCTAAACGGGGCTCACAATTCACAATTATTAAATAACATTAATTACCTTCTTGGAATTCACTTTTTTGTGAACTATCAGATTATCCTTATGAAATGGGTAGCGTTTTTTAAAAATACGCTCGTGAAGTTCCTTCAATTCATTTTCCAAGTCATTCAGGCGTTTATTTATACTCTGTTGCTAAAAAAAGTTAATAACAAAATTTTAATTTGAAACTCACTCGTTTAAATTAAAGTGATTCATTGCGTGTTTTTAAAGAAGTATAAATTACTTTAATAGAAGACATATTTGTAAAGTAAATTTATCCTCATACTGCTTCTGGCTGTTTCATAAATAATACAAGTTAAATTATTTAATTTTGACACTACACTACTTAAGGTTAACATGTGAATATATTTTTTTTTTCAAAGATAACAAATGATACAAACTGAACTTCGTAGCTATTTGCTGGCACAGGTATGTTATTACCTCCTCATCTGTTATCTTCACGAGTAACTTTCATGTAGTGGTTATTATTTAGTCAAAACAAATTTCATTTTATGGGAGTTTACAATGCCTCTTGTAATGATTGCTGGACTACCTTCCACAGGCAAAAGTACCAGGGCGAATCAGATTAAAGAGTTTTTGCAAGATGTCAATAAAGTCAAAGTTCATATTGTTTCAGAAAATGACATAATAAACAACAAAGAACTTCATAAGAACAATTTATTTTCAGGTAATTTGTTTTTGTCGTAATGATAACTGTTTCCTCATTCAATTAATTCTGTGCATTATTTAGATCCACAAAAGGAAAAGGAACTAAGAGGCATTCTGAAATCAGAAGCTCTAAGGTTATTAACTCCGAACAATGTTGTGATTTTGGATGCTGGCAACTATATTAAAGGTAAGAATTATTTAAATTGTTAATCCTATTAAAATAAATAAATCTACATAAATTTTTAGGTTATAGGTACGAACTATATTGTGCCTCTAAGAACAGTGGTTCGACTCAAGTGACTGTTGAGACGATATGTACCAAGGATGAAGCATGGGAATGGAATGTGAGGAGACCTGAAGGCGAAAGATATTCAAAGGAATGTTTTGATGCTCTTCATTTACGTTACGAAATTCCTGATTCTCGAAACAGATGGGATTCTCCATTATTTTGCCTACAATCACATGAGAGCATACCTGGTAGTGAAATTTACCAAGCTTTGTTCCTAAGGAAGCCACCTCCGCCCAACCAGTCTACACAAAGTGTAAGTTAGAAATCTAAACTAAAAATTTGTGTTCAATTAATTCAGTAATAATTTCAAAGTAAAGATGAAGATAGCTTGGATGTAGTTAGAAATAAATAGGGCATGTTTCTTAGCTTGACACTTAAAACATCAATGGAAACATTAATCAGTAGAATCCAGCAGCGATGATGACCAATTTATGCTGAGTTTAGGATTCAAGTAGAAGGTTGGAAGGACTATTTTATTTTTTTATTTTTGGAACGGTGATAACTCTAGAAAAAAAAGATATATATATATTAAATAATGTTTGAATGATCTTTGAAGGTCTATTAAAAAAAATGCGTTTGTAGTTAAAAATTTGTATTGACATGTGCTTGCATTTAGTAGTTTTATATGTTATATTGGGTTGGCAAATAAGTTCTTTCAGTTTTTCAGGGTGAAATAAAACTTAATGTAATATAGACATAAAAGTAAGTAATGTAATAACGATTTATTCAATTGCTTTTCCGGATGGTAATAGCTCATAGAAAATATCACTCTTGAAATCCCACCACATGAAAAGCATTATCTTCTATGGATGCAATCCGGTCATTTGGTTGCCGTTTCCATAGTGAATCACAAACAGAAGTGTGTGTTGCCAAGTTGACTTCGGTTAGAGTGAGGGACCCAACCATTAAGCCTAGAAACATAGCCGAGCTTATGCAAGTGGTTTTCTATGCTTTTGTGTAACACATTTAGGGTAGGGCCATAGCAATCTCTCGCACTGATTGGGTGGGATTTTGATCAAAAATGGCCTGAACATTGCTCGTTTCAATTTCATGTAGGTGACCTGACCATTAAGCATCATTGATGTAAAATTTTAAAAAGTTCGATTAAGGCATCGTCCCCATAAACACTGCAAATTTTTCTATGAACTTCTGCAGCACACTTTCCTTTTTTATAATAATACAACAAAATTTACCGATAATGAATGACATTTTCTTCCATATTCACAGTGCAATAGCATACACAATGCTAAGCTAGTTGCAACAAGTGTTAACAGATATAGTTGTTGACATATTTTAAACAGAATAAACAATCCACCTTATGGATTAATACACCAGATAAGAAGTGTATCATAGTGACATAAAATTAAACAGAAAAACCGAAGTGACTTTTTTGCCAAACAATAATTTAAAAAGAGTCATTGTGATTTTTTAAGTATTTCGCTTATTGTTGGTCTATGTTGCTTACTTATAATTTATTATGTTATTTTTATTAAATGAATTAGCTTCATAATTATTGTTATTTGTAATGTGCTGTTGATGTAATTTTGCTTAATAATGTGAAAATGGAGGCCGAGATTGTAATCTTTCATAAAAGAAAAAAAAATTGTGTTTATCTGTTTTTTATTTTTGTGGAAGGGATGAGAACAGAGGTGGGATTACACCTAACGAAAAATATCTGTAAAGTCCATGATACCTGAATAATGGAAATTGTAAATAAGAAAAATATTTATTGTGAAATAACATTCAGTGATACAATAATTAACATTTTTTATCTATTACTATTTTTTTTCTATTTAATATATGTTAAATTCGATTAAGGTTACTTGTTGAAACAAGAATGTCAAGTACAAGTCAGCTCACACTGTATAACTAACTGTACTTGGCTAAGAGTAAACAACTGCTCTAATGGCAGAAAAGTTTTATAACTAATTTAAAAGATCAGATAAACCTGGACACTTTCGGCATTCCAAGAACAAGTGTGACTGAAGTGATTATGAACTGTGCTTAATCCCTGCAAAATTCTCATGAACTAGAACCAAAAATAAAAATTAAGAAATACTTACCTGCTGAATTATTGAATTTCAAATTTACAGAAATATATACCTAGTTCTGCCATAAATACTGTTACAAAAGTTGAACTTTGTTTACATCCTTGGGTATTATTTAGATAATCTTTATCTCTATCAGGTTATTTTCTTTACATATCAGGATAATAATCCCAATTAGTTTGTATCTTTCTTTCACTCAGTTAACATGCAGTGAGGTGATAAAGAAAACCGAATAATTGTAATCGCCTTACACAAAATTGTAAAATGTTGGTCAGAGATTTTCAACACTTTGAAACCTTTGGGTATCAGTCCTACGATCATGTACCACACTATAAGTAGATATAATGAGACCCCTATCTGTATGTGACAGATCTCGACTGGGCCGTTCCCACACTGTGAGAACGCCAAATGCAGTGAGAGCAGTGGCTGCTCGAATCAGAAGAAACCCTATTCGAAAACAACAAATGTCTCGCGAAATGGGAATCTCTGTCAGATCAATGCCCTGCATAATAAAAAGTGACCTTAGGATGGGTGCATTTCGAAGAATGACAGGACAAAGGCTAACCACTTCCCTAAAAAAATTAAAGTGGATAGATGCAAAGTGCTCCTTGGCCGTTACACCAATGGTCTTCATCGAAAGATTTTGTTTAGTGATGAGAAAATTTTTACAATTGAAGAAAAATTCTAATCAACGATCTCCAAAATGATCATTTGTATGCAAACAGCTCTAAAGAAGCCCAGGAAGTCATTGGAAGAGTTGAAAGAGGTCATCACCTTTCCTCAGTGATGGTTTGGTGGGGAGTTTGCTTTGATGGCAGAACAAAGCTCCATTTTTGTGAAAAAGGAATTAAAACGATCATCAGGATGATATTTTGGAACCTGTTGTCAAGCCTTTAAATGATACTCTGTTTGCTGGAAGTCATTGGATTTTTCAGCAGGATCAGCTCACAAAGCCAGGTCAACTCAGCAGTTGCTCCAAAAGAACATTACAAAGTTCATCTCGACCTCGGATTGGCCCTCAGGAAGCCCTGATCTCAACCCACTATATTATCGCCTTTGGTCTAAACTGGAGAGGATGGCATGCCACAGAGTACACCCTAACCTGGAAAGCCTCAAGTTTAAATAATTTCTTTTACTCTCTATAGGTATACATTTTATTTTCGAATAAAGTTTTTGAAACAATTAATTTTTCTGTTGAAATCTGTATATGTTTCCTTGTAACAATATTTATGACAGGACTACTAATACTTTACCCAAACTTCACTTTCATGAATGTTCCAAGATTTCATGATCACACTCTATATGAAATGTTGAGAATAACCGAGTATTGATGTGTATATATGGTATCAAATTGCTTTATTTGTATCGTGATTTATGAAATCCACAAACTCCCAACTGATCCTTATCAGTCGAGGTGGGGCCTTACTGACAGTTCAGTTACCTCCATCTACTTTCGGACGCGCTTGTCCATTCTCCTGTTTTCTGTTATTGTTAAAAATAGTATCATTGAAAATTAATAATATACTCAATGAACTATAACGTTTTTTAAAGAAACTAGTACAGTTAATGGTAGATATTAATTTGGAATTTTTAATGGTCCGGTTTTGGTTCAATTTAATCAGCAAGCTTTTCATATCACTATGTATGTATGTAATATTTATTACAACTTTCTTGGAGAAGAGTTACCTTGAATAAATATTCTTAACCTACTCCATAAAACTTGATTATTCAATTCTTTTAAAAAAAATTTATAAGTTTCATGGAGATTGCCCGTGGTGCAATTGGAAAAAAAAAACAATAGTTGTGTCCTTCTCACTAGCCTTATCTTATTTAATATTAAAATTGTAATGGATTTTTAGCAATAATGAATATTAGGTATTTTTCGAAGTCTGTTAGTTTTTTTTGCTTATTAGTTTATGAAAATATATAGTTTATTTTAAGGTGTTCACTGCAAAGGTTTATAACCTTATAGGTGTAAAGGAAAAAATATACACATATTATTAATGAAATCCAAGTATTGAAGAAAGCTAGTCGACTGTTCTACGTATCATGGATGATAAATAGTCAGGACGCAGTCATTATACAAATTTTTTTATTTGTGCCAACGTTTCAACCCAAACATGTGGGGCATCTTCGAGCTTTCACGCTCTAAAGATGACCGATATGTTTGGGTTGAAACGTTGGCACAAATAAAAAAAATTGTATAATGACTGCGTCCTGACTATTTATTACCCATGAAATCCAAATAGTTTTCTGTAGATCTTGACTATTATTATTTTATTATGTTTCATTATTGATGCTCAAATGTTGACAACTCTTTGATGACCTTTCTTTGATTATTACTGTTTTGATTTCAGGCTCCTTTAAGTTCTGCTAACTTCTTAAATGAACTAGATAAAATAACACAAGCTATTGTTGCAGTAAGTATTATGTTTTCTTATAAATTAATTATTATATCATTAATGACTAGAGAAGAATTTTATTTTTATTTTACTTATACATTTTTAGGAAATAGTTTCTGCAAAGAAATGTGGTGCAGAAGGAACAATTAAATTGCCATGCCATGGTGGAATTATTTTAGAAAATATCTCGGGCTCATGTTCACCAGCCCAGCTGGCACGATATCGAAGACAGTTTCTTAACTATGCCAAACTTCATCCTCCTTCACCGAAGGAAACTCCAGATGGCCTTGCTCAATTATTTAGTCAATTTTTGAACACAACACTTAGTGCCCTTCCCAGTTGACCTATAAAATATGTATCATAAAAACATAATATGGCTAACCAAGTTTTAAATTTTATTTAAATTTAAATAAAATGATCACAGTGCATTACACTAATGCTGTATTGTAGTTTTTTTTTTTCAAAGTCAAGGGTTTTCTATTTATATCAATAAGAACCAAAAACTTGTTACCATTAATAAGAAGTTGATGAAGATACTGTCTTCAATCATTAGATTATTGGAAAGTTTTCAGGGTATTAATTGTCATACGAAAAATAAAATCGAACTAATCAAGGAAAAATTAGTTGGGGGTACAGTCAAGAAAGAAAGTGTGAGTGTTATACATCTTTCATCAGCGCCAAGCAAAATAAAATAGAACTGGAGATGCAAGATATGACATGTTGTTTCTTGTTTTGCTTTATTCTGGTTAAGACTAACAGATTAAATTAGTTCTCCACCAACTCCCATTTTTTTTATTACACTTACAGTCAAACTATCTATCATTTAAAATAGAAGTAATTTTCTATTTATCTTTATTCTGTTGTAGTTTTATACATTTAATGTTTTATGCATACTGGTTATTTAGGTAAAAGGTTTTTACATAACTAAAAAGTTATGTAATCGACTTAAAAGAATAAATTTAACATCTATCCTCAAAGTTTGAATCTTTAAGATCTCCGTCTATGAATACAGTGTTTTGGAATTTTTATATCTTAAAACAAAAATCCTCAATAATTTCATTTTATTGTTAAGATTATCTCTTTAAAAAAAAAATAGTTATATGATAATTGGTAATGTTTTTTACTTTAATTTCATCATATCTTCATTATTAAAATTTTAGTTTTTTTTCTTTAGTTATTATCGCACATAAATTTGTGAAAAATCTGAAGAACTCTGAATTCTACGAAAAATTAATTAAGACTTTCAATTACCAATATTAAAGTACCATATTATGGCATGATGTATACAAAAAAAATGTTATTAATAGCTGGTTCCAGTATCATCTCAAGTAGAGGCCACTGAAAATAATGCAGTCTATATTAAAACAAAAATGATAAATACTTTCTAATAATAGCCACTAAATAGATTTTGGTTTATTTAGTTTATCATTATAATTTTGCCTGACCATGAATTTGTTCTAGAAGATTTTTTTATTCTTCAAGTCTGAACTAACTGTTAAAGATCCCTTAAGTTTAATCGAAAACAATTCTATTACTTAGGAGAACAATGGATCCTTAGGAACAGAAAGGAGAAGACCCAAGAACATTTCTTAATGATTCCATTCTTGGATACCCATAGATTAAAAAACTAATAAATAAATGTTTTGACCAATTACTTTACTTTCTCCTCTATCTTTGCTAGTTTTTTGAGTTAAATAATAGAGATTTTTTGTCTGCTGTATTCTTATATACTTTATTCTAACTCGGAGATGGGCAAATGATACTCTTGAGTACTGAGTAGCAAGTATTTTACTCAAATTTTACTGATCTTTTTAGAGAACCAAAGAATTTAAATACTACTTCAGTTTATATCAAACGATTAACTAAAGTAGTGATTGAATTTCCAATAGTGATTAAATTTGACTAAGTACTCTGTACTCAGCGTATTATTTGTCCATCTCTGTAACTAAATGCTTTTATAACAAATTACTTCTCTACACCATTCCTCAACCTACATTTGCTACTATGGGTACTGGTAGTGATGGGAAAAACAATTCAGCAAATGGACATAGTAGTTCTTATTGCCAACCTCTGATAGCTACTTAGAGGTTCCCACCAGTGTGGGAGTGTTAAGATTCATTTAGTGGAGCTGTTAAAAAAATAAATATTAACCAACTCGGGTTGGAATCGAACCCACATTCTGAACTGGGCGTTGTGGGACCTTGCCCCTACTTGATCAGCTTGGTATCCTCACTTTTGCTCTTACAACTGTTAAATAGGAATGAACTGAGGCATTATTCATTATTACTTATGTTATTTAGATTACGTATTTACAATTATTATTTTATTGCGGTATTATTAATTTAATTAGAATTGAAATACATACCAGGCTGCTTCTACATTAAATTGTAAATTAGCTCTTACGTTCGGCCAAATCGAATGAACCATTTTGAAAGATAGGTGAAGAAAGAAAAATATGTATACTCATCAGTAAGCGAAAATATTGGAAGAAATTGATATTTGGTTATTTTTTCACTAATCCCTAACTTTCCTCCAACATTGATACTTATCAAACAAGCCATTTTTGATATATATAGGGGAATCATGATATGTACTACTACCCAGATACCAATCCACACAATCCCTAAAAATGTCAAAAATTGAATAAACAGTAGTAGGAAATATGCTCGTATGGATTTTTACATAAAGAAAATAGACGGATAGAAGTGTGAAGGCATGTTTAAGAATATTTTAATCAGTATATAAAACTAAATTGAACAAAAAGCCTTAATTATAGAAAGAATAAAATCTCAAATTGATTTCATAGGAATATTTTTACACTTGCAGTTGTGCAAATGGAAAAAAAAAAGTTATTCATCTCCTTTCTAATTACAAAAATTATATAAAATCTATAATGCTGCCATTACAGTTATATTTTAAACTAATATTATCAAATTAAATTCTTGGAAATTAAAAGATATGCATTTTTTCTCTAATTTTTTCCCCAAACAGTGAAAACAATACTACATTTCATTGTCCTAGATAATTCTTGTTTGAATCTATTTAATATATTGTATTTTCCGGTAATAAATTTAAAAATTGTTTATTTAATAATTTTTATGTCTTAGCATAGATCTTGTATGTATCCAATAATGTATCCAATATAAATTTTAATTATTATCAAGTTAATCAAGTAGCATTTTAAGTAAATAATTAAAGAATACTAAGAAAATAAATCCTCATGTCTGTGACGGGAAGTTACTGAACTATCAACTATCTCCCATCTCTAGTTACAATCAAGTGTTGAGATCGAGATTGGCAACCATGTTGGATTAGCGAAACGAATTTAACATCCTTCTGAAAGTATAATTACATAACTACCTACATATTTATCTTTTTAATTTAAAGATAAATCTAATCCCAACTTAAAACTGTTCTACACCTGATGAACTGAAATTGACAAGCCTGTTATTAGGAGTTTCACAGTGTATATAGAATAGAATAGAAAATTGTACTATATATCTGGATCAAGATACGCGAAGAATGTAATTGTAATTATTATTTAGTGAAAATCATACATTATTATCCATCCATAATTGAGATTAGCATGTGTTGTTTTGTTTGTTTGTTTCATTATTTGACTTATCAATCGCCATATTTAAGGGTACTTGTCGTAGGAAAAATATGAATCTTTCTGAAAGTAAAATTAAAGATGAAATAAGTGATGATGCAACAGTATTATCATCAATAAGCAATAAAGGTAAACTTTTATTTCCCAGAATTTAATAACAAGAGAATGTCAGTTAACTCTCCATAAGTTTTCAGCTGTCGAGGTTCTTTTCTTTTAATTTAGAAGCTTTTCTTTTATCACACATGTTTAAAAAATCTTCATAGAACCATGTTTTTTCCAAGAGACGAGTTATCGACCGCTTTAAATTATCCCTGATTACTACACGTTAATTGTCTAAATCATCGAGGTTCTCGTAAGAAGATTCAAAAGTTCCAAACCCATTCTTAACACAGCTCGAATTGAGTTCTAATTGATGGATTTTTTAATTTTTCCAAGTTAAAGTTCTTGATATAAACGTTTTTTTTTTCTCTTTTTCAATCAACTTTTTGTCGTAGTTTTGCGATTACTAACTCACATTCTGCTCAGCGATAAGACCGTTCATTAATTATACTGCTTTGCCAGCTATGTTGTATCAAGACGTGATAAATTTGAGTTCGTTTTTGTGAATCTGGTGATGTCCAGGTATACTTATGTTTAAACGTAGTACTTTTTAATCATCAGATATTTCGATATGGCAAAGTTTATTATCAGATGGATGGCATTAGCATAACTATATTAGTTAAAACTTTCTTCATTAATCGTTGGAAAATAAACTTCTTTCCTTCCCACATTTAAGTTCGTGTCATCTACAATTACTTTAATCGTGTTTCGCGGCAGTTTATCATAAACACATTTGACTTCATAATCACTATCTTCGGTCGGACAATGTATGTTCATTAACGCGAGTTCAAACCCGCGTTCCTGAAATATGACTACTGAAATTCTATAAATAAAGAATTGTACGTCCCTCAAAGTGAATCGCAATCTACTCCTAACTAGAAACTCCATACCTAAACAATGATTCCTGCTTCCACCGTTCCACGATAACAGAAGGAAAGCACACTATTGCTTTCCTCCTCTTATCGAACCCTCTTCTGGCCAGCGAACCTCAAGCAGAGCCACAATATTGTATTCATTACTCATTAACCTCGTTCGCAACCGATTTTATTCCACCTGCTGAATTCAATCTCCTTACGTTTCACGTAACAATACCTAAATCCCTATTTTGAATCTCCTAAAGTAATTTCCCCACCCGGAGAAACGAAGGGGGACTAGTTTACCTCCGGATAACGGGCGTTTTACCTTAGGAAGATCCATGACTATTTGTGGTGTATGTTGAACTAAAGAGGTGTGAGTTGGTCAGGGAGTCCATCGGAATTAGTCGAGAGGAACTTCCACGGAATGATATATAATTCAAATTATGTTGACCAATTATTAGGTCTAGTATAAAAATAATTTCGCAATAGTATCTTCAGTATAAGTTTCTTTTTCTTTATAGCTAGTTTCTGGCGATGAACCAAAACGAGATAGTATGTACAATACCATAAGTAGTAGACAGGACAATATTTATTTAAAATGTAATAGCGAACATATTTGTTTTCCTTTTAACTGTGTGAACAAAAGAACGTGAGGAATCTGAAACAGGGAAAGAAAAAGGACCTAAAGAAAATCTTCAAGAAGTGTTGGAAGAGGTTCAATCCGATGTAATTAAATATACTTCACCACTTCAGAATATTGAAAACTTCTCGGACTCATCAGTAAATAACTTTTTTTTTTAAATTATGAATTAATAGTACTGGTTGGGTAATCCAGAAAATATTGCTTGATTATCACGGTATCATATCCTACATATCAGAGAATTTTATGTTTCATTCACCTTAAATTTTTACAGGAAGATTAAATTTTTGCATTATTTCTCACCACAAATCTGAAGCTTCGAAGAATTGAGAGTTTATCTCACTATCTCAAGCCTTTAAATAAAAACCTTCAAATATACCCATACTTAAAAAAATAACAGTTGGGTTGTTAATAATGCAGAATTTTGGTTTAAAAAGAAAGATTTACAACTGTTTTATTTAATCAAAATAGTACCCACTTCTTTCAACACATTTCTGCCAACGTGTTGGCAACTTTTCCACTCCCTCGAAATATAATTTCCCATTTTTAGAATTAGAATTTTTAGAAGACATTTTCTAATTTCCTTTGCCCATTAAATTTTTTGTCACGAAAGTAGTGGTTCAGGTGTCTAAAAAATTGATAATCCTAGGCGAGAGGTCTGGAGAGTAGAGCGGATTTGATAGTTTCGTATCCAAGCTCTAACAGTTTTTGTGTGGGCGTTGCCATACAACAAAATGGGCCTCTTCTGATTGACCAAAGATGGCTTCATTATTGCCAATTTATGATGCATGCAATTATGTGAATTATAATATGATTCGACATTGATGGTTTCTTCAGGATTTAAGAAGCTATAGTGTTTCAAACCAAATGAAGCCCACCCTACAGTAACCATCACCTATTTTTTGATGAGTTGGGGGTTTTGGAAAATGTTCAGCTACTTCTTTGTCGAGCCACTGTCCAGAACGTCTGTCTACTGTTATAGTAAAGTATTCAACTTTTCATCACAAGTAACAATTCTGGACCGAAAAGGGTCGTTTTTGTTCGGGCAAAGAAGTGTGCCACAAACTTCATAACGCTGTTTTTTTTTGGGCGGTCGTTTAATATGTGTGGAACCCAACTTTCAAGTTTTTTTACCTTTTCAATCGCCTTGAGGTGGTCATCGACGGTCGATTTGCTAAGGTTAAGTTTCCCTGCTAGTTCTAGAACAGTTGTTCTGTGGTTTTCTTTCATCAAAGAACATCGCCATCAAGAGAGGAAGGCCTTCCACGACCTTCTTTCTCTTCAAGGCTGAAGTCTCTCCCTAAATTTTTCGAACCACCGTTGAACAGTGCACTCATTAATGCTGCTCTTGCCAAAGACTTGATTGATGTTTCTGGTCGTCTGGGCCCAATATGGCCGATTTTAAACTCGTATATCAAAATTATACGAAAATCATACGTTGACATCCTAGTAAAGACTGAATTATTTCTAATCAGCGAAATGCTACAGAGGTAAACAAATATCACTTGAAAGAGGGTTCAGACAAATGAATAATTCATTAAACATATATAGTTTGTTATATAGAGAGGTATTTAAAAGAAAACTCAAAATTCTGCATTATTTCCTGGATAACCCAATAATATATAAATTTACTTTTATTATATTAATTATATTAATTTAGTATTATATTATTTATGTTGATTATTACTCATACTTTGTATAAATAATACAAACTCCCGAGAATTTTTTTGGGGGGAGGAGTCCATCTTTTTTGTGTCCTCTTCCTCCCCTTTTAGGTTATATGGAGGTTTCCGAAGGAATGGTTCCATTTTTTTTGTACTCTTCCTCGACTTTATGGGAGTTTCCAGGACTAGGGATTAATGCAAGAGTTAAAAGATCCCCTTGGCACTGGTACTATTTTAATCACATTATCTTCTATTGCAGTTGCCAGGCACTGGTGGGCGGGGTAGCCGAATGGGCTAAAGCGTGTGCACTGCACCGCCGTTGCCTGGCAACCTGACATATGAATACAAAGATATAAAAATAGTCACGAGTTCGCGTCCCGGTCCGGGGGAGTCTTTTAAATCCCCGTCCACACTCCCTGGCCCGGGAAAATCCCGTATAGCCTTAATGGCGAGGAAGGGAAGGACCCAAAAAAAAAAAAAAAAAAAAAAAAAAAAAAAAAGTTGCCAGGCAACTGGTTAACCCACTAGGCCAACCCACCCCTATGGGAGGGTCCATCAACCCTCTCTCCAAACCAGAATAGAAAGTCTACGCCGATGGAACAGTTTATTATTATATTAAAAAGAGCAGAAACGCCTATCACTACTCCCTCCATGTCCATTTCAGTTAAAATCGGGGCTTTAATTACATCTCCACTTTAAGCTACCCCTTACTCAAAAGTAGTTAACAAACCCTCAAAGATTCCTTTTCAGTTGAGGTTGGGGCATTACATGAAGGTTTGATGGTTCTGTCTACACATTTGGCCATTCACGAGATTCTATTTATGGTATGATGATGAGGTCTTGTGCCACCAGTTGAGATACTTGTAGTTTTTCAAAATTCAAATATTGATATTTTTAATACTTTACCGAAAATAAAAATCTATTGAATAATTAAATGAAGGAGAATAATTCTAAAGCCTTCAAGTCATCAGATATCTCTTTTTTTTTTTTTACTTCAAATATCTATCCACATCTGTCATGATAGTGACAATCAGCAGATTCGTGGTGTTAACTTGAATGATTGGCATGAGGACATTTTTTCTTATAGTCAGTTTAAATTTTTCTGGCCCTGTTATATTATTATCATTATAATTATCAACTGTAGCATGGCAGGAGATATATAGTTTTTGTTAATTTACAAAAGAAAATCCTCATTAAAATGTTCTCCATTTCAGAGTGATTCAGATATTATAGAAGAAGCAGAAGCAGAAGAAGAAATAAATTTGGAAACTTGTAGTGCCCGGGATTATATTGAGCACACAGTTGGACAAATATTATTAATAGGATTAACTATACTTGAACGTGAAAGGTAAAATTTATAAATAAATAAATCACATTTTTCAAATGCCTCAATAATGAACAGAGCAAGGTCAGTAAAACTACCAGGTTTGCCCACTCAGAGGGAAAATGGTGGGGAGGAATTGAGCTCTGACGTAGCCAAAAGACTGATTTTACCCCTCCGGCCTTTGTTTCTGGACATTTTAAGATTATTATTTACTTTTATACATTAAATCAATACTGTATTGCCAAATAACTTATTAATTTTAATAAATTTGAAAGGTGAGAGAAAGGTTGATTTGATATTTGGTTTATTCTGAAGCAAATAAAATGTAATTTAACAAGTTGATGTATGATTTTTTGCAAAGTACCACAATACTACTTTTTAAATATTTCAAATAAATACAAAGCGTAATATAAAATAATAGAAATATTGAAAAAAAAGAAAGAAAAAGTATCTAATCTAACATTAAAGAAGCGTTTTCTTTCCGTGAATTTTTGTAAATATTACATTTTTATGTCATAAATAATCCTGTGTAGTGATTTTTCTCAAGTATTTTGGCTTTGATTTTATGTTTTCTTAATTGTTGTAAATACCCGTTGCTGAAAGAAAGGCTTTCTTCATTAATTTATACATTTTGTTTCCCAAGGAAAAGATAGTAATTTTTTTTACAATATTTTTACATTTACATTTTAAAATCCAATCTTTTCTTTGAACATCCTTCGGAAAAGTATGAAATGAAATTTTCTTTCCCATCTTCTTTGTGTCAATTTGATTATTGTTGCAAGATGCAACTGCACATTTTGTAAATGGCATTCTATATGATTCTATTAATAATTATGTTATGAGAAATACAAGAAATACTAATAAGAACGAACGAATTCTCTGTAACATGTTATTAAAAATAAATATTCGTTATAATATTATTTTAGAGACGGATAAGTAGTTGACTGTTAAGATTTAAGATTATAAGGTGAAAATAAATTATCAGGATTTGCAGTAAAATTTGTTTATTTTTTAAATTAATTTTATTTATTTAAAGAAATTTTGATTGCAAACCCTGACAAAGATCTTCACCCTTATAATATCGTTATAATAAGAAATTCTCACGAGATCTACAAACAAAATGACACAAGCATTGTGTTAAAATTTCCTTTAAATAAATATAAATCTTAGTTTTTTCTATTTATGTAATATATTTACATATTAACTACAGAGATTTTGAAAAATAGAATTTATAAATAATCTTAATATCAATTTCGTTCTTTTCATTTCAGGCCTGGCCTGTAATTTTCATAGCATTTTATTTTAGATTGATAGCCGTATTTATTTATTTACACACTCTTCGATCTAACGTCAAAAACACAGAAAACTATTCTTCTCAATAAATTAAACAAGAAAACAAAAAAAAAAGCACAATAATGTTGAAATAAGCCTTCATTGGTAAGCTTGAAAGCGTAATAGGTAGGTCTTGCAGTCTATTCCTTACGTCACGTTTCAAGTTCTCCCACCACGCATTTCTGAGTGAGCGAACCTGGTAGTTTTATTGACCTTGGGATGGACTACTATCTGCCAATGTTTATAACCTGAACACTGGTAATTCTGATAATCCTTATCTTCATATTATTGAAATTGTAAACAAAAACAAAAGTAATAATAAAAAAAATACTTTTATTTTACAATGAATATATGAAATAGAAGAAAATAAAGGTAATAATAACAAAACAGTTTGATTTGAAATTAAAACAGACAAAGAGAAATGTAATAATTCCCGCAATAAGAAAAAACTTTCATTTTACAACATATATATTATATATATATCTATTTCGACGACTTTGCCAGGCCCTCCAATTCTTATCCTTGACCTGTATAACATGTTATGGGCACAAACCTCTTGTAAAAAATTGTTCCACATTATCATAGTTGTCTTGGATAGTTTCAGCTACTCTTTGCCCCACTCTATCATTGTTAAATTATGGGAACATCCATAAATTAACTTTAAAGCTGTTAAAAATGAAATCCTTACCCCTCTAACCAAGTTCCTAAGTACTTATAGAAAAGTTTTTATTACAAGTGGTACAATAGCATCTCCATTTCAACTTCCGTTCTAACTTCATTTTATGACCTTCTTCACACAGTATCACGTTTGAAATTATCCCAGCGTTTTGAAAATATTCGATAGCCTCTTCTTGTGAAGACCGCAATTCCCACAATGTAATAACATCCATAATTTGAAGTAAATCACACAAATTGAAGAAAAATAAACAATGGAATAACTCACAGCTTACAGGAGATAAAAAGGGAGGTTATGTGACTTAACATTAGACAACCAGGGAGGTTTCGTCTGGACTGGCTACCAGACAAGTACTGGTTTCTGTTACCTAATGGTGAGGAAAAACATTTCTAGTTTATTTTGAAATCAATGGGCTTCAGTTGAATTATGTAACACTTAAATATTTAAGATGGTTTAAAAGTCAAGAGTATTTCTAAATGTGATAGCTTTTTTATAAACATTAAATTTATAAATTGATGCTTTAGCTGCAAAAAGGTCTGCACATACTCTAAAAGTGGGTTTTGAAATATGATCTGGTAAGGATTTTAAACTTCTTTGAAAATGTTTATGCTGTGCAACAATTCCTTTGGGCATATCAGTACTTTAAATTCTAAGCAAATTAGGCCATGTTTTTCCAATCTGATAAAGAAATATCAGAATTAAAACTATAATTATCTTACATGATCTTTTTGGTGGAGAACATAAATGAAAGCTATACTCGCACATAACATTTTGTTCTAGAGTTACAACAAACAAACCATAATGTGAAGGTTGAGATTCATTCCGTGGCTACTCCACAAAATAAATTTCAAACCATTCAGAGTGGATTTAAACCAGCATCGCTAGAAACATGAATGATAAAACGGACAACGCTCTAATATGTTCAGCCTTCATAACCTCTACTAAACATAGCTGGTTGTTCATTTCTGATTCGTTCGTTTGTCTATTTGATGCATCTAATCATTCTGTCTAAACATTCTCCTAGTAACGTCAAGCTATCCTAGTAGTTACTAATTGTTTGGAACCTTCTGATACTTCCTATCACCCTGGCCTGGAGACTATATTTAGGAGACCTTAACAGGCATATAAGCCCACAAAAACTTTATTTATTTCTTGATTGGAATAACATCTTGAAAAAATATTCTTGAAATCAAATTGAAGTCATTAGAGCATTCAATAGATTAAAAAGAGTAAATGTCATTGTCTCAATTATTTCATAAATTCAATTCATACTTTTTGGAAATAAATTTTATTCAGCCTTTTTTATTTTTTAAATATGTATCATTAACTCTTATTCTATCAATATCATAGGCAAACATTGGCCAAACCAATATTATAATTTATTTATTTATGGTTTATTATGGAAGGCATATTTTTTGAAAATACTATAGGTTTTAAGATCAAGCAATCTTGCATTGTTTAATTTAAAATTTTCAGATTTATTCAAAGGTTTATTATTAAGTTATCAAAGGTACAGTTTTCAAAAATATTATTTATTTATGCATTGACATCTTCTATCTATTATCTATTTGTTTCATATCATTTCATTTGCTTATATCGATATTAGGGTCTTCTGTTATGTTGTTGAAGGTGCAGAGTCTGTGATTTTAAAATAAACATTATTTTTGAAAACCAATTCTTCAATAACATAATAAAAAATTTAATTAAATTCAAGTGATTTACAAAAAACTGTGCATTTTATAAGATAACTTTAAGAGAATAAAATAAAAGTCGCGTATCATCATAAAGCCTGTCTTTGATGGACAGAAACATATCTGCATAAAAGCACAAATAGCATAACTTTTTATTTTATTTTTTACTGTGTTAGTGGTTGACTGATGTTTCTGTATTAGTACATTCAGAAGCAAATAAAATTATTTTTATTTTGCATATTTGAAGATAAATGTATATTTACGCAAAATATTTTCACTTCAACTAAAAGAAATTTCAATATAAACATAACAAAGATTGAGAAATAAAACAAATTATGACTTTAGATAATTTGCACTCACCTTTCTTCTCTACAATTATGACCTTTTATACAATGCATAACTCTATTCTTTAAAAAATAAAATAAATTAAAACTGAATAATTACATTATTGCATCATCACCAAAGCAGTGTTTTTTTTAGACCAGAAAACCCAATTAAATGGCTTGCCCGATTTCTCCTATTTAATAAAGATCATCCATGTGAATTGATAGGAAAACAATTAGAGCAGGAGAGTTTTGAACTAATCAAACTTCCAGAACACATAAAGAAGGTTATAATGGAAGACTTACAAGACCTCGATACTGTAGTTGTCAATAAATTGGTTTAAAACAGAGAATCTTTCTTTATTTAAAAACTCACAGAATCAATTAGATCTATAATTTCTTCTCAATTTCCTTTTTTCATGAGTATCTTCAACTCAGTGATTCTTCTTATCTTCTCTATTCTTCACCAGAACTCATTGCATCCATAAATTTTGAGAAGAAATGATCACTGAGGAGGGTATCTTCTTCGTGTTCAGAACCTTCAGCACTCAAATATCTAAACATGAAAATTCTTAATTTCATAAATCTTTCTTTCTCTCAAATACATATTATCAAGATTTAATACATATTATATGTTAAATTTAAATAAAATAGAACTAACTGATCAAATGAAGAAGGGCTCAGGGCATCAGTCGGTTCAACATATATTTCTCTTCCAGGGCACAAGTCAACCCTTTCCTTCTCTGAACATCAAGAGCTAGGCAAATGTTTTTCAAGCAGTGGGGACAGGAAGCTGTTTGAGGAAATACGGTACAGTTCACTGACAGATAGCCAAAAGTCTTCTGTATAAAAACATTAATATAAATAAAAGCAATTATAATATAATATATCAGTCAAAATATTATAAGACTGATTGAATGAATAACATGAGATCTTAAAAAAAAAAAAATGGTTTAGTAAATTCTAATTTTTAATTATCGGACGAGGAGGCGCAAGCTAAGTAGTTTTGTCACAGAAAAGGAACAAACATTTTGCATCTTTAACCTAATCTTAACCTTCCTTTTAATTTCATTTTTTCTAGTTATCGTAGACTCTTGATACATAAACTTCTCTGCGTGTTCAAACATAGATAAATATGGATCCTAAACATTTACATAATTTTTTATACCTTTGTACAAGTTTCTTAAATTATTTCTGATTCTATCATTTTATTTTAAAGATACTCCCTTTTTTTTATTTTTGATCACTTTAATCGTTTCATTCTTTGAGGCTCGGAATTATTTAAGATTGTTTTCACTTGGATCATTTACAGCTTTAAATTTAGCGAGTTACATTATATTAAAAATTGATAAGTATTACATTGATATAATGAGTTTATGTAAAGGTGAACTTCCAGTAAGCCAATTTTGATAAAAAAAGTTGCTATAACATCCGAGGCATATACAAATCTTAAATACACAATTTCAGTTCATGGCTTTTTCTTTTTGAGTTGGACTGTTCACACACTCACACACAGATCATTTTATGAGATTAGGTTTTTTGGACTCAGAGGATCTTGAAATGTGCATTGCCTTGAGAACTCTACTTCAAAATTTTTTATGATCTCAATAATTTCTCTTATGAGATATTTCATATATAATAATAATGCTTTATTTATTCTGGAACGAGTCCCTTTAGAATAATACAGAGAGACAAAAATGTATAAAAAAAAAATAGATAATGAAAAAAAAATAATAAGAGAAATTATAAGTTACTTTCTAATTTACATCAGTTAATAATAAAAAATAAAAATTGAAAATAAACATGAAGTAAAAATAATAAAGAACGATCTAATAATTTATATACATATTTACAGTAGTAACTATTTACAATTTTATGATGACTGGATGGATAAGAAATGATTAAACAGTTGGGATTTAAAGGTAGGAAGGGTTTTGGATTGATGGATGTGGGGAGGGATGGAGTTTCATAGGGAAAAGGATCGAATAATAAAAGATTTATCGAAAGCAGCGGTTCGGTGGGCCTTTATATATAAATCTGTAGACCGGGAATGGGTATTGCGGGAATGGACAGAGGATTTAAATTGAAGGAGCTCGGCGATATATGAAGGACGGTGGGAGTGAATTACTTAGAAGAGGAAGGATGCCAGGAAATACTTACGGCGATAGGAAGGATAAAGCCACTTCAACTCTTCATAGAAACAGGAAACAGAGGCGTCTCTTGGGATCCCGAAGATGAATCGTACAAAGCAATTTATCAAAAGTTTTATAGTGTATAGGTAAGTGAAAGTACTAGAAGTTAACTTTTCATTCAAAGCCCTGCTTAATACAAGTTTTGAATTAATAATGTTTGAATTGTCCATGTCTGTATGACAGAGTTGGTATCTAAACTTTGAGGCAGAGATGGGGAGGGAAATACTACTCTAGGTACTGAGTATTGGGTTTATTACTCAAATACTGACCTTTTCTGAGTACTAAAGAATTTAATTACTACTTCAGTTGATGTCAAACGATTAACTGTAGTAGATTGATTTCTCGATAGTGACACAAGTTGAGTAAAACAGAGTATCATTTGCCCATCTCTGCTTTGAGGCACATTGTTCAAAGTAATTAGCTAAATATGAACCTTTTTTCAGTACTTGAAAAGTGCCACCACAATCTTGAATGCTATTGCAGCTCAAATTCACATGATACTTCTTCGATGCAAATACCCGATTGTGTTATAGTATAAATTATGAAGTAAATATATTATTTGTCAATTTATAATTCTATGGATGGTGATTAGTAGAATCTGATAAACCAAACTTACGATCTACATAAAGTGTATCCTCAGCTACAGCCATAGAAAGAAATCTAGAAAATCTGTCAACAGCTACAACAAGGGATGTTTCCTTGAGATTGGAGTCGGAAGAACAAATTCTGGAAGAAGCAGCAGAAAGATGGCACACAAGAGGTTTTAAATCTTCACTAACTAACAGGCTTCCACCTCTGAAAATGCTACACAGAATATTGTACAATTCAGTATAGACTTCTCCTCGACCATTTAAGCAAGACATCACACTCCATCTGTAAATAAAAAAAATAATAAAATAATTTTTGTATCTGGTTAAAATGAAATATTAATTTTAATGCAAAATTTCATAGTTTACACGAATAAGCCAAGGTAAGGAGTCGGTGGTCGGATTCCAGGAATGAGAATGCAATTTTCTTTTAAAGGAGCATGGCACAGATCCTGATGTTCTCTAACCCATCTTGTTATAACTTCTATGAAGCAGTCTGGAGGAAAGTGTTGCCAAGAAGCGCCATCTAAATAATGATAAAAATAATTTTAAATTACTAAATTATTACTAAAAAATTAGGAAGAGTTGACAACACTTCCTGCATTGAATTGTTAAATTTTGTAGCATCAATTTTGAACATGTATGCTACTTTTGAAAATTGCATGCCAAGTGGTGAAGTAACCAACCAATAGTGAAGCCAACATAAAGTTTTTTTATCATACATGTTAAAAAAATCTATAATTTACCTCAATTTGAACCCTCTAAATCCTTTTATTGGAACTGGTCATGGGAATTAGGGTTCACATTACCACTTTTATGAGAGCTCGTCAAGGAAACTACAGTTTCCAAAACCTATAATCGCTGCTATAAATTTATAGATCCATAATTTCCACATAGATTCTGTGGACAGAAGCTGTCTTTGGAAAATAATGACTGAATTGGGAATTCTCGGTAAGTTGGTGAGATTGACAAAGGTGTGTAAAAATGACCCCGAATATTAAGTCCTAATACAAGGAGATGGACTATCAACGATGTTGTTCAACTTAGCCCTGGAGAAGGTGAATGAGCAGCATCACAGGAAAATGGAGGGGTCCACATCGGAATGAATCATAAAATCCTCAGATATGCAGATGATATAGCTGTCCTTGAAAGTAATCAAGAGGACATTGAGAAACTCGCTACAACTCTGATAAGAGAGGCAGAGCAGATCAGCCTATATGTAAATGAAAACAAAACAAAATATATGATAATAAGCCAAAAATTCCACTCCAATCAGCGTAGAAGGAAAATCATTCCCGAGAGTAGAAAAATTCAAATATCTCAGGGCTCCAAAGTAACCTCAATGAATGACCAATGGGCAGAAATAGAGCAGCGCATAACTAGTGCAAACAGAGCTTTATCCTCCCTCTCAAAGGCATTGAAATTCCGAAAAATCTCAAGAAATCTGAAATTAAGGATGTACAATGATAAAGCCAGTAATTTGTAGCTGACAGACCTGGACACTAACCAGCACCCTAGAAAAAAGTGTTGAAAGATTTGAGAGGAAAATCCTCTGCACGATAACCAGAGCGATCTGGGATCAGGGTACTAACACATGAAGAAGAAAGACCATTAAAGGACTTCTTACAGAAACTGATTAATAAATATCCCATGATAAGAATGCACAGAGGTTAAGATGAACGGGGCATGTTGTTCGTAGCAATCCATCTAGAAGCCTCTAGGTAACAATGAATGCCTCAATAGAAGGCAAAAAAAAGAGCACGTGGAAGGCAAAAAAGCAGATGGATAGATAGAATCAACAAAGATGCAATAGAGCTGCATGCAGATAAATGGAAATAAATATCCCAAGACAGGCAGAGATGGAGCAGGCTTGTTAAGATGGCAAAAGATCTACATGGTCTGGAATGTCGAAAGAAAAAAATCCATATTTTCGAATCTCTTCCATAATTAGATTTCAGAAACTCCCCCAAAAATATATATATATGAATTTACTCAATGAAACTACTTAATTCAACTAGTGCAGATTATTAGTTAATAGTTAATAAAAAAAAAATGATTCTTTTGAAAAATAACACTCAATTACTACGAGGAGTACCAATAACTGTTTTACAAAATAGATCATAATGGTTTCTATTATCATAAATTAATATATAAAAGAACAGTACATTTTTTGTTTTTAACTGCTAACTATAAAAACTACAGTTTACACACTTTTTTAACAAAATGGTCAGTGTTGTACCGTGAACGTTTTGAACTATTACAAACTCAATATGTATGGTAGAAAAAATTTGTGGGAGGGGTGGCCGAACGGGCTAATGCACAACACCACCGTTGCCCGGTAACCTGACATAGGACAATTGATAAAAATAATGACGACTTTGCGTACTGGTGCAGGGGGTCTTTTAAATCCCTACTCTCACACCCTGGCCCGGGTGGAGGACCACAAAAAAAAAAAAAAAAAAACAGAAAAAGAAAAATACAGATACCAAACCAGATTTGATCCTTCATGTCTGAAATGCTAAATATGAGTGGAAATTTTCGATTCTGAGCACAAAAAAAGTTTTTAAACCTCCCACACAAATACAAACCTACCTCTGGTAATGAGGAACTAAGAAACTAAACCCGATCTCGTTATAAACCATGTTTTGTTGAAAAAATAGGAAGATAACTACTAAAAAATTTTATTTTCAAATTAAATGATTAAATGTTTCTACAACTTTGAGAATACAATGTAAGCCAAATATTATTAAAATTACCACTTCTACATTGAAATTTTACATCTAACCTAATTGAAATAAAGGTGCAAAATGTATGTAAAAAAAAAAATCATGCAATATCTTAAAATTGTAATTTTTTCTTAATAAAACATCAGTATCTCAAATAAAAGACTTTTTTCTATAATTAGAGACATTCAAAAGTTAACCTTGCTTTAGTATACTCCCTCCTTATCTTACCCAAGCACTTATAATAGTCTGATTGTCTTGACTATCTAAAGGTAGACTTTGGTGGTACTGTCCACCATATTGTTTGGGCATGATTTCCAACCATTATTGCAGCAAGAGATAACGTTATATACATTTGACAGTTGAGTAAAGCCAACAAAATATGACCAATTAAATTCTCTCAAAGTATAGTCAACTTTCAGCTTTTAAGATGAGAAGTATCAACAAAAGTCTATCTTAAGATTTTGTTATTCATTTTTAGTTAAAGTCAACTCAATAGATAAGTTAGTTAGTAGTTAACTAATTTAAAACCCCATATTTTACATAGCACATATCATTTAAATATGTACAATTTCTTTTACCAATACAAATGTATCCATATGCTAGTGCCGAGAGGAAAATTGCAGTAAACAATGGTGCGATTTTAGGCAAGTCGATTACGACCTGACAGTTGGCGTTGACCAAAATGAAGAATTCCTCAACAAGTCCACGGGCTACTTTTCCAGAAAATGGAGTTGAACACCCAGCTTGCTGTAGAAGAATACTGGCTGCTTTTAGGACTGGAGTATTCCTTGTAGAAATGGCAAGAGAAATAAGTGACACCAAAAAGTGTATCCTGAAATGGAAGGAAAAACAAAATTGAAAGAATATAATGATTTGTATGATATGAAATGTTAATTTTCTTTAGAATAACATTTATAAAACATCAATGCATATAATTTTAAAAAATGCATTGATACACTGCAAATTATTAAAAAATGGTTTATTTTCAAATAGTTATGTATCAAAAATAATAAATGTATCCACTCGTCCAGATTTCTTTACAGCTTTGGGTGTTAATCCAATACATAAATTGTTTGCTATATCTTTGTTAGTATGGATTTGATTAAAATTTTTTGGATACCATTGTAGTAAAATAAGCATATGAAATACATTTTGGAGATGTTCAATTATCAAGAAATTAAAAAAAAAAAATTACATTCCTTTCATTGACGACGTTTTGGCTTCATGAGCTGTTCTCAATTATTACAACTGTAGAAAGACTTTACAATGGTTTAAGCATAGGTTGCTGCCACATAAATAAAATGGAAAATTAAAGATCACAAAAGTACCAAAAACTAGATACTGGACTATCCCAACACAACATAAATAATGGATATAGTTTAATTTCAAAAATGTATCTTTTTTGCATAGAGAGGAAAATACTAATAAATGGAGAATTATGAACATTTATAAAAACAAAACAAACATAAAACAGACGTTTAATCAATACATGGGCGTGGATAATTTGAACACTTTTTAGAATAGAATAGAAAATTAAACTTTATTCTGGGACTAAGTCCCTTTAGAATAACAATGATGAGTTAATACAAAGTAAAGTACAATTTTTATGCCTATTAAACATGAGAAACTAATGTGGATAGGTGTGAAGTGTGGGTAAAAAATAGAGTATGCCTTCAATATATATATATATATATATATATTTTATTTTATTATATATATATACGTATATATATATATATATATATATACATATATATATATATATATATATATATTATATATATATATATATATATATATATATATATATATATATATATATATATATATTTATATATATGATTTCTAACCCCATCATTTCCACTACTAAACATAATAATCGAGTCTTGAGTAGATAGAGAGCCAAGTAAAAGTGGATATGAGGGCTTTCACCAAACCAACACATATTTATGATCAAAATATATTATTTTTAGAAATAAATGTAACACTATAATAATTTACATATAATTTTATTTAATAGTAACAAAATTATCTAATAATAATAATAATAAGGCTTAGCGAACCCGAAGGTTCGATGCCGACACCACCAATCGCTTGTTACACACCTCCCTCCACAGTTCGCCGTCCAAACCCAGTCCCTTCAGATCGGCTTTAATGCAATCCTCCCATCTTCGCTTCGGTCTACCCCTCGGACGCTTACCATTCGGCACAGCAAATATTAACCTTTTAGGAATTCTCTCGTTACTAAGCCCAACAACTTTACAAGCCCATTTGATTCGCCGCGATGAAATTACCTCAATTATATTACCCGGATACATCTCACGCAATTCGGCGTTGTGTAACCGTCTGAACTCTCCGCTTAACTCATCCTTTTTCAGTCCGAATATTCTACGCAATACTTTATTTTCAAAAACCTTAAGACGCTGCTCATCCCTTAATGTAAGCGGCCAAGTTTCGCATCCATAAAGAACTGTAGGTAAGATAATTGTTTTATAGATTCTAATTTTTAAGTTTCGGGACAAGAGGCGCGAACTAAGTAGTTTTGTCACAGAAAAATAACAAGCGTTCCCCGCCTTCAGTCTAACCTTAATTTCTTCTTCAATTTCGTTTTTTCTAGTTATCGTAGAACCTAGATACCTAAACTTATCTACCTGTTCAAAGATATTACCATAACAATTAAAAAATGAACAAAATTACCTAGATATGAAATATATCAAGAGGACGAATTTAAATAAAAATGATATAAAAAATAATGAAAATGGTGTATGATAGGTAATTAAAATTAAAAATATATAAACTAAAATAATCTAAATTAATTATATTATATAATATAATTAGATTATATAAATTACATAGGAATATGACAATGTACAGTACAAGTCAGAAGTTTAGACTCACTTGTATTTCATTCACAATCTTCAAGATTAATAAAATAATTCTAACTCAAGAGATAACATATTAAACACAAACATCCAACATGAGTATGATTTATTTGATAAACTAAAGTAATGTAAACCCGCTAGATCAGTGTAAAAATTTCAATACCCTCTAATATTGCTGATCAAAAACTTTTTCTCATAGCCTAATTTTGTCAAACAATAATTTCTGTTAAAAGTAGAGGAAATAGTGAAGCTTGTGTGATGCGGGCAACAGATTTTCTTACTTTCACTAAGTTATCTTTTTTCCCTCTCATTCATCCCTTTCTGACCCAGGATATGAACACGTAATCTAACATTGGAAATTGAAAAGCTGTAACTTCATTAATAGTTGTCCGAAATGAACGATTTTTATATAGTTTTGTAGGGAATTTCGTTAACTTACAAAAAAACAGGCAAAGAGAGACAGGCCAATGGCTTAAAATGTGTTTTTCGGACTCAGAGGCCTCTGAAACATATAGATCCGTCTAAAACCTCATATCAGAAATTGGACCCGATCGCAATACTTTCCTTACCTAGTATAGATAGGAAAATAATAAATTAAAACATGTGTAGAAAATAGAATAAGCTGTATCTTCGCTATTACTGGTTCGATTCCGATGTTTCTTTTGTTTGTTTTGTTGGTAATTTAATTATCTTTTAAAAATGTTATTATAAATTTTACCATAGAATATATGCTTAGCGAGTTAGGCCCAAAAACTTTTTCTTTTCTTTATAACTTTTATTCCTGAATTTTCTCGTAATTTTAGGTCATATATGAAAATTGAAAGGACAATTATTAGAACATTATAGGAAAGTTTCATAAAAATTGTTAGAGTCGTTTTCGCACTACAGTCTTTAGAAAAACATGTTTTTCATTTATTGAGCAGCAGCTATTGCGCATGGAGCACCCAATTTGTGTCACAGGCAGCAGTAGTCAAAACCCTACAAAATAAAAAATAAGCAACAAAACCGGTTCACTAGCTCCCGAGAAAATTTTGGCACAGACAGACCAATGGCTAAAATGGACCAATGGCTGTGTTTTCCGGACTCAGGGGGTTCTGAAATTTATAGATCCGTCGAAAAACACATTACGGAAATATGACCCGATCGCAATACTTTCCGTACCTAGTATAGGTAGGAAAGTAAAAAATTGATTTTAAAGTTTTATTTAGAATATCCAGTAAATATTTTTAAAAAATGTTAATTTAAAAACCAGAAGTGAGAGTTGAAACACATAGGGAAGGCAACTCGACTACACAAATTGCATCTACGACTAAGGTTTCTCAGACTGCTGTGATAAGTAGGAGATCACATTTAAATAGAGGGAATAATTAAAGAAAACAATATCATGGAATTTCCAGCATCACGATTTTCCATGTGGGCAGAAAATTGTGGGTCAAGGATTTGTTTTTCAGCAGGATAATGTACCAAAGCATTCTTCTAAATTTTGTAGAAACTTCATGGAAAAAAAAAAAAAAAAAAAGAAAAAAGTACCTAAATACATGACGTAGCCATCTCAATCCCTTTATCTCAACCTCATTGAACTGTTGTTGGATGAGCTTGAGAGAAACGTTCGGGAAACACAATGTACCAATCAAAACAAACTTTCTCAATCAGAATATTGCAAAAATTAATAGAAAAAAAATACCATAAATATGCAATGCTCTGATTAAGGCACAGGGGAATATTTAAAAAAATTGGACAATTTTCATAATTTGCAAATAAAGTTATAGTTGTTATGTAATAATTGTATTTGTATTTATTAAAATAAAGCTGATTTGTTATTATTTGAGGCATACAAATTTTGTTATTTATTTATTTTACAAAATCCAAGGGTGAGTCTAAACTTTTGACCGGTAGTGTATATACAGAAAGTTAAAAATTGATTGTGTTAAAATTGGAATATTTTAATCATCCATGAAGAATTATAAAAATTGATATAGATAATACTTCAGAAAGATTCATGAAACCGTTAAATTGTCAATAACACGAATGTAATAAAAACGTGTCTTTTTTGGTTACCTTAAGCCATATATCTGTTAAAGAATAAATAATAAAATGAAATCAAACAAAAAATATGACAAACAATTAAATAAAGGTAATTTTTTTTGTAAAATTCTTCACAAAACATGTGCAAAAAGTTCATTACACAATATATTTGCTATTACCGATTTTTTTTTTTTTTTAAAGGAATTTAATTACCTTTTAGGTGATAAAAACACTTTATATTTCCCCTTTGTTTTTAAAAATGGTAGAGACTTGGGCATATGAAATCTCTAATCAGTCCTCATTGTTAATCAAAATGGAGGCAGGTAATGTCGAGTTATTAGGATCACCCTGAAGTGACCTATGATTTTTTTTTGTGTCAAATCTCAAAACAATGTCATGAACGGCAGCTGGACCATTTTTTAATATTTTGCTTTTTAGTTAATACATGAAGGTAACTGGCCACTGGACATTCCAGAGGATACCGAATAACTTCAATTTTTAAGATTTGGATGTTTAACTGGACCGATATTTAAATTAATCATAAAGGAAAATCAACCCATGCTTATATTTAATGTTGTGTTTTAATCAATAATTGATATGTAATTGTATTTAATCTTATTTCCCTAAAGTCACTCTCAAAATTGGCTACATAACAAAATGATCAGGTATAATTTTTAGACAAAATCAATTTATAAGAATGATTAATTTAATAACTTAAATAAGCAAGCAATCACAAATCTATATGTTGTCAGAATACAATAAAAATACATATTCACAGTAACTGTAATGAATTTATTGTTTATGGTTAACTGAAATTATTAACAACAGTTAACAACAGCCTTTGATAACTAACTAAACTTATATGCATAATTTTCCAAACTTAAAATACCGATAAAATATTATAATTCAATAGTCCCTCGGGTGTCAGTTATGACACAACTCATTCACAAATTAAGCAGCTATCATTCTTTTAATAATATTTTGTATGTGTAATCACAAACCATTATAGGTAAGGTGTTATAAAAATGAGAACCCAAAATATGTAAGATTATCAACAAACTAAAATTCTAAAACATAAAAGTAAATTAAAGTAGTAAGAGTATGACTAAACTTGGTGAGATTTTTTTTTTTCCAAAATACATACTTGTAATTTTGATGATACATTCAGAAATGTTTAAAAATTTGAATGAAGAAGCAACCAAAATTTACGGTTTCAAAACAATATTCAAGAATTTAAAAATAATTAAAACTTAAATGAATAAACACAACAGAAAAAAATAAAATAAAAGAAGCTACGTATTATTGGTACTCACATGAATATTATATTGCAAACAATATTTTTTCTGAATGACCATCACTTGATTGTAGAGGTCAGTATCACCAATGGAACGAGGGTTCTATTTTCTTGAATCTTGAGAATTTCTCTCAAATAAGAAATAGGCCCGGAATGGATTCATTCAACCTTGCGAATGAGTAGCTAATTGAGTATAGAAGTAGCCCGGTCTAGAAAAGTGAAATTAGGGTTGTAAGAAAATAGGTAAAGCTGATCATGGCAGCAACTGATTTGACAGACATTATCTCTTATAAGAGATATTTAGTCAATTTTTCTTTCCTGAAACATAATACTAATTCTTACTAGTCTCTATAAGCTGCTCACATATTTATACCTAAAATGGCAAAAATGGTTCTGTGAGCCTTCAATGAGCTGGAAGATTATAGTTCAATTAAACTAAAGATATTCACATAAATATTAAATAGAATTTACATAACTTGGACCACTAAACTTTTTATCAAGTTATTTAGCAAAATTCCTCTACTTCAAAGAAAAAAATAATAGTTAAACTTCTGTATTAGAATGGCTCTATTTACAATGCAATGAATTACATTTACATTACATTAAATTTATTCTATTTATTTATTATTTTAAATTTATTATACATTAAAAATACTGACTCGTTATAAAATAAAATGTATTTTATCAATTTGCTAAATGCTTTGTAATGCTATTCTGAGTGAGCGGCTAGATCAATTTTTAAGTTTGATGGCTCAAATTATTCAGCGAGATCCTCTGGGATAGGGGTTCCAGATAAACAAATAGGAGAACTATTAATTGTGTATTCTGGACAATGAGGTATCAAGTAAAAAGGAAATACTATCGAGAAGATACAAATGCTAATTTATTTTCTTTGATCCTAGCTAGGTTGTTTCAAACCTGCAAGTCCTTGGACCAAAAAGAACAAATCAGGTTTTAAAAATTTCTAGGTGGACATGAAGAGCATGCATCCAAGGAACATACCAGGCAATGTTTAAAAGCCTTGAAGTTGTTACAGTTTTTGAGATAATGAACGATAAGTGTTGCCTGGCGCAAGAGGCCACCTAATTGTAACGTTGCCATAGAATACTTATTACATGTTGTATAAATTTTATTAATGATTGAAAAAGAAGTGATATGTTCTTTTCCATGTCTAATTTTAAAATAATGTTAGATATATTTATTATTTACTGCCCATTTTATACAGATCCAATTATTTTGTCCAAGGTGTTTTTCTTCGTTTCTTCAAGACCTCAACATAATTTTTATAATTTATAATATTAGCTGGTAATAAATGATAGTTATATATCGTCATTAAATAAAAAAAAATTAATCATGAGGTGAATTTGATTTACAATGTTAATTCATTATAAAACAACCATTTCAAAAGAAAAAGTTCAACAGGTCCCAGGCATCACAAATGAAGTTTAAGTATTTTTAATTAGAAGATCTGTAATAGTTATAGAAAAATGAAAAAAAAAAAATTACATTGATTTCAAGGAACTAAATTACTAAATCTTTGAGCTTCACACACTACAACCACATGATAAGCAGTATAACAATACCTATTTCCATTTGAAACCCATAGGCTTCTAGTCACTTCCTCAATATTTTTCCACTTTGACTATTGCTGTACGGTAAATGGTAGCATCTCTGAGGATCTCAAGGCGAAACTAAAAAGTTTAATAAAATGCTTTGTAAGATTCATTTTCAGGATCCCTAGGGGCCCCCCTGTTTACCGTTTTTATGAAGAGCTGAAGCGAGTTAATTCTTCCAAACATTGTAAGTATTACCTGGCATCCTTCTTCTTCCAAGTCATTTAATCCCGACATTCTTCATGTATAAGTGAGCTCCTTCAATTCAAATCTTCTATTCATTCCCGTAGGTCTAACATCCGTTCCTGGTCTTCAGATTTATATACAAGGGTCCACTGAACTGCTGTTCATTATTCGATCCCTATCCTTATGGAACTCCATTCCTTACTATATCCGTAGCTCCAATACCTTCCTTACCTTTAAATCCTGCCTGTTCAAACATTTCTTATCCATCCAGTCCTCTTAATATTGTAAATAGACGTTACTCTAAATATGTAGATAGTTCTTAATTATTTCTACTTTATGTTTTTTCAATTATTTTTTATTATTAACTGCTTGAAGTTAGAAAGTCCCAGAGTAAATAAAGTATTATTATTAAAATATTTACTTAGAGTATTCACCATTACATAAATGTACAGTATTAAAATTAAGAATTAATATAAAAACAATTTGTATAAATGAAAATAGTATTTTTTTTTTATATAGTAAAATAATTATAAATTTGACAAACCTTGAGGTTGCGGTAGGTGGAAATAGAGCCTGAAACAAAGCATTTCTTGAGGCTTCACTGCCACGAGCATCATACAGCATATGATCTGATATAACTTCCATCAGTTCTGCCTCTTGCAGCTTAGATAGCTAAAATTTGAATTTATTGATGAATTACTATAAATATATAAATTAAATACATACACATATATGTATATACAAAGATGTGAAAAAGTCCAAGAACGAATCAATTTAAAAAGCAAATGATAAGTGTTTTCTTCTTCTTAATTGTAAACTAACTTTGCCTTGCAGACTTTATAGATGGAATATATATATTCAAATCAGCATTATTTTCAATTAACAACATGGCTTTTGGGTGTGTTTCTAGATCTAGAGTTGGAGAGCACTTGTGAATAGATGTAAAATGGTACCATGGCATTCTTACATACCATTTGGTCTTTATCTGATCCGATAGAACTTCAGGTAATTATTTAGATGAGGATCGCAAGGGTTACACATGGTTCACAATCAATTCAGCCACATTTGTTCATGAAACGTCAAAAACAGTCTTTCAGATAAACCCGGACGCATTTAGCACTCCATGAACAAGTGTGATCGAAGTGATTGTGAACCACTCGTAACTCGTGCAGTCCCTATCTTAACAATTATGGAACTTTATTTTTCAGCAAGGTAACGATAAAAAATATGATATTTTGCCATTTTATAAAAAAAAAAAAGTAACATTTAAAGTTAAATTAAATTACAGAATAAAAAACAAAGCATTACAATATAAGAACATTTTTCACAGATAAGCTTTCTAGAGTTAACGTTAATCATAACAATAAAGAGTAAAGACAAGAAAAGGACAAAAAAGTTTTGAAATTTAAACAATTAGTATTATTTAGATAAAAAAAAAAAAAAAATCAACATAACAGATTGGTCTCTTGGCTTGTTGTTAAATATAATACATCAACAACGTTTGCAAGAGTAAATTAGTTTAGAATGAAGGGATTCAAAACACTATTAAATTGAACCATTTATCATTTTTATAAAAAAATTGTTTATTTAAAGACTTTTTCACACCATAGTATATATGTGTATACACACTTCTTAATTGAAAATGTATGATGATAAATACCATCTTTGAAACTCCTCTTCTGTCAGATTCACAAAACACAGATTCTGTTATCAATTCCATAGCTAACTCACTTTGTTTTATACCTTGGTGTCTACTACTAGTGCTGGCAGAGTTAATGAGTTCCTCTATAATATGAAAAGAGAAAATATCTTAATATTTAAGATATGATAATATCTTTAATTTTCATTTTCTGATGAAAACTACAATTTCCTAACACAAATAATGTTTTACATTTATGCTAAACTTCATTAAAATTAAAAATATCTTGAAAAGTAAAATAAAGAATTAAACTTTAACAAACAGAAATATTTACCAGCTTTCATTAGTGCATCTCTCACACTTAAGGGGAATTCTCGTTTCCATTGAGACATATTAACTTCGCAAGATTCAAAATTCATCACTATATGAATGACATAAGCATTGGAAGAAAGAGGAGAGGAAAATATTTAAAATGTTCCCTCCTATACAAAGATTCTGAATGTAAACAAGTTGATAATGATAAGACGGAGTGTATGCCGGGCCAAATGAAACTTATAGATATTTAGGAACAGTTCCAAGATGGTTCTGAATGTAACAGCTACTTCATATGATTTCGTAGCAATTGTGTTCTTTGCTTATTTTCTTGAATATTACCAACACTAGTGATGCGGTGTGATAGATTTTCCGTCAGCTCCGACTGTGACAGCTCCTGGAAAATCACAGTAATTTGTCACAACTGTGCTAGGACTCCTAGAGATGGGCTGGAACCATTCAAGTTTGGAACAGCTCCAGTTCCGTCATTGGAACAGCTCCTCTTAATCGCTCCATGTCCAAAGGGGTTCAATTCTTTTTCAGCGGGTTTGTATATTTTGTATAGTTTGTAGATATAAATTTGTCTGTATATTTATTTGGTTCCAAATAGTACGGACTTACTCTTAATGTATTATTTGTAGATTTTAAAAAACAATTCTATATTTAATATTAGATAAAGAAACTTTGGTAACGATGTCGATGAGTTATAAATTTCCGTTTAGTTCTGGTTTTAAACAACAAATTAATAATTTTTTTAAAAATAGAAACTTGTTGAACATTTAGTAATTACTTCAATAAACAATTATTAATAATAATAGAAATAGATAAGGCATTCAACACAGTGGTTAGAATTCATAAACAATAAAATTTCGGATTTGTTAGGCGATAATTGGACTTCAACGCTCATTGAGCATCATTAAAAAATAAAGAGAAATAAAGGTGTATAAGTTTCTTGTACCCTGGACTAGTTACACTGGACTAGTGTTACCCAGATGCAAGACCAATACGTTACCGTGTTAGTATTGATCTTGGTCTTGCTTCTACAAATCTTGGTCTTGCACAAATCTGGCAAGAGTCTTGCAGTAACCTATTAGCTTATTGCTATTTATTAAACATGTTAATTTAGATCTTCGAAAAACGCTACAGAATAGGTACATTTAAATTTTTTATTGACATAAACATAGCAAAGTCCAACCAAATTAATAAAATTAACTTGAATTTTATTACCAATTAATTTATACTTGGATTTATTACCAATTAATTTATGTACGCACAAGCAGAGATGTATTTCTTTAGTTTGTTATAACATAAGTGCTTCGATACTTCGAACTTGCAATTATTCTTGCCACAGCTATGTACCAATGCAGATCGCAAACTTTAATAATATAATAACAATTTGTTAACATTCAATTCGTTAGCATTCAGTACATGAACAACCTCAGTGCTCAAACCACTCCCTGAAGATGACCCATATGTTTGGGTGGAAACGTTGCCAAAAATAAAAATTTTAAAAAAGACTGCGTCCTAAATATTTATCACCCATTCAATTCGTTATTGTTCTTAAACTTTCTCATTAATAATAAAAAACTCAGACAGATTGTTATAATACTCAATAAAGAAATTTATAAATAAAAAAAAAAAATTGTTTTTGTTGCTGCTATCTCGTTGAAAAAAATCAAAATTGTTGAGATGGGCCACTAAGGAAAAACGTTTTACAGCCAGATTGTTTCGACCTTTTTTTAATCTTTCAGCTACAACTGTGATAGCACTTTGATAGATCATAAGTTCGACCGATACGCTGCAATTTTGGAACAAGATAATGCTTAAATTATAAAATAAATATTAATGCTTGTTAAATTAATAAAATCTTCATATATGCAATGCAAGTACGAATATATATATTTAATAGTTGTCCAATTATGAATAAATTTTAATGTAACCCTACAATTCTGAACACTAGACTTACACCTTATACTTCGACTTCAGTCTAGTCACAGTTCTGTAACGACCCAATAGTTGTTTTATCTATTTTTTAACATCAGAAGTTTAACTGCATCTACAAACGAATAATGATTTTTAAACTATTTAAGAAAATAATGGAAAATTCACGCTACAATTTGGCAAGAAGGTACTGTTAAAATTATTAAGAAAATATCAATGCTTGTTGAATTAACCAATTCTTAATTTATGTAGAACAAGAATGGCATACATATTTTTAAAAATCCTATTATGTTACGAAAAAAATAAATTTTAATGTAGCCCCACTACTATGAACATTGTACCCTACACTTGTACTTCGCCTTCAGTTTAGTCTTTGTTCTGTACCGACGCACTTCGCAATAATTGTTCCAGCGCTTTGATAAATTAAATATATAACTGCATCTACAGAAGAATATTGATTTTTAAACTTTTTAGAATGTAACGGAAAGATTTCTCTACAATTTAGAAATCAGGCATTGTTCTAATTGTAACATAAATGTTATTGCTTGTTAAATTAACCAATTAATTACAAGCATGGATATGTATATTTAATTGTAAGTTCGAAGATATGTATACTTAGTAATTTTCCTGTTGACTTGAAGAAATAGATATATTTCTTTAGTTTATTATAACACAATTGCTTCGATACTTCGAACTTACAATTAGTCTTGCCACAGCTATGTTCCAATGCCGATCGCAAACTTTAATAATATAATAACAGTTTATCAACATTTAATTCGTTATTGTTCTTAAAATATCTCATTAATAATACAAAATGAAATTGTTTTTGTTGTTGCTATCTCATTGTTAAAAACAAAATTGTTGACGTGGGCCACTATGCAAAAACGTTTTACAGCCAAAAAAGGCAGATTGTTTCGTTCTTTTTTTAATCTTTCACCTACAAAAAAAAGTTAAAAATAAATAAATTATATTTAATTTTATATTTGCCGACTTTTCGGCCCAAAATTAAGGCCTTCACCAGGGATAAGAAAATACCAGATAACAATAAGTATGAGAAGCTTTTAACTTAAGAAAAAAAAAATGTTAGGGACATATGAAAAATATTAATAACAGTAACAGAGATAAACTAATGAAATAAATAAAACGGCAAGTTAAAAACTTGTTTAAATAAACTAAGATGGGGACTAATGAAAAAACATAATAAATGAAATTATGTAACCAAAGGAATAAAAAAAAAAAATTAATGAAGAAATGCAATGCAATATTATGAGATAAACAGGGGTGCCCAGGAAGGGGTTTCATGCCGCATGTTGCGCCATCAAAATTTTTGAAGGGAGCACATTTCGACGGTGTTATGAATTTTCGAAATGAAATGTTTCAAAACAGAGGAAAAGAGGAAAGTATAGAACAGACCATTGAAAATTTTTTTTTAAATTTTATTTTAATGAAATTTACAACTGTATTAAATTAAAATTACAACAAGTAAATGTGACATTGGTAACATGACATGTAAAACATGAAGAAAAACTACCCATTGGTAGAACTCAAGACCATTGAAAATGTAACTGTATATGAACTATGACTTTTAAAATTCTGCTTTAACTTGCACTGTTATAAAAAATAGAAGAGCAATAAAATATCTTGGGAGGAAAGGGAAAGTGCTTGCGCCTTGTCCTGGCAATAGACCTGGGGAAGATGTACACCTCTGGAAATAAAAACCTAAGTGTTAGACATAGAATGAATGGAATGAAGTAATTGCTAAAATATGTTTTTCGTAATACAACAAATGAACAACAAGGGGAACTTGTAAATAAAGTAGTGATTGGGTGCAATTTCAAACAAAAACAAACACAAACTTATATTTTTCAAATCTTACAAAGCAGAGTTTTTTAAGAAGACAATTCTTTCTAACTAACACTAATACTTATACTTAAGTAACATCTGTTTCTTTAGAACAGCTGTTTTGCCTGGAATTAAAATAATACATTTCACATTGTATTTAAATTTTAAAAAATCAAACATTACGATTAACAAATTCCCGAACAATATGATATCTTAGAATGCTAAAAGAAGTGTGATAGAAAAAGAATAAAATGTAAAACAGAGAAAAAGAATATGAAGTTATATAAAGAAAATAATATATTTAAATAGAAAAATTAAGACACTGACTACTAATTAAAACATACTGACTACATAGAAGAGAAATAAAAAGGGTAAATGAGGAGAATGCCGAGATAAAAGAAGAATATTATTGTACATTTTTTTTTTGTTGTCTTACTTAATATATTGAAAAGAATACACTGTTGTTGACGTTGGATTAAAAAGGATTTCAAGAAGGTAATTAAATAAATAAGATCAGCAAATCACAGACTCCAGCTGAAACGAATAGGAGGAATCGATATTAAGATTATTTTAAAATTCTTTATTTCAAAGTCATTTACAATGAATAATTGGCAAATATAATAATAAAAAAATAAATAATAAATAATAAAAAAAGTAATATTTATTTATATTTAGAGAAACTTGGAACGATACAGAGAAGATTAGCATGGCCCCTGCGCAAGGATGACACCCAAAATCGTGAAGCGTTCCACATTTTTACGAGACCGAGCTTTGGGGCTCTACTAAACCATCAAATTCCTCTCGTATCCCATCCCTACAATCCAAAATCCTTCGTAAAATCCTTAATGCTCTCTACTTTGTCACAAATAAAATCATCCATAATGACCTTAATGTACCATATGTTTCCGATTTAGCTCAATCCAGATACCTGTCCTTTCATAATAAACTTCTGAACCATCCGAACCCTCTCGTTTCCAACCTTGCTTTCTCTTCTATTCCTGATAACCCTTCGAGGCGTCTGAAAAGAAGATGGCCTCGGGACCTTCTACTATAGAAATATAATTGGATTGCTACCAATGGGTAGTTTCTCCTCATGTTGTACATGTCATATTACTTGTTCATATTTACTTGTTGTATTTATTATTAATTACAGTAGTAAATTTCGTTAATAAACACAAAAAAAATTTAGAGAAACAAAACAAAAAATGATGTGAATACCGTTTTTGTTAAATTTCATCCAGTTTCCCCTCTTACATATTTTCCTTGGTATAACTATAACTCAATATACCACTCCTAGTACTTTGGTTTTATCCTTATTTAGAAGGAAGTTCTATTGTATTCAGTCGGCGCGACAACTCGATATCGAATCTTGGCCTCCTGTACCAGCTTCAAATAATTGTTCCTATCATGTGCAGCCGCCATCCAGCTCATCACTCCCAACATAGACCTGGCATCACCAGTCACACCGTCATTCCATCGAAGCCGAGGTCTTTCTCTACG